TCTAGATATATACATCTTGCATGCAATACCACATAGAATCTACCTGACTACTCATAGAGTACAAACTTACTCCTTCTTAGGCAAATACCCCTGCTCATCCAAATAAGCAATAATCTCCCTAACAGCCTCCTGCACGGGCTTCTGATCATCATTCACGATCCGCACCTCCGGCTTCAATGGCTCCTCATACGGCGCACTAATCCCCGTAAACTCCTTGATCACCCCCTCTCTCGCCTTCTTATACAGTCCCTTCGGATCTCTCTTCTCCGCAACCTCAACAGGCACATCGACATGCACCTCGACGAACGGTAGACCATTCTCTTCGCCGGGAGTGGGGACCTCGTGCAGTGCGCGCGCAGTGTCCCGGTCCATCCTGTAGGGCGAGATGAAAGAGGTGATTGCAACGGAGGCGCTGTCGGCGAAGAGCTTGGCGACTTCGGCGATGCGGCGGATGTTCTCATTGCGGTCTTTTTCGGAGAAGCCCAGGTCTTTGTTAAGGCCGAAGCGGATGTTGTCACCGTCGAGGCGGTAGGCGTGGACGCCGCGGTCACGGAGGAGTTGGTGCTCGAGTTCGACGGCGATGGTGGATTTGCCCGACGCGGAGAGGCCGGTAAGCCAGATTGTGAGGCCGCGTTGGTTGCGCAGGGTGCTGCGCTCTTGGCGGGTCAGGGCGCTGGCGTGGTAGGTGATGTTTCTGGTTTGTCAGTGCTTTTGCTTTTTCATTGCTTGCATATGGGCAGGGAACGTACGTAGACATTTTTGCAGTAGTGGTTGTTGTAAAAAAGGAAGAAGAGAATGCAGGAGTCCTGAGAGATAAAATTCTACAACGGTACCGTGGCCTCTGACAGCGGGGCGCTGATCGCGGGATTGATGCTGTCGGTGTTGATTGAGCACGCCATCGCTATTTTTAATTCTATATTTCAGACTCGATTAAGAGAATAGTACTATAGGATCATTCGTATCCATTCAATTTCACTATAATTGCGCCTGAAAGTGCTGTATTCGTCTCAACAAATCCTTGCGCGGCGGGGTACTTCTGCCAGGTTCCAGGGGTTGATGTACGCAAGCTGCGGGAATAAAGATACAGTACTGTAGCCAATTGTTTCAATTAGACAGTCGACTATGCATATTAGGACAAAGAGTGCATACGGTGAATTATGCCCCAGTCTACAGAGTGTTGAACCTCAATACGACAGGCGACTACTAATGAACTGTAGTGATGCTAATGTTTAATTTAGCAGCTTCTCCTGAGACACCTTCCAACAGCCGATATCTAACTTGTACCGCCTATATAGACGATTTGCAGGAGACATGTTGAAGACAGTCGCTCCTAGAAACGCCGAAACATCCCTTCCCATCCAATGCCAGTGGTATCATGTTGAATTCATCTTCGCCAAACCCATCTCGTTGCAAAGATAGCAATGCAAACAAATAAAAGAAAATGCAACTCACAAAAAACAGACAACATAAAATCCAAGACAGGGCTTTTTATATGTCTATAACCGTGCTTTGAGTTGTTGAAAACAAAGCGTAAAAAATTACATCATCACATTCGTGAAAGAAAGAAAAAAATAAGAAAGGGGCAGATATTAAAAAATACAGTTCTTTCTACGCGGCCACACTCGGATTAAGTGGCACACGCTTAGAACTTGAGAGCCTTGGGCTTCTCCCAGGAGAATTCCTGGTTGGTGAAGTGACCATTCTTGGCGGTCGCGGCGTAGATGGGCTTGGCAAGGTCAAGCTCCTTGACAATGACACCGGGACGCAAATCGAAGTTGTTGCGGATGATCTCGACCAGCTCCTCCGAGGACTTGTCGGAGGTACCGTAGGTCTCAACGAAGATCGAGAGAGGGTCAGCGACACCAATGGCGTACGAGAGCTGGACAAGGGCACGACGAGCGAGCTTAGCGCTAACGAGAGACTTGGCGATCCAACGGGCGACGTAAGCGGCGGAACGGTCGACCTTGGAGTAGTCCTTTCCGGAGAAAGCACCACCACCGTGAGCACCCCAGCCACCGTAGGTGTCGACGATGATCTTACGGCCGGTCAAACCGGCGTCACCCTGGGGACCACCAATGACGAAGCGGCCAGAGGGCTGCAAGTGGTAGACGGTGCGGTCATCGAGGAGCTCGTTGGGGATGACCTTCTTGATGACCTTCTCCTTGAGGGTAGCACGAATCTCCTCGGTGGAGACATCGTCAGAGTGCTGGGCAGAGATGACAACAGTGTCCACACGCAAGGGCTTGACAGCACCGTTGTCGTGGGCGTACTCGATGGTGACCTGGGTCTTGGTGTCAGGGAGAACCCAGGGGATGGTGCCGTCAAGACGGGCCTCCTTCATGGCGTGGTTGAGCTTGTGAGACAGCAAGATGGTCAAGGGCAGGAGTTCAGGGGTCTCGTCGGAAGCATAACCGAACATGATACCCTGGTCACCGGCACCGAGCTTCTCGAGGGCCTCATCGTAGTGAAGACCCTGAGCAATGTCAGGAGACTGCTGCTCAATGGCAACCAAGACATTGCAGGTCTTGTAGTCGAAACCCTTGTCGGAGGAATCGAAGCCAATGTCCTTGATGGCGCCACGGATGATCTTCTGGTAGTCCAGGTTGGCCTTAGTGGTGATTTCACCAAAAACCATAACCATACCTGCGCTTATCAGTACATGTTCCACAAGGTGCATGCACATGCAATTGAGTGATAAACAACTTACCAGTCTTGGTGGCAGTCTCACAAGCAACCTGAAGTCGCACAGTTAACTGATTGGTCCGATGTAAGATTACTGATAGCGATCAATCCTACCTTGGAGAGCGGGTCCTCAGCCAAGCAGGCGTCAAGAATGGCATCGGACACCTGGTCACTATTTCGGGTCAGCTCAATTGCTCGTATAGAGGGCAAAGGACAGGACAGCTAGCTACTCACGCCATCTTATCGGGGTGACCCTCACCCACCGACTCGGAGGTGAAGAGGAAGTTGTTCTTGGGTGCGACGGAGCCCATTGTGACTGAGAATGACCGAATATACGGGAAAGAGAGTACGGAGAGGAGAATATGGATAGGGAAAGAGAGTAAGACGAGCGTGAGAAAAGGAGAGAAAAAGAGAAAAGAGAGAGGGGAAGAGGAGAAAAACCAGGCGGGGAACGGGATATTCAATTAATGCGGGCCGAAAATGCACGATGGCGCGATTCCGGGCGGTGTGTACTGGCAGAAAAAAGTGGGCGGCATTTTTACTTGCCGAGCTTACACGAGCTTAGATACGCTGCAAGATCAGTTCTATAAAAGTTCAAGATACAAGGGATAAAATGTCCAAATTCGGCGCATTAGTGATGGGTCCGGCAGGAGCCGGCAAAAGCACATTCTGCAGCGCCCTAATCCAACATCTCCAAACCACCCGCCGCAGCTGCTTCTACGTCAACCTCGACCCAGCCGCCGAATCCTTCGCCTACGAGCCAGACCTGGACATTCGCGAACTCATCACGCTGGAAGATGTAATGGAGGAGCTGGAACTTGGCCCAAACGGCGGTCTAATCTACTGCTTCGAGTTCCTGCTACAGAACCTGGATTTCCTATCAGAGGCGTTGGACCCGCTCAGCGAAGAATACTTGATTATTTTCGACATGCCGGGGCAGATCGAGCTGTATACGCACGTGCCGCTATTACCGTCACTAGTGCAGTTTCTGAGCAGACAGGGTCCGTTAAATATCAGTCTTTGTGCAACGTATTTGCTTGAGAGTACGTTTGTGGTTGATAAGGCGAAGTTCTTTGCGGGCACGCTGAGTGCCATGTCGTCCATGTTGATGCTGGAGATGCCGCATATCAATATCTTGAGTAAGATGGACCAGGTGCGGGATATGATCTCGCGCAAGGAGTTGAAGAGGTTCGCGAATGTGGATGTGCAGTTGCTGCAGGATAGTGAGGGTACTGAGGACGCAGCGGGTGATCCCTTGTCGAAGGATGCGTTGATGAGCGGGGGGTCATTCCAGCAGCTGAATCGGGCCGTTGCACAGTTGATTGATGATTTTAGTATGGTTTCATTCTTACGGCTGGATGCGCAGGATGAGGATAGTGTTGCAGGCATCTTGAGCCATATCGATGATGCTATTCAGTATCACGAGGCGCAGGAACCAAAGGAGCCCAAGGATGAGCAGGAATTCGATCTAGAGGATGGAGATGAGTAACTTTGGCTTCGCAAGATACCTGGCCACCACCAATCGAGAATCGAATGTCTTATCTATGAGTTACACACGCACCGCGCCGTTACAGTCGTCGGACAGAACATGCCGTTGACACCGGCCTGCTGAGACCCAGCAAACACACCGCTACCGACCAGCGCAGGGAAAACATTCCGAAAAGAAGATACCCATGCTATTAACACCATGTATCTAAGATGCATTCGCTCAACCATAGCATAACACATAGCAACATAATCATGACCACCAAGCATACCATTCCAATCCTTCCAACTCAACCAACCAACCATTATCCCTAAACCATAATCCTTCTTGTTGTAGCAAACGGCAGTCCACAGACTATATCCCCCTCTATACACCCCTCACACTCCGCACGATCATAATCATAACTCCCTCCCATACTGCCCAAACCCAGCGGCGTTTCCACCAGGTGCACCCCCATCAACCCCCCTCTCAAACTCCTCCCAAACCCCCTTAGCCAACCCTAAGGCCCTCCCAACCTCCACCCCCGCCCTCTCAACACCCACACTATACACCCAATAGCCCACCGCAAGTATGACTCCCCAAAAAACAACCCTGAAGACCAACCACACCCAAAACAGCACCATGCGCCGCGTATAGTCCAGGATCTTTAGCGAGAGGAATAAAATGAGTAAGAGGAGGAAGACGGAAACGAGGTCCGGCGTTGACGACGTCAAGAGCGAGGAGAGGGGGGATAGGACGTATGGATCGAGGTAGGTGGTGCGGAGGGTTGAGAGGTGCGTGGAGAGCATTTCGGGGGCGGTGGTTAGGTTGGCGAGGAGAGGGTTGTTGGTTAGGAGGGGATGGAGGTATTCTGTTGCGCTTGTTAATATGGTGGTTTCTTTTCTTTAGTTGAGGAAGTGGTTGAGTTGGGTAGCGTACCTGGTATGAAGTCCATGTTGAGTGATGACTCTGTATTGCGTAGATGTGGTATTTGAGGAACGTGATGTGGAAGTTTATTGTTTTGAGTCTGTCTCTGACTTGCATATATGTATATCTTCCTTTAGTACAAGTATTTCATTCTTCTGCACTTTGTTTCTTCGTAGAACGTTGAACGTTGAATACCGAAAGTACGGCAGTGATCAGCGGCAATCGATGCAAAACAAACAAACCGGAAGGGATTATCTATGTCCGTCACGTGTATCTACTACCTCTGTACTCTGTTCGAATCAAAGACATCGCACAATTATGATTATCTATATACAGTAGTCATCCACCATTGTTATGTCAATCAGGCCTGGATATCCATAATTGGGCCCTAAATCATCAACAAAAAACGCCAGACACCCATCGTGATGGTATAAATATACAAAGCTGGTACAAGAGGGTATGGTTAATTACTGACTCAACAGAGTCTTGAACAGCTCGCGCTCGGCCAGGATTTCAGACTGGAGTTTCCGGGTTTGACGGAGGGCCTCGTCTCTGCTTCATGTTAGCTTCAATTCACGGCAACAAGGCAAGAGAAAAGGAACATACCTATCCGACTGCAACTCGGCCACGTCAATCTGCGCCCGGTTCATCCGTCCGACCACTTCTTCCATCTCCATGTCAGCGTTGCGCAGGAGTCGTTCGAGCTCCCGGACCCGCTTGGCCAGCATCTCCGGCTGAACGATCTCCGTCAATGGAACTCCATTGCCGCTGGTAGTCTTATCCAGACGGGGAGAGCGAGCGCCAAAGAAGGGTGACTGCGCAGGTCGTGGAGAAAGGGCCGCAGGGCTGCGCGAGCCGTTCTTCATACGCTGGAGCTGGTCGTTGTGGCTGTCCTCTAACTGACGGATCTCGTCTTCGTGCTTGGCCATCTCCTCTTCGGACAGTTGCTGCGCTGTCAGGAGCATGTCCTCCAGCGACTTGAGCTGCGATTGCAGCTCGTTGATTCGGCAAGCAGACACCTGCTGGTCCTTCTCACCCTGGCCGATGGCCTCGGCCAGACGGCGACGCAGGGTGCTGTTGGACTCCAGCTGCTTCCGCACATGAGTCGTCAGTGTCTCCGTGCGGTTGAGCGATTCCGCCAATTCACCAGTCGCCTCTGCTGGCGACTGGGCGACAACCTGATCCCGGTCGGCCTGCAATTGCTCATAGGCGGACTCGAGAGAGGAAGTAGTCGCCAGGACTTCGGCAAATCCGTCGCGTCCTTCGGCCGCTGCTCCCGAGTTCTCAAGCAGGGAAACGTCGTGCTCCTGCAGCAGCTCCCGCAACGAAGCAGTCTCCTGCTCTGCGCGATCCAGGTCCATTTTGAGACCTGCCAGACCCTTTTCGCACTGCCACTTTTGCTCCAAGGCATCCTCGGCCCGTTGACGGAGGTCGTTGACCTCTTCGCGCAGGTTACGGACGTCTCGTTCGTAACCCAGTCTGCGCGGGGAGCCTGCTTCCTGTGCGCGCGCCAGCTCCATCTCCAGCATCCGAGAACGCTTTTCGTACTCCCGGGCCTGGATTGATTGGCGCGCAAGCAAGTTCCGCAGGGTCTGGTGGAGCGCATCACGCTGCGCCTCAACGTCATTCATGCGATCAGCCAAATTCTCGCGAGTGTCACGCTCCTTGCCCGAGAACGAATTTGACCGGGAGAGCGAACTGGGCCGGGAAGGCTTGGTGTGCATGCGAGCGAGCGAGTTCGAGCGCGACATGCTGATACCCAAGCCCGAGGTCCTTCCCCGCGGGGACCGACCATCGTCCTCTTCGGCGATAGATGCGAACCGACCGCTTTGGAGCTGAGCTAATGAAGCATTTTCGATCTTCAGCGCCTCGATTTCTCCCATCAGACGTTCGATTTCGGACGGGTCAGCTGACGATGATGGAGGCTTGTGCGTGCCACCAGAGATCTGCGGGATTACTTCGTCGCGGAGATGGTCTCTTTCGTTCCGGAGTTGCTCAAGTTCCACCCTCATGGCGGTTAGAAGATCCTCAAAGTTGTCTTTGATCTGTCGCTCCTCGGCAAGCTTTCGTCGAGTGGAGTCCACCGTACCTTCCAGCTCGCGATTTCGAGAGGATAAATCTGAGAGATTGACTCTTTCACGGCGAAGCTATAACAGTTAGCCATTGATGCTTTCAGGTCGATAAGCCAATGCGAAAACTTACCTGCTGAACTTGGCTTTCTAGAATCTGGACATGCGATTCAGTAGCCAGTCGCTTTGACCGTTCTTCTTGCCATTTCTGTGAAAGGTCGACCTTGAGCTGTGCGCGTTCCTGCTCAGCGGACCGGCGAAACTTCTCCAGATCCTCCGAACGGCCGGAATCATGAGGGTAGCGGATGCTGGAGCTGGTCCCAGAGTCGGAGAAGTAGTCACTTGTGCGCCGATTTGTGACATCGAGTGGCATTTCCGACTGGAGTCTCTCGACGAGATCCTCGAGCTCCATCTCGCGGCGAATGGAGCCTGCCAGCTCGGAGCTGATCTCGCGCAACTCATTTTCCAACTCGGAGACCTTGGTGTCGAGAATCGTGGCACTGCTGAGGGAGCCATTGCGGACGGATTTGGAGTTATCGAGGGGGACGGTGGTAGAAGGCGTGATGGAGAAGGAGGCGCTGGGGAAAGACGGTGGCATGGGTGAAGCTAGCGGGGACCGGCCCGCGTCTGAGATTTCTGTACTTGAGGATTCGGCGCCGGGAGAGGTGGGGCCTTTCCAGCCAAAGAAGGAGCTAATTTTCCTCCCGGGGGTTTTGGGTTGTTGTTTAGAGTCGAAGGAGTTGGCGGACGAGTTCCGCGCGCCGGCGGAATCTATACGGAGGGGAGGAGGACGGTTGTTTTCGGGCGGGTGCAGGGCCATCGCGGGCTGGTCGTGGTGATCGCCTGCTGGCGGGGAGGGAAGCACAGGGATGAAGGGTTCACTGACGAGACGGCTGTGGAATTGGATCCCATTCGAGAATTGTGAGCCGTAGTCAACGTCGTGCTCCGTGACGGGTACGGAGGGAGTATTATCTGCGGAGGGACCACGGTGGGGGAGTCTACCGGTTCAGTCGTCAATAATGAACAATTGGTCGCTAGTAAATAAAGCTTAGGACGATAAAGGAGAGGGAAAGAAGAACAGAATCAAGATCGAAGAGTAAAGAAAGAGGCTAGGATAAAGCACGAGGCAGACAAAGCCCCGGCGGATAAAGAAAGGCAAACACAACGTACCGATCCAAGTCCCTTGGCACAAGAAGGGAGTCCTCATCGACCAACGAGGAAGCAGAGGAAGCCAGCGAAGCAGGGGACAGAGGACCCAGAGAGGGATCCTCAGCAAATGCAATTGGAGGTTGAAGATGAGGGTATTCGCGCGGCGTTTCGCCCGGAGGCGGAGGGGGCGGCGGAAGAGGAGCAGCAGGAGGCGCAGAGGAGGACGTTATTGGAGCAGAGGGAGAGTGTGGGACAGAAGGAAAAGAAGAGACTGCTGGCGTAGCAGCATTATCCGGTAAGGGCTTTCTCGAGACCGGGGGATGTGGTGAGTAGTTAGAGGAGGGAGAGGAGGTTGGTGAGGGAGAAGAGGGAGTGATAGTCTGGAGCGACACAACAGGAGAAGAAGGTCGCACTGGACCGTCTGGGGGAATCATTGGCAGCGCATGGATTGGCAAAGATAGTCAGCAGTCAGGGAGGATGATCCAAAGTGTATTGAGTAAGTGAGAGTAGAGTAGTAGAATGAGTGTGCCGTAGCTAGAGTTAGAAAGATAAAGAGAGACTACCGAAAAGGAGTTGGAGACGGTCCGGAGTGTGGAGGTCTACACTTAATGCACTGTGCATGGTGAGTACTTTACTTCTACAAGTACATACTGTCTGTTTGTATTTTGTGTAGACTCTACATGTATTATACCTCCTCTCGCTCTTGTACATTTTATTTCACCTGTACTCTGTATTCTCGTTGCTCTCACTCTACCTGTCCTGTACTCTGTACTCGTACCTCAATCCGTCGACTCTGTACCGCATTTACTACTGCCGCCGATCCGACCCACATTTCAGGGGGGTCTCCAGCACAGTAGCACATTTGAATGCGTTTAACTACCAGCCAAAGATACTATTAAAGCCATGGAAACACCAATTCCAAGGCCAGCTAGAATTCACATAACCACGGTACAACCAATTGACCCATGGACACCTACCTATACTCTGGACTTATACTCTGTACTCTGTACGTACTCTAATCGCACGCAAAGTGCACTGTAGATCTCGGTCCCCTCCGAGAATCCCTATTAGTCCTTCAACAACACGGCCTGCAGACAGCTCAGGGGTCCCTGCACTGAAGCTCGGACTCGCAAGATTGATAACGTCGTAGGGTGCTTACCCTATAGGGACAGCTACATATCGAGTATGTAGGGCACATGTCTTCGGTGCAATTGTGTATGGATTAATGGATTTGGGGGGGGGATAAAGTGTTCAGTATTCAGTATTCAGGACAAGACATGAAGTAGAGTACCTGCATTTTTACTGATTTACACGATAAACAAACTCAGGAGTCTGCAAGGGACTTTACATGTTGGGCGGGACAAAGTACGTACTTCTGTCTATCTGAAGATTCTGCTCCGTGCTTTCTACTCCGTCCAGTCAATGTATATTCCATATCATTCCCTGTCACTGCCACTGTCATTTCAGATAAACTCGGAAAATCAATAGGTAATGCCTGTCAGTGTGTGATTTCATATACTGCTGTTCTTTTCACTGTGTGATCGGATTCATGTCCCAATGCTATTGACTGTCTGTGCTAGTTAGCTATTTGTATTTGTATTTACTACGTATGTTTACCTGTAAACAGGCCTGGAGATGTTCCTGGTTTGTACATCCACCCATGGTCTGTGCTGTGGCCACATATGTATATTTCAAACAGAATATTGGCCTAGACCAGCCCTAGGAATATACAACTGCACACAAGCCAGCGATAATAATAGAACATAAATATAGTAAGCCTATCCTATAAAACTCCAAATATATACATAGCACGCGCAACCCAAATATAGACTCCAATCGACCATATATAGCATACATAGCACATCCTGACTCGTAACAAACGCAAATGTATGATTCAAACCAGTTCAATACGGTATAAAATCGAACCTCATCCGATCCAGGTAATGACTCCAGTCTTCTTTCTCGTCCATCTGATTCGTCCAATATTGCTCTAGAAACTTTAATGATTGTAGCACATTCGGTACACGGATTGTGTCGTGCAGCAATGCGAGTAATCTTCGTACCTTCTCGCGATCTTCTCCTCGTGCTTCGCATCCAGCAATAAATAACGGCGTTGTTAACATCACCCACGGACTCAGACCGGATGATGGACCGATTTCTGCCGTGCACTCGAGGATGCGCTTGACGGATGCTTGCACGGCGGGTGACGAGGTCGGGGTTTTTCGTAGACGACGATGAATTTGGATGAGAGCGCTATGCTGGAATGCTTCGTTGCAGAGAATGAATTCTTGAATAGATTCTACTGATAGCCCTTCCACTATACCGGGGTAGAATGTGGGTACGGTACCAGCTTCCCGGTCCATGAGTTGGTGAACTGAGGATTCCAAAGCCGACGCTTCATTCTGGATGCTGACTTCTTCGCTCCCGTCTTGGAGACCCCGGCTCTGATGCCGTCGCCAAGCGGCCGCACCAATTCCCCGGAATATCGCGGACAAATGCACCGTAAAACCCCAGTAATCATCCAGATAATCCGGCGAAGAACCCTCAGGCTGCGCCGCAGGCAACTCAGCCTGATCAGTAACACCCCCAATCGGCGGCCCATTCCCCGTCAACGCCGTAAGCGACACAATCGACCGATACCACCGATCCAAATAACACCGGAAACCCTCTGCCTCTCCGCCTCCGCCTCCTTGCTGACCCGCCGCAGTCGTCCCCATCAACACCCTCGCCCCCTCAATGTGCGCCCGCCACGAGTTCGGATGTATGGCCCCCGAGTGAATCTCCGCGAGACACAGAGTCCGCGCCGTAGCAAGGAGCGCATCTGACCCCCGCGTGCTGGGGTTCTGCAGTTCGTTTCGGAAATGCTCCAAGCTGAGGGCCATGAAGCGCGCGATTTCGGGTGCTGACTTGACCGTTTCTGATCGATTGTTTACTGCCTGCAGGTGAATCGCGGAGAGGGCCGTTGTTGCGTAAAGGAGGGATGGGGTTTGGAGGGCCATTGGGATGAGCATTTTGCAGATATCTGTCTGCATTCCTGAGTGGCAGGCGGTGATTTGGGAGGCATCGTGGATGAAGTGGTGGAGGAGGGATTTTTGTTCTGATGATAACGACGAGAATGGATCGATTGGTCGAGTTAGGAGGTTATTTGTGGGAGAGGTAGGTGACGATTTCACGATGGTGTTTGCGTTGTTGGCGTTGCCGCTGGTGGTATATATAAATTCCCCGGGGGAATATTCTACCAAGCGTTAACACTCTACTCTCTATACCACCATGATGAAGGAGTACAAACCAAATTTCTGCATCCCATCCCCCACACAAGCCCCAAACCTCGATCGCGAAAACGCCCGTCCTCCCCATTGCAGCTGCATCGCATATCCACACTGCGCACCTGCTGTCTGACATCGACCGCAAACTGGCCTCTGCTCATCACATTTTTGACGTCGCGCCTTACATCTTTTGCATCCCGTGAACGACCGAGACATAGGTGGTCCGTAGCCGCCTCTGTCCTCGTATTCGAGTGAGATGTATTCTGCGGGGATTTTTCTCGGGGAGACTGCAGATCGGAGGTTGCGGACTTTAGAAATTGTTCGGAGGGCGCGGTTGAGATAACGAGCGTAGATTTCTATATGTCAAGGATAGTGATAAGGTAAATGATAGTGTTGTCAATGTTGAATGAAGGACTGAAATGGAAGAATTGATGAGAAACTCAATCATCCGGTGCCGAGGAATTGGCTTGGGGAATGGGTTCGCCTCTCCTCTCGGTGGCGGGACTCAAATAGAACCGATTGGCAGTGACTTTGAATCTACCGTTGGAGAACAGAGTATTGGATATCCATTGAAGGTATGCTCTAACATACACCAGACTGGCTAATCAGAAAGTGAAAACCTCGTCGCCCTATCCACAAATACACAGATCAAGATAAGCAAAGGCATAATACGCTGGACAACCCATAATAAATGCAACCAAAGAATAGTATTCATTTCAAATCACACGCATGACAAACCCAGAACAACAAACAGAAAGCAAAGACATTAGTTATCAAAGGTATAACGGAGCCATTCACCGACGGCTCGCAGACTCTCCCACCGTACCGATTCGTCCTTGTCGGCCATCAGTTCCATCACGCGAGTCTTGAGACCCAACCTCTCGAGCTGGTTCCGTCGCTCTGGCAGCACCTTCACCAGTTGGCCCACATCATTGCACCCGATCGCCAACACTTGCTTGTCATTGTCCCAAGGCTTGGCGAGAATTTCAGCAAGCTTCTTTGGATAAGCACCGTTGCTCTCGTCCAAGATCCGTCGCGCATTGTCTCTCCAGAATGTAGGGTTCCGATGCGGCGGCGACCAGCGGAGGTGGCCCGATTGCAATTCGGCTGCGTATTGATCGAATGTGGTCTGCGTCTTGGTGTACTCATCTAGCATGCTGGACAAGGACCTGAGGTCCTCGAGGAGATCCTCGTCGGTTAAGTGACGGCCAGAGAGGTTAGTCAGGAGGGCGGGTAAGCGGACAAACGCTGCGATGGGAAGCAAGGTGGTTTGGTTCTCGGAGAGGAGATTGTGAAGGGTTGCCAGAAGGAGTCGCGTTGTCTTTTCCTTGGGCGACACTCGCAGCAATTGCGTGTAAAGTTGGATGATTTCATGATCGCTGCGTTTATCAGCACTGAATATGTTCTTCCCACGGAGAATACATACGATTGAAGATCGTCGCCAACCAGCTCAGCTTCGAAACTCAATTGCCACAAGACTAGCAATACGCGGTACAGAAGCTGGATCCCAACACCACCGGCAAGACCGGGCTCAATGGCCCGTACACTGCTGCCACCAGCCGTGCTTGATCCATTGTCCTTTGCTCCAGCAGCGGCACGGAGGATCTCAACCAACGGCTCCACGGTATCCTTTCCCTGGTTCCAGAAGAGCTCTCTTGCCCTTGCTGTACGAAGCAATGCAGAGTATTCCTGGACTCCAATGTCTTGCAGCCCGCTATCTTGATTCCGGACCAGGGTGGAGAGATAAGCGTAGAGCTGAGGAAGCGCCTCGTCATCTCTGGCAGCGGGTTTCGATGACGACACTAAGCTTGTAGACACGAGGTTCGTCAGGAATGTTGATGTGAGCAGCGGAATGGGATCTTCAGCGTTCGTAGAATGGCGGAGGAGAGGGAGGAATGGCTTGTAGGGGTCGGCGTGCGCAATCAGCGCAGAAGCGAGTGATGGGACATCTGCGATGAAAACTCTGCCTTAGTATTCTTCCATAAAAACCAAGTAATGCATCAATCCAAAATCATACCGGTAATCAAGTCCACCGCCAACACCAGGATATACTGTACAATATCGGTCCTTTTCGACGCCGAGTCCAGGACACTCTTTCCATCTCCACCCCCAGCAAACAAGCTGACATATCCCTGAAGATCTCCATCAACAGTTTGGTGTCGTTGCTCCTTGCGAACCTTGTCCACGGCCTTGATCTTCTTTAGGTGGTCGTCGGTGATGTTACCAGCTCGGACAGCTCCCTCCCATGGGATAGGACGGGCGCGGATGTTGTTCTGCAGGGAGCTGAGATACGTTGGCGGTTCCAGCGACATTGTTGACACGGGTCCTGTTCCGGATACTCAGGTTGTACTGTTGAGATTGGGGAGTGTTGAGATTGGGGAGTACTCCGTAGCAAGCAACGGAGGAGTGACAGTTACCTTGATATGATGGAACGTTCAGTTGTCCGCCGTCGGCCCAGTCCCCACGCCAAGAGATGAGCCTCCCGGAGCGGAAAACGCGCAAGCCTGGCCGATGATTATTCCTCTTGACTATTACACGCACGCTCTCTACACGCTATCCTGGAATGGCTAATCCTGTTCATTTCGTTCGTTTGCTTTAAATTATAGGCGACGCTCTTGTTGTTTCACACCCTCGTTTCTCTTACGAGTCTGCCTTGTCCCACCCGGTGACGACAAGCCCGCATAATTTGAATCTACAACTACTACCTTTCATGAAATAAAAGCAGATGCCTTGCTGCTGAGAAGGTAGCTGAAGTTCTCAATCTACAGGGAAGAAGACGCCAATACGACGGATAACAAGACGAAGCGACGTCATCATGTCGCAGAACCCACAAGGCTCCAAGCCGAAATGGAAAGTCGGCTCGTTTCTACAACAGGCCGTGGCCGGGGTAGAATCTAAATTGGATCTGATACTGTCTGAAGAGGAGGAACAGAAGCAGATACAGCAGATGCAATCTAAGAACGCTGCTGCGAAGGTCCAGGGACAGCAGAATGGAGGGGGTATGACGCCTATACCATTCAGGTACCTGTCGCATTGCATGGCTAATGGTAGCATCTCATACTAGTATCACGAAGCTCATCCAGTGCGCGCAAAAATGACCGTCTCCAAGAACGCCTGGCTCGTGCTATGGTTAACAAATCGAATACGCCCGGGAACCGCACCTCTCAGTCTTCCGTCAGCGCAGCCTCGTCCCCAGCCGCCAGTCCGAGACCGAGTATCGATGTGCGTCCAAGCGTGGACATCGATTCTGGTCGCGCTTCCCCGGCGGTAGATGTGGAGGAACAACCGAAGAGCTCCACTCAAGCAGAGGCCTCGTCGACTATGCCAAAACTGGGTAGAAGTAGTGAAGAGTCCGTCATGTCGTCGCAAGATGGGAAAGAGCTTGCCGCGTCAGTTGTGGATGAGCCCGCCACAACAGCAGTTGAAGAGTCAACAGATACTAGACAGTCAATCGATGATGCTACCAAGCCGGAAAACGACGAGGATCAAAGTGTCCGTGCGTCCAAAGAAACAACACGAAGCGCCACAGAAAGCTCTCCGGAGCAAGGTTACAATGGTAACGAAACTACGATTGCACAATTGCAAGCCGAGCACAAGGCTGCTGAATCCCAATGGCAGGAGGAGACGCATGGATATATCGAGCGGATAGATGCACTACAATCCAAACTCAAATATCTAGCAAAGGATGCCGCAGAGTCTGCCAAACAGGCAGCGGCATCCGCCGAATCTGGAAGCGTTGAGAAACAACTCCGAGAGAAAGACGAGAGGATTGCGCTGTTGCTTGAAGAAGGGCAAAAGCTCTCAAAGTCGGAAATGGATCATAGAACCGCGCTCAAGAAGCTTCGACTACAATTTATCGAGAATTCGAAGACCCAGACGGAAGCAAAGAAGAAGACAGAAAAACTCGAAATAGACCTGTCTAATGCAGAAACTAGGGCCCAGCGTGCCGAGGCGGCCGAAAAGAGGGCCAACGACTCACTGGCCTCTCATTCCAAAACATCTCGGGATTTGGATGCCGTCAAGTCCGAACGAAATGCATTGAACGAGACCATTCAAGAAATGAAGGGTCAGCTCGCGCGAGCTGTTGCCCGTGCCGAGACCGCCGAATCCAAGGCCCAGTCAGACGCTCTTGAGCAGGAGAAGAGGCGAACAAGTCAGCTGGAGGAAGAGCTCACAAACGCGAAAACAGAACACGATCTGAATGAAGAGAAGCTAAATAGAGAGATTAACGATCTCAAAGAGAAGGTCGAGCAAGAGAAAGGAAGGGCCCGGATGCTCGAAACTGAACTCAAAGGCGAGCAGTCTATTCTGGAAAGCAAAATGGAGAGCCTTCGCACCAAGGCAGAAGAGGCTTCCTCTGGAGCTGCAGGGGAATCGCAGGCCAAGTTATTACGGCAAATCGAAACCTTGCAGACGCAGTATGCCGTCGCCAGCGAAAACTGGCAGACCCTTGAGGGTTCACTGTTGTCGAGGTTAGCGAATCTGGAGAAAGAGCGGGATGATGTTGCGCAGCGTGAGGGAGAGCTACGGAGAAAGGTCCGGGAAGTGGTAAGTGCAATCTATTATTTTTGACACTTGGACATATGTACTAATTCTCCCTTTTTTTTTTTTTTTCGTTTGCAGAATCTCAAAGCCAAGAAGGCAGATGAGGAACTCGAAAACGCCAAAGAAGCAGCGCACGACCTGGATAACAGGCTCGAAGAACGCACATTAGAGATGCAGAAGCTGGAACTAAAGCTCCAGAAAGCCTCCGACGACCTTTCCGCATCACAAAAAGATTTCATTGACCAAAAGAAAGCATACGAAACCACATGGACACAGAAACTCGAAGACGAGCGCGCAAGATGGCGAGAGCAAATCATCCCCCCCGCACCAGCCTTCCAATCCCCTCGGAACGAATCCCCCGTAGCATTCAACCGCAAAACAATGACCCTCGATCCTCCGGGGTCTTTCTCCGACTCCCGACCTACCAGCCGTCGCTCTTCCGTGATGCCCATTGCATCACCGGATATCGGCACTCCCCCTCGACAGAACTCGTTCCCCGCTTCGACTCAAGGCCTTTTCTCTCCGCCGGTTGCAGGCAGCCTATACAACCAACCGATCACAGAAATGCCATCCATCAACTTAGATCCGGATGAGATGAGCGGCTTTGGCACGCCATCCGCCTACGGGGCTCAGTCCCGCGGGATCAACGACATCATTTCCGAATCGACCGTTGGAGCCGGCCCATCCGTTCAGTTAGTAGAACGCATGAGCGCTGCCGTTCGTCGGTTGGAGAGCGAGCGCGCTGCATCGAAAGACGAACTTGCCCGGATCACCTCCCAGCGCGACGAGGCTCGGAAGCAAGTTGTTGATTTGATGCGGGAAACTGATCAGAAGAAAGAGATTGATGCCCGTGTTCAAGAATTGGAAACACAAATGGAGGAGTTGGACCAGCGGTATCTGACTACGTTGGAGATGCTTGGGGAGAAGAGTGAGCAAGTGGAAGAGTTACAGGCTGATATTACTGACCTTAAGAAGATATATCGGGAGCTGGTTGATAGTACGATGAAGTGAGGAGCTTCATATCTTCCTTTTCGCTATAGCTTTTCGAGGCTTCATTCCGACTATACGATGGCATGTGTTGATGTACAAATGTAGAGCGTATTTTAGTATCTTATCAAATTTTTAATCAAACAATCCAAATGCAGACCTTGTGGTCTTGGGTATCTAAACAGTTTTTTTTCTTAGCTGTTTCTCTTTTAATCTGCCGTAATGATCCTCACTGATTTAAGGAAGTTCAACGCCTTCCTTCTCAGTGGTACGCAAGATATATTCCCGCACCTGTCATGCATTAGCCTCTCATTCCAACAAAACAAGATAGAAAGCACCTGCCTTCTGATCAGGAACCAAATCAATCGCCAACTTTCCCTCCGAGTCCCTTTTATCAGCCTCCGCCCCAGCCTTAAGCAAGAAAACAGCCGCATCCCCATGCCCCTCCGCAATAGCATGATGCAAAGCCGTCAAACCATCCATATCCGTCGCATTAACAGGACTCATCCCTTCCTCGAGGAGCATTTTCATAATGGGCACTGAGCCGACGGCTGCGGCGCGGTGGAGAGGTAGTTGGCCGCGCTTGTCTTTTACTCTGGCGCTGCATTTGTTGGCGAGGAGGAGGCGGACTGTTGTGATGTTGATTTTGGAGGTTGCGAAGTGGAGGGCATTCTGGGTTGTCTGTTAAATATGGCTTTATAAGGGAGAGTGCGTGGGTTGTACTTGGCCGGATGTGCTTTTGACGTTTACGTCGGCTTCTTTTTGTAGGAGCTGCTCGATGATGGGGTCGCCTTCGGCGTCTCGCAGGCTAGCTGCGATCATGAGTGGGGTCCAACCAGATCCATCCTGCTCGAGTCGTAAGTATTCATTCATAAGTAGTCTTTTGGAAAAAGGATGGTGGCTACCTCAACGTCAGGATCGAAGTTCTTCTGGGATACTAGTAACTCCACGACAGGAAATCGATTGTATGACACGGCCCAGTGAATTGGAAGACGGTCATCATCGTCTTTCGTTCTTGCGAGCCTGGGGTTAGCCTGAGCCGCGAGAGTTAGCATCTACATATCAATCAAGCTCGATGGCGATGTTTAGATATGCGGGGAACTTACGCTCAAGAGCGACTCGACGGTTTGAACTATAAGCAGTTAGTATCTGATATTCTTGTCTATTGGAGATCACATACCATTTCCTTCCCGGGCGGCTTCGTGTATAGCGAACTTGTCCTTGCGATCAGACTCCATTTTGCTGGTAGATTGTCGACTGGTGATAAGAGCTCCGTGGAGTTGATCGGAGGGGAAGCGGTCGACACCTGACGTAGCGGCCTTGATGCCCCGGGTGTCTATTTCCTCCGCATAGCAAAGCTCCGACTTCATCAAGTGAAAAGACTCAGCATCAACGCGCCGACTCGATACAATTGTCACCACCACGTTCCTATTCTTTTATTTCGCTGGATTTATACCCTTGCCAAGTCGAATGCGGTGAAGTGGTCTTTGAGATCTCTGTCTGTTATTATCAACCCTTCGCGCAGGGTTTCAGTGGCGCGACACGCCTACCTGTCTAATTGCGTCCGGTCGATCGAATAACGGCGATTGATCCTATCCCGAATCTCGACTTCTTACTCCAATACCTAGATTACCCTATTAACGGAATGGACGTTGTACCCCCGAACACGACCGCGGACGAAGCCGTTCGCACCTCCGCAAAGAGGACCGCCGAACTTTTCGGCTCCGACTACCTCATGGTCACACCCTCCGTCGCAGGCGGCTCGATCGGTACTTCATATCGCAGAAAAGCAGAATACAACGATGTCAAGGAACTGCCACCAGCTCTCGCCGAAAAACAAGCCAAGGCTGCTGCCGCCGGGCGAGCTAAGCGTCCCAAGATGACAGCACAAGCACAAGCACCCGTGGACGGAAGCGGCGCGTCGATGTCTCTCGTGAAGAAGGCTCCTGGCCCGACTGCCGGTGGTGTTGGTGGGGAGGATATGCCGAAGAGTTTGATCCAGAGGCCGTCGGCGACGAAACAGCAGAAGCCGGATTGGCACGCGCCGTGGAAGTTGATGCGTGTGATATCGGGGCATTTGGGGTGGGTGCGGAGTTTGGCAGTGGAGCCGAATAATGAGTGGTTTGCTAGTGGTGCTGGTGATCGGACGATTAAGATTTGGAATCTTGCGACGGGGCAGTTGCGGTTGACGCTTACTGGGCATATCTCGACGGTTAGAGGGTTGGCGGTGTCGCCTCGACACCCGTATTTGTTCTCGTGTGGCGAGGATAAGATGGTTAAATGTTGGGATCTGGAAACGAACAAAGTTATCCGACACTACCATGGTCATCTCAGTGGTGTATACACGCTCGCTTTGCATCCCCGTCTTGACCTCCTAGTCACCGGTGGCCGGGATGGTGTCGCCAGAGTCTGGGACATGCGCACACGAAGCAACGTGCACGTTCTCACAGGCCACAAGGGTACTGTTGCAGACATCAAATGTCAAGAGGCCGACCCACAAATCATCTCCGGCTCCCTCGACTCGACCGTCCGACTCTGGGACCTCGCCGCCGGCAAATCATCGGGCGTCCTAACCCACCACAAAAAGGGCGTCCGCAGCCTCACCACTCACCCCACAGAATTCACCTTCGCCAGCGCCAGCACCGGAAGCATTAAGCAATGGAAATGCCCCGAAGCGGCTTTCATGCAGAACTTTGAGGGCCAAAACGCCGTCATCAACTCCCTCGCTGTTAACGAGGACAACGTGCTCTTCTCCGGCGGCGACAACGGTTCCATGTCCTTCTGGGACTGGAAAACGGGCCACCGGTTCCAGTCCATTGATACCATGGCACAGCCTGGCTCGTTGGACGCGGAGTCTGGGATTATGGCGTCGACTTTTGATAAAACGGGGTTACGTTTGATCACTGGCGAGGCGGATAAGACTATTAAGGTGTGGAAGCAGGATGAGGAGGCGACGCCGGAGACGCATCCTGTTACTTGGGCTCCTACGCTGGGCAGGCAGAGGTACTAGTCTGTTGTTTATACCCCTGAGATGTGGTTTGTTAGGTAGACTAGAGAGGTTGATTTACGCACTATATGGAGTTCAGCGTTTCTGTATTTTGTTAACAATGGTATTGGGTTGTTTTGCGGAACGGTTCGAAAATAAGTTTAATATACTCATCATCTGTGTCTATTTTGCAATGCCAAGCCTAGTAAACACAGGGTATCATTACAGTAATCTAGTTCTATATGGATTAATAAACTAACACATCACTCAATCACCCAATTACTCAATCACTCAATCACTCCCTAACCCCAGCCCCTTCGCCTCCACATCCTCCCGAAACGCAGCCCTAACATCCTCCGGCGCAACCCTCAACCTAACCTTACTACTCCTATCACCCCGATTCGGAATAAGACTACTCCCCAACGCCCCCCTGGAACCCGCACTATTCTCCAGCGCCAGAATACCAGAATTCATAAGCTCCATCGCAGCGAACCCCATAGCCTTCACGCGCGCACTGCTACCACCGGAACCACCGAGGAGGAACTCGCGGATACCGACGCCTGCTGCACCGGCGACGGCGACGGCAGCGTCGGCAAGGCGTTTCGCTTCGTCGAGGATGTCGCCGAATGTGGATTCGGAGATGCCGGTGCGTTTTACGCGGGCGAGGAGCGCAGCGAGGAAGAGTTTTGCGGAGAGGGGAAGGGTGCGGAGGGATTGTTGGAGGGGGGTGGAGGTTGCTTCTTGGATGGCTTGTTTTATGGTTGCGATTGTGACGCGGCCGGGGGTGTTCTTTGTTGGGCCAGTTGGAGCAGGTTTTTGTGGCGAGGTAGATGCAAGTTGGCGTTTGTTGGCTCTTGCGGGGGTTTTGCTGGGTGTTGGAGGAAGGGATTCAGTGCCGTCGTTTATGTCGAAATTGTTTTCTTTGGCGGTTGCGGTTTCGTAGGCTTGTTCTGCGATTTCAACAGCTCGGCGGCAGATATCTAGGGCGCGTCGGGCATCGCCGCTGACGGCCGCTACTTTTCGACTTGCGAATTGGATGGCATCTGGATCGACGATGTTGCCTGGGACGTTGCTTAGACGTGTGGTGATGATTTCCATCAAATCTGTATGTTTGTATCCTGGGAATGTGATACGAGTCAAACCCAGACGACTGGAGATCTTGTTGCTCAGTGTACGTTCGGGCAGGTCCATAGTGTTTGCGACGGCCAGGACGATGAGGCGTGAGTGTCGGAGGGCAGGCCAATTGAAGAAGTTGTACATCACCGATTGGTTCTTTGTGACCAATTGATCGAGTTCGTCCATAAGGACGACGCACGAGACTCGTCGAGGCGACGGGTGTGAGAGCTCTCTCTCAAGAAGGTCAAGCGCATGTGACGGGGATACACGATCACCCTTCAATGCTTCCCAGAGCAAGGAATATGATTGGTGAGGATCAGTAATCTTCATTCCGTTAATCTCGACGAATATAAAGTCGTCCATCTCTTCTGCAAGCACGGCTGTGTTTAGCTGTGCGACAACCTCGCGGACAGTTGCTGTCTTGCCGGTACCCGGTGTCCCTGAGATGTAGATACAGGTGCCGGTTCCTTCCATGATCGCGCCACTGAGATGGCTGTAGACAGTATCGAATTCGGTCTTTCGGCAGGGTAGTGATTCAGGAACAGTAGAGACGTGGAGGACGTTACGTGCTTGACGATAAGGAGAGGCGAAATGAGTAGGTGCAAGGACGCGAGTACCGAGAGGGGTAAATTCGAGGGGCTTTTTGACGACGATTCTGTTGAATATTGTCAGTTTTTGCATATGGGATGATAGACAATGACTGTTTGTACCGTTTGTTACTCGGAGTGGTCAGGGTCTTATGCCGTCGCGATTGCGGCGTGGCACCAATAGCTGTTTTCTGTCTCTTTCTCGGAGTAGCAGGCTCAAAAGTATCGTCGTCTTTCGTATCGACGTACTAGTCACGATTCAGTTAGTACTACACATCTCAATGGACCTGAAATAGAACTCACATCATCATCGGCTGTCTTGCGCTTTTTGGCCGCCTTTAATCCATCCTTGATCATGTCGATGAGATCAAAAATCCTATCCTCCTGATATACATCTTCCCATTTAAACTCATCTGTATACCTCCCCTGCAGCTGATTGACACCTCGTCGACAGACTATACACTTGTTGTAGTCTGCCAATGCCTCTTTCCCCTTAGGGGCCACGCCGTTCGGATACCTGGAATAAAAGACCTCCTTGGACATCACCGTAGCTTTCCCATTAATCGAGGTCAATGGATTACTATTGAAATCCGCCGTCAAGTATTGCTCATTCGGCAATGCATCCGTTCTCCTCTTGTTCTTGGTTGACATGAACTCGTCCGGCGAGGCAAACCACATAATGTTGGCTGACTTGACCATTTCGTCCTCGTCCTCGTCTTCCTCCTCGGTGAATTGTGTGATGATCCCGACCCAATCCTTTCCAGGCTCTGGAGACTTCAGCAAAACTACCTGACCCAATTTGCATTCGAATGTGCCCATCCGTGCGCCGACAATCTTGGGTCCTTTCTTCGTAGCCGGCCGTGCAGAACGCCTTCGAGACGGCGTCGCTTCAACATTTTCTTCGGTACTCCTATGTTCGTCATTGTTCGCCTCGTATACCCACTCCCACGGAAGATCCTCGTCGCCGAGCTCGTCGTCGGAATCCTCTCTGACCAAACCGCCCTTGGTCATCCATTGCTGGGCTCGTTCTTCGGCATTGCGTCTGCGTAATTGCCGGTCAGCGCTATCGACTGTAGGTTCCGGCGACATTTCCATTCGTATAGTCGACAAGCAGTAGTAAATGGCGTAAGAGTGATCGGGTTGAAAGTGCAAAGAAAAAAGAGGCGCGTTCCGGAAGACGCGTTGTCCACTTTGGTCCTAATCAGGTTAGCGTATTCCGGGGATGGTCAACCAATAAAAGGGTAGAATTGGATCTATACGGTGTTTTTATATAAAGGTTCGGGAACACTCCAGGTGTTGTTGCTTGGAATGATATTAAATAAAATAAGTCCAATTGGGGCTGAAATGGATCTGTATTCCGTATATCAGGGAATGGACGCATTGACTGGTTGCTGCATAGCAAACGGTCTTTCTTTGTGAATGCAGATTGGCTGCAATTAGCCCGAAGAATACTTCTAATATGTCTCTAATCAATAAAAACAGTGAATATTGCTTTTGTATGTAATTCTGTGGACGAAGGTAAAGAGCTCCTTCTCTGGGTGTCACATGGACTCCTAACCTCTCAACCTCTTCATCTCTTCCATTTTCCTACCTCTTCCTCCTCGACTTCTCTTTTCCTTCCTCCATATCATCTACTCTTATAGCCTCAGTAGCTCTTTACCTTCGTCGCAGTTTTACTGTTCTCTTCTCCATCTTTCTTGTTATCCTCTTCCTTTCGCTCTGTCTCGCACGCTCCCTCTCACTCGGCTCCATGAGGCAGTGACCTCTAGTCCGTCGTCAACCACAACCTCAATCTGAACAATGGAGTGAGTGTAGAAACGTATTTTCGTTTAAATCTTGCAACGGCTGACACCCTTTAGCCACGAAGCTTCCGGTGCCCAAGGTACGAACCAATCATCCATAGCACCACCACGACCCATTCCTGTTCTTGGCTAACAATTACCGAAGAGTGGCAGCTACCAGGCTACGGCCGAGGAACGCCAACTACACTTAGATCGTCATCAAAACAGACAACGACCCGAACTTTAGAATCCGCTTCCAAGAGCCCCATGAACAGCCAGAAGTCCGCCGCCGGACAGTCTCAGTGCCATGTGTCGAGTCCCACTCCTGGAGCCAGAGGACCAACTCCGAATGGCCGTGGATCCGGCCGAGGAGGATTTCGAGGAAGAGGACGTGGAAGCTATAACACTGGACGCGGTAATTCTAGTACTGCTGCGTCTCGCAATTCCACCCATCTCTTCAAAGATTCCCCTGCGAAGGCCAAGTGGAGGGCTAAAGAGGAAGCTAATGGTTAGCAGAGCTGTATTCATTTGGTTGATGTTGAGCTAACATAATGGGAAAGGATTCATCAAGCTGCCCACTTCCTGGGGGTCGATCAAAAATGAGTGAGTCGTTTTTGTATTGATTGCTTGATACTAGACACTAATGTCTCCAGATTTTCTGCTGCAGCAAAGAGCAAGCTCGATTCAAGAAAGACCGCTGCTTCTACTGGACGTTACGAGGTTTTCGAAGACATTTCCCAAAAGACAGGCGCCTTTGTGAACCCACCGGCGTCGTATACCCAGCAGGTAATCAATCTTAACAACCAGCCACAGCAGGAGTTGACAGTGAGGCAGGTGCTCTACATATGGGGGGACTCGACTCAGGTTGCGTCTGCAAGAGACATACTGCATGAGCTTATTGCACAATGCAACAGCGCACGGTCTACCAAGAAGAACAAAATTGAATGGACCAAGATTTACGCTCATTCTAATATGAAAGAGGCAGATATGGACCTGAAGGAGAGACGGGAAACGATACTACAGCAGCTAAGAAGAGTCCCGGATTTTCCATCAGCCTTCCCTGAGCAGGTGAGTACTATCCAACGGACTTAGCGTTTACGGGTTTGAAATGCTAAACGGCTTGCTTTGTAGTTGCTCTTTCTTTGGCCAAAGGACGGGCCACCTCTTAACGAATCTCTTGGATCGCATCTCGAAGCTCTTGATGTCATTCGGGCAAAATTTGGCTGTCACTTGTTCACCCCGAAAGAGCTCCCTGATTGTATTTGTGCCCTTGGTCAGAACCATGATGATATGCGACAGATCGCCCATCGTCTCCGCACCAAATGGAGCGAGATAATAGTGAGCAGCAACGTTAAATCCAAGATTCTCGTCGTTGAGCCTCCTGGACCGAGTTCTATGGGAGGACAGATTGTAGTTAAGAATAACAATCAGTTTGCGAGAGCTTTCCTGCATGGCAATAGCAAAAAGGGGCTAAATTTGGAACAATGGGCTGATCGTGCTGCTTTGATACAATCGAAGAATAACGACCGCATTCTCAGTGCCATCGAGAAGTCCCTACGTGGCGTTGCGTTTGTTCGTGGGCATCTTCGCATGCGCGTTAATATCGGTTCGTTTGTGCTGGATAAATATCGCCGCCCAAAGGACGACAAGCCGTCGTACGCATTCGAAGAGTTCAGGGAGATGTTGATGCATGAGCAGACAAAAGGCCGTTTGGTACCCGGGTATGGAAACTTCATATTCTATTTTTTTTCTTCTTTGCTGCAAGCGCAATGCTAACTGGTTTTATCAACGTATAGGCTGAGAACTAACCAAGATGAGCTCCTCGCGAGTTGCTTCCAAGCCACTACCCTCCTCGAGTCATATGAAAGCGAAGATCGTGCATTGGAACGTGCGGAACCTGCATTTTCCGTCAATTTTGAATTCCTGGGCTCCAACAATGACCTCCTCCGGCTGGAAGCGGAATTTGCTAAATGCCCTGGTGCGCAAGAGTATGAGGTAACCCAACGCCGCTGGCTCAGACCTCGCAGCGGTGGCCAGACGATTGACAAACGATCACCTCTTCAGATAGCTGTTGTCGACTTTGAACGGTATGTTACTCGGGTTCCTTCGAAACGAAACGAAACTGAGTTTCGAGCAGGTCCGACTGGCAGCTAGAGATTAAAAGCCTGGATTTCCAAGAAGCATCATTAATCGATTCAGCATTGAGGTCCTTTTCTCACTCTATCAATTTTCGACGTACTGAGAACATGAACGACATTTCGGCGGCGCCACAGAGGAAGGTTATATTTCCCGTAACGGCTCCGGTGTCGAGATTTGTGGAGAAAACGGCGATTCGTTATCGACTAATGGGAACGAAGTATACGTTTGAGATCGCAAGATACGACGAGTACAGTCGCACTCTCGTTCCTGCGTTCACGGGACAGAATCCACCAACCCATGTTGGTTCAATTTCGGAAAAGCCATCCACCTCCTGGGGTGCGTCTGTATTCGATCCCAACTGGGACAATCTGCTAGGACAGCACGCAAACCTGCTTGTCGGTCATTCGGCCCGATACAGTCCCAATTTGGATACCTTCTTCCCACCCTACTTCACACCCCAAAAGCAGTCCAGCTCGGGAGAAAAGCATACTGGTTTCTGGAACTTTGTCAGCTTGGTGCAGCAGGCCGCAGAGCTTCTTAGTCCGGCGCGGCCTTTGTCGCCGCCGGCACCCAAGGCAGACAGTAAGCTCTCGCCTAGCCCTAAGAAACCGGCAAGCCCAGGCGACAAGAAAGGCAAGACTACTTCAAACAGTTCTTCACCCACTATAGACGCTAAAGGTCTTACCGGAATGATTGACGCGGATCTTGGTACTCTCTTCTGAGCGAAGCTAACTTCAATGCATATGGGTGTTGTTTAGTTCATGAGTTCATGAGCTTGATGGTCCTGATCCAAAGTCATTTTTTTTTTATTTCCTCTAATTTCTTTTCTCTTTTTGTTATGATTTCCTTATTACACTTTGAGATGTGATCCGAGGCGTTTATCTAATCAAATACGTTGCCAGCACGCATTCGTTTTAGTGGTTTATGTTTTTTGTTTCTCTTTTCCGTTTTCTTTACATTTCTGATTGCCTGGTGATGGCAGCCCGATTCATACTGTACATTGCAAGAAATCATCCAGTGTTTGCCGGAGTGGCCTCACCACTGAGAACCTTTTGCCTTAGGACTAGAATGAAAGTTAGTTATGATATGTATTCCAATGGCTGGACACGTTGATACTCACCGTCCTCAATAGCCCTCAATTGCACATCCTTTCCTTGCACCACCTTAGCCAGATCTTTCAGATTGTTCTCCAAGCCCTTAATCTTGGTATTATAGAAATCAATCGCCTTTGCCGTAGTCTGTCCGCGAGTCAGCCACACCCAAACACACCACCCAACACCATAACCCTAGAAAGAGCCTACCTTTTCAACATAAAACCCCGTCCCAACGTCAACAAGAACTTTTTCCCGATCCGCCAATTTTCCCTTAACATACAACGAACTCGTCAACGGCACCAGAATCTCATCCTTCCCATCTGTCCCCTTCGCCTGCGACCCCCTGACGCCGTCGTTGATCGAGCGCACACAGTCTTGGAACTTGGTCTGCGCGGCGCGGAGCTTCGTGTGCGAGGTCGTTAAGTGTTCGAGTTCAGTGGTTAGGCGGGTTTGCAGTGCGCGGAGTTGAGGGACGGTGAGGGTGGAGACGTTTACTGTTGTTGCAGTATTGAATTAGTGTGTGTGGCTTATGGTAAAGGGGGAGAAGGATGGGATTGGTGTTATGGGTCATGGGGTATGCGTACTTGCGCCTGGGGGAGCTCCGTCGTTGGATGCGGGGGTGCTCATTTTGTCTGGAGGTGGGTGGTTCTGGGTTTGAACGATCCCTTTGCACGGTTGGGTAAGAGTGTCAATTATATATCTGGGATACAATACACCCAGGGATATCAGGGTTGGTGCAGATGGAGAGGAGAGGAGGGAGCGTAGTGATGCGTGCGCGGGGAGCTGTGGTGACGGTGTTTTTTTGATGATGGTTGGCGGGCGTGGAAATATGGTATAGTGGGCTTTGAACACAGGCGTTTTTGCGGCAGTATATATATTTCCACGCACCATTAGTAGGTAATATCATGTACATGAGATTGATATTTATTTCTATGATACAGTGACAACCACATAAAATACATTTTATAAAGCATAATCATCATTCACAATCGCTCCAGCAAAGACCGCACAAACATCGGCAGCTCATCCAAAGGAACGTCTTCTCTCAGGCCCAACCGACGACACTGCACCTCCAACGTCTGCTGATTCTTCCATCCTTTACCAACTACCACGATGATTGGGTATCCGATGAGATCGGCATCGCCGAGTTTCCATCCCATCTGCTTATCACGGTCGTCGAGGATAGCATCAACAGGAGCGGCAGGGTCATATGATACAAACGAATCGTATACCTTCTCCGCTTCACCCTCGAGACCCTTCCCAGACACGACGATAACTTCGTACGGAGCCATAACCCGTGGCCAATTAAGGCCCTTTGTGTCCGCAAGGCGATCTGCCACAGCTGTGATCATTCGCGAGACACCAATTCCGTGACAACCCATTTGCATCGGAACAATCTGGTCTTTTGAGTTTGTGGCGCCGAGCAGGGACTTGTCAACCATGACCGATGCACTGAGGACGTCACTGTAGCGAGTCCCAAGGTAGAATGTGTGTCCTAATTCGACTGCGGTGTCGAGATTGAGGATTCCCTGCGTGCATTTAGGGCATGTGTCACCGTCGTGGACTTTAATTAGGTCCAGGCCGTTGGTTGTGTTGGGGAATTTGTCAAGCATGAAGTATTCGATTTCGTTTGTCGAGCGGCCGGTGCCCTGGAGGAGGTCACTGAGGGGTGGACGTTGGTAGACTCGTACTTGGTTGTCGTAGAGGTCTAGCACGCTGGGCGTTGAGCCGTCGGAGGAATTTTGGGATTTGATATATGTGATCCACTGTTCGAGCGGATTTTCCACGCTCAGGTCGATGTCGATTCCTGCTGCTGTGACGATGGATTTCACGGCGTGGGAGCTGACTTCTCTTTCCGTGGGTTCTTGGGACCCGGGTTGTTTGAAAAACTTAGGATACCATCCCCGGATCAGAGTTCTCTTGTCTCTTGAGATGGCGAACCAGGCACCTGTCGAGACCGTCCCTGAACCGTCTGTAGATGATTCCTCCGTAGCGAAACCGGCCGACGGCGAAGATGCGGCACCAGCACCATGAGCCTTTCCATCCGCAAGCTCCTCATTGTAAACATGATCGCAGTTCGAGCAACTGATTAGCGTATCTTCGCCCTTGGAAGTAGGGAAGTGGAATTCATGGCTTAGGCTTCCGCCCATGTTGCCCGAATCTGCAGCAGCAACTAGGTAGGGTATTTTCAGCTCGTTGAAGAGGTGCGTATATGCCAATTTGACGGCTTTGTATGTTTCCAGAGCTTCTTCGACGTTGTAGTCAAATGTGTAGAGGTCTTTCATTATAAATTCTCGGCCGCGAAGAAGGCCCTGTCGTGGTCTGGGCTCATCGCGGTATTTCCTTGCTGTGCTGCGTCAGTCTATTGCTTGGTTAATTCGGGATTAGACTTACATATTTGGTATACCCGTAAAGGTAAATCTTTGTATGATTTTGTGAGACTCCCGACTAATGTAGTGATTTCCTCTTCGTGTGTAGGGGCGAGAAGGAAACGGGATTCCTTTCTATCATGGAATCTGAAGACCTGAAAAACCTTATTCATAAAAGACTCATGTAGTATATAAATGAGGAACTCACCTCCGAGCCCTCCTTTAACCGGCCAGACTGCTCCCAGAGCTCTTGGGAGGATAGTGAAGATAACGAAACCTTAGAAGCGCCTTTATCTGTTAGCGCAAGAATGTTTCGAGAGGGAAAGATGCATCTCACCCACAGATCTCATGTGCTTGTCAATAAGTCGTTCAAGTTTATCCTGGACACGCAAACCAAGCGGTAGCAAATGAAATATCCCAGAGTAAGCCTACATCCAAATTAGCAACTGGTGGTCAACAATCTTGGAAGAGGGTACAACCTGACGAAGAAATCCGCCCCGGACCAGAAGGTCATTTGCGTCCTCTGTGTACTATTAATGCTCACGCACACTTTGTTTTAGAATATGAGGGCATACCCTTCTTGCCCTCTACGGCTTTCTTGGAGATGCCTCCCGTCGGGATCCAGAAGTTTGATATCCGGCTTCTACCATCGGTCTGTGACAAGCTTTAGCGTTCGACATGAATTGGGTCCCGTTTCTATGCGTACATGTAAACCACATTTCGGGATTCTATGAAATCGGACAATCCCCAAAGATACTCGATGCACCGCCGAGATATGCCCCGGACGTGGGCGATGCCCGAACACCATGGACTTTAAAGTTTATGAAAAATGAGTAGAGCAATTGAATAAATAAAGTCAATATTTAGAGAATAAACTGTTTATATCCAGAAATTACAAGCAACCGAATGCGTTGTATGCAGCACAAACTCCGAAGCGGAAAACCGCATCAACAATTCCCCGGCGGACTTAATAATTTCGGGGCATTTGGGCGGCAGAAAAAAAGACAAGAAAAAAGTTCACGCCTCGATTTATGATATTCAATATCACATTCCCAACCATACAAATTCGCCATGGCGAAAAATAATAATAAAGGGAAAGACTCGGCTATTCCAAATGGCGGCGTCGCATTAAACGATTCCAACACCGGGGGAGATTCTCTCCCCAATTTCGAGGAAAACGCATTCGCCGGCCTGCGACAGAAAATCGAACAGAAGTTGAAGGATCAGAACTCCAAATCGAAGAATAAGGGCAAGGGTGGCGCGAAGGATGCTCTTAAGAATGATATCCCTAAGAAGGATGCGCCGACTCCTAAGAAGGACAACAACAACAAGAAGGAAACAGCACCGAAACCTGCGCCGAAGCAAGAACCGAAGAATGATAATAAGGGCAAGAAACGAGATCGTAGCGGTGATGTGATCATGCGAGAGGAGAAGTCTGCTGGGAAAGATAAGGCATCGAAATCGAATGACGATGATACTCTGCGCCAGGAGATTCTGGCTCTCGGAGGTACTGAGGAGGATCTCGATTTGATTGCGGGTGCTGAGTCTGAGGATGAAGTGGAAGACGCGAATATTTCGAGGAAATCGGGCAAATCTGATGATGATGCATTGCGCAAAGAGTTGTCGGGTATGCTGGCAGCTGCGGGCCAGGTTGTGCCAGAAGACTTGAAGGATGACGAGGTGGAAGAGGAAGAGGAGGAGGCCGACGACGACGAGGAAGAAGATGGAGATGGAGATGATGAAAGCGATGAACAGGAACAAGCTGAAGAAGAGGAGTCTGATGCGGAAGTGGAGACCTCTCCTGAGCCTTTGAAGGAGACAAGAAAGGAACCCACAAAATCAGATGAATTCGTTGTTCCCAAGGAGTTCGCTAGTCTCGTATGTATACTAACCCAAACCCAACTGTTGGGAGAGGTCGAGACTAACAGAAAATTAGGCTATTCCTCCAAGATCTGACTGGTACGCGACATCTCTCCCACCGATCAGAGCTGCGAAGCTAGCAACTACACTTCCCCGTTATGTGGTCGAGCGATTACACGCACATGCCTTGTCGCTGTTAGAGAAGGATACAAAGATGTACAATGCCGCGCAACAAGCCTCAGCATCCTCATCCCACAAGTTTTACTCGACCATCATGGCCTCCGGTACCCTCAGCGACAAGATCTCCGCCCTCACGCTTGCCGTCCAAGAATCTCCGGTGCATAACACCAAGGCATTGGAAACTCTGATCGGTCTCGGAAAGAAGCGGAGCCGTACACAAGCAGTCGAAGTGCTTCGGTCTTTGAAGGATATGTTCGCCCAAGGTACACTTCTCCCGAACGACCGACGACTCCGTTCATTCGCGAACCAGCCGTCCCTCATGGCTGCATTCCAAGGAGTCGACCAGAAGTGGACTGAGCAGGATCCTCTTCCCAACGGTCTTCAAAACCGTCATCTCATCCTGTGGGCCTACGAAAACTTCCTGAAGGACCAGTACTTCGAAGTTCTCAAGATCATGGAAGTCTGGTGCAATGATGAGATCGAGTTCTCCCGCTCCCGAGCCCTGAGCTACGTTTACGAACTGCTCAAGGAAAAGCCCGAACAGGAAGCAAACCTTCTGCGACTGCTGGTTAACAAGCTCGGTGATCCGAGTAAGAAGATCGCATCCCGTGCTTCGTACCTGCTCCTGCAGCTCGAACAGGCGCATCCCCTCATGAAACCGACGGTCGTCACATCTATTGAAGAGGTGCTTTTCCGGTCAGGACAAAGCCAGCACGCCAAGTACTACGGTATCATCACATTGAACCAGACAGTCCTGAGCTTGAAGGAGGAGAAGACTGCGGCCAAATTGCTTGATATTTACTTCGCGCTGTTTGTTACTCTGCTCAAGTCTCACAAGCCCGTTAAGAGTCAGCAAGGCAAGAATAAGTTCGGTAACAAAAAGTATATCAAAAAGGCGAAGGAAGAAGAAAAGGGTCTTGCTCAGCAGGAGGAAATGCAGGACAAGCTTGTATCTGGTGTTCTGACTGGTGTCAACCGAGCTTATCCCTTCACAAGCTCTGACACTGCTCGGTATGTTATCTTCTTTCTTTCTGCGACGAGCACTAGCTAAACTACTACAGTCTTTCGAAACACATCGACACTCTGTTCCGCATTACGCACTCGTCAAACTTCAACACGAGCATCCAAGCTCTCATGTTGATCCAGCAATTGACGTCATCGCACCAGGTCGGCGCTGACCGATTCTACCGGACATTATACGAATCGCTACTTGATCCCCGGGTTGCCACGTCATCCAAGCAAGCACTTTACCTTAATCTTCTGTTCAAGGCATTGAAGAACGACGTGAATATCCGACGTGTTAAGGCGTTTGTCAAGCGTTTAGTTCAGATCCTCGGCCTGCATCAACCCTCGTTCATCTGCGGCATTTTCTATTTGATCCGCGAGTTAGAGAAAACTTATAGTGGTCTGCAGACGTTGCTTGACCAGCCCGAGGAGAATGAGAGCGATGAGGAAGAAGTGTTCCGGGATGTGCCTGACGAGGATGATGAGCAACCACAACAGCCAGAGCAACCCGAAGCTAAGCCGCAGAAGCCTCTGAATTTATATGACCCGCGCAAGAGAGATCCAGAGCACAGCAACGCGGATAAGACTTGTCTCTGGGAACTGGTGAGTTATTTTAAACATCCATGCATGATACCTTGAAATCAAACTAACACGTGGTAGCTCCCTTACATGACGCATTTCCACCCGTCAGTATCGGTCAATGCGGCTCATATTCTCGACCACCAAACAATGAGTGGCAAGCCCGATCTAACCATCCATACCCTCTCGCACTTCCTTGACCGCTTCATCTACCGCACGCCCAAGGCGGACAAGGGCGCACGGGGAGCGTCCATCATGCAACCACTTGCCGGTGGAGAAACAGCCGATCGGTTGGTTGGCGCTGGCAAGGCCGCAACCCACGTGCCACTCAACTCAGAAGCCTTCTGGAAGAAGAAGGCGGACGAGGTTTCTGCGGAGGATGTCTTCTTCCACGAATACTTCAGCCGTGTCGGGAAGGATAAGGAGAAGAGCAAGGCACGGGGTAAGAAGGATGGCAAGGATCCTGTTGCCAAGGATGAAGAGGATGGGGATCTCAGTGAAAATGAGGATCAGATTTGGAAGGCCCTTGTTGATTCTCGGCCGGAACTTGAGGAAGGCGATAGCGATGATGATCTGGACATGGATGATCTCGAGTCTGCTTACGATGCGGAAGAGAACGCAGACGAAGGCAGTGGCGATGAGGGAGTTATCTTCAACGACGAATCCGACAAGTCTGATGAAGAGGAGCCTGTCGACGAAGACATGTTCGAGCCAGAGCCAGCACCCAAGCCCAAGTCCAAGACCAAGGACTCCAAGAAGAAGGACGAAGAGCCCTCAGACGAGGACGACTTCGACATGGACGTCTCGGACGACGATGCCTTTGTTGGAAGCGACGAGGAGCTGCCTATGGATATGGGTGCGTTCGAAGAGGAGGAAGAGCAAGAGGAGAAACCGGCCAAGGAGAAGGACTCGGAGCGCAAGAAGCGGCGCAAGCTCAAGCACCTGCCTACATTTGCATCTGCGGACGACTACGCGGCGCTACTGGATGGGGAAGAGGATGGGATGTAATTTTTCTTTACTTGGACATAGTATACTGCAGATACCAAAAGCATTCATTTACATCTTCGCCTGTGTGTCATGTGATGTAGAGCTACCACTGGTAATGCTGTACCTGCACAGAGGATACTGACGATACCAGAAAGCCAATTCCGACCTCATCTCAGCAGTACATCAGAGCAGTGTCAGTGGTCCGGGTCAAGGCATACAGTACTCGGCATAGAGTACCTAGAGGCATGACATCATGCGGACGACTACCGGAAGTCCCAGACGAACCTTGTCTAGCTGAGCTCTAGAGCATCCAGCTGTATATGATTGAAAGGATCCATGTATTGAAATTGATGTAGGTATTAGCACTATGTGATATACATAGTACGGCAGTGTTCAAAAATACTGTATGAGGCTGTTGGCACGTGGGATCACGCCATATCCACTCCCGGTCATCTCAGATCGACTAACCGTTTTGGGGCTGTCATTTGAATTTTCCTGGTTCCAGACTTTCAAAGGATTTGTTAGTGTATTGTATCTGATACTGTATTTAATCATCTGATAAATCCTTTACTCTGTTTACTCTGTACTCTGTATAGAGATAGATAAAACTAACACCATATTTAAAGTCACTGATATAATTATACGCGCTAAAAACGGATGCGGGGCAGTTCCTTGGCATGGACCAATGGCCGGGAACAGTCCAATGGGCCGTGCATACACTGTAAGCATCATGGCCCGCCGACTTAGGTGTGTTTTAGTGTGGCCTTCGTCACTCCTCGGTGACCCCGGCGTAATTCTCGTAAAATTAAATACATGCCTCTCACTCTAGCCCGTAATGCGTATAATCAACGAACCTGTTGAGATTCAATTGGGCATAAATAATCACGATCTATTCCTTGCTTTTTTTTTTTTTTTAAGTTTTGATTTTTATTTTTTTTTCTTCCCTTTTCTGTCAAATCGGCTGCATCCGTGATCAAGTAGCGTTCGTAGTCTGCTCATTTCCTGTTTAGGAATCCGGATAAGGTCTTTTCTTATTTTCTTTTTCTTTGCCTCTTCGTTGCCTTTTTCTTCGCTCGATCTCTCTCTCTTTTTCTCTTGTTCTTTTCAAATATTCTCTTCCCTGCATTCGTCTGTTTGTTGTAGTTTTCTTTTTTCTTGGGTAATTGAAGGTGAGGGCTCCATCTTGAATACTACCCTGTCTCCATCACTGGATTTTCCCCGGACTCCCGATACTAACGTCTCCCGCCTAGTTCTATCACACTCAAAACTCCTGTCGCCAAGCGCAGTACATGCATCCCAAGGTGCTCAGTATTTCCTCTTCTCTTCGCTCTACCGCTTCCTTCCACTCGCGGCTCGTCCGCTTCATAAAATGGCGGCGTACGACCACGACCAGGACCACGACAAGTCCAAGCTGCCAACCGTTTCCCCTCAGGACGACCAACAGTCTTCGTCGCTCTCCGACAAACTCGAGAATGACCACGACCATGATCCTGCCAAGTTGAAAGACTACGATCCGGCCAAGGCGGAACATCGCGCTGGTGGTGGACACTCGGATACGGAGGGAGAACTTGTGCGGCAGATCGAGCTGGAGTCGGAAAATGCCATCAAATATCGCACTTGTAGTTGGCAGAAGACGGCCGCGCTGCTGTTCTCCGAGTACATTTGCCTGGCGATCATGTCGTTTCCTTGGTCGTATTCCATTTTGGGATTGGTGCCGGGGTTGATTCTGACGGTGTTTATTGCGTCAGTCGTGCTTTATACCTCGCTTATTATATGGTACGTTTATGGTTTATGTTGGACAGCGCGCGCGCATTGGAACTCTAGAATGAGCTAACTCCCGTAGGCGGTTCTGTTTGAGACATCCCGAAGTTCGGGACGTGTGCGACATTGGCCAGTACTTATTCTGGGACTCTAGGACTGTCTGGTACTTGACTGCGGTGATGTTCCTGTTGAACAATACCTTCATTCAGGTACTTCTTGAACCTTTTTCACTTGGCTTCATATCTAACATCATGCAGGGCGTACACATCTTGGTCGGTGCGGAGTGGCTCAACACCATAAGCAACCATGGCACTTGCACCATTGTCTTCTCCGTGGTTACCGGTATCGTCTCGTGGATCTGTTCGCTTCCGCGAACATTCGACACCCTATCCAAGGTCGCCACGTTCTCCGCGCTTTTCACGTTCATCTCGGTCCTGCTGGCCATGATTTTCGTCGGCATCGAATCGCACCCGGCCGGCTACACTCCCGACAAGGGCGACCCGATCTATACGGCCATCCCGGTCGCGGGAACGACTTTCGTGTCCGCCGTCAATGCCTTCCTGAACATCAGCTACACGTTCATCGGTCAGATCACGCTTCCCAGTTTCATTGCTGAAATGAAGGAGCCCAAGGATTTCTGGAAGTCCGTGACAGCCGTGACCGTCGCAGAGATCATTGTTTTCAGTATAGTTGGCGCCGTCGTCTACGTCTACACCGGCAATCAATACATGACAACGCCTGCCTTTGGATCAATCGGTGACGAGGTACTCAAGAAAGTGTCATTCTCGTTCATGGTCCCGACCTTGATCTTCCTTGGCGTTCTCTACGCCTCCGTCTCTGCTCGGTTTGTCTTCTTCCGTATCTTTGAAAACACCCGTCACAAAGGCAACCATACGGTGGTCGGGTGGGTCTCTTGGGGTGCCATTCTCGCAGTGCTCTGGGTCTTAGCCTTTATCATTGCCTCGGTCATTCCCTTCTTCAACGACCTGCTCTCCATTATGAGCTCCCTATTCGATTCCTTCTTTGGCTTCATCTTCTGGGGTGTGGCTTATATCCGGATGAGGCGGGAAGACTATGGGCCGGACTTCTATAAGAAACGTGGCATCCGCGGCTGGCTGGGCTTCCTTCTGAATGTTGGACTTATTGGTGTGGGTCTTTTTTTCTTAGGCCCAGGAACCTACGTAAGCCACATCCTCTTCCTTTCTATCTTGACCATAGCTAATGATTGCAGGCCTCTGTTATGAGTGTCATTCTCAACTATCGGGCTGGAACCGTGGGGAGCCCCTTCTCCTGTGCCAACAACGGTCTCTAGACTACAATACTCTGTAATTATTTGATCATTTCAAGGGATCTACGAGAAGGTCCCTGGGGAAACAAAATGGCGCGAAGGTGTTCTAGATTGATAATGCCGGGTAATCGGGTGGGATTTTCTTTTATTTTAACATTGCAAAAGTTAGTCGATTCACCGTGGGAAGAGTCGTCCATGAGTCCGGCGGAGTACCATATCTTTGAATCTCTAGGATGGAGATTCATTCCCAGTCGAGTAAAAATGCTCAATCCGTAGATAAGCTTAACGTATTCCGATTCTCTCGATACCGCTGTCGGACATTGCGTCATTCCGCGGGGATGTCCTATCTCCACGTGACTTTTCCGTTATCTCGCCGACTGTTTTCTCTCGTCCTCCGGTGCGACTTTCCCATTTTCTTACAATTCCTTGCCATATCACACATCAGCTCATAATGTCGACCCTCCAGCCATTGCGACGAGGCATCAGCCTGCTGGGCGCAAGATCTCTGGCCTCCCAAGCCGCTCCTGTCGTCTCCAATGGCTCGCGACAAGCCCTCCGCCTCCGCTCCCCCGCCACTAGACGCCCGGTAGCGAGATTTGGCCCTGCGCTCCGTCACTTGCAGGCGCGCTTTGCGTCGTCGGAGGCAGCTAGCAAGACGCAGTTGTATGATTTGCATGTTGCGCGCGGTGCGCGGATGGTTCCTTTCGCGGGGTTTGCGATGCCCTTGCAGTATTCAGATCTGAGCCATGTTGAGAGTCATAACTGGACGAGGGAGAAGGCGAGTTTGTTTGATGTTAGCCACATGTATGTTCCTCTTCAGAACAGAGAGTGAGGGGAACAGTGTTAACTTGCATAGGGTGCAGCACCGTCTGAGCGGACCCGGGGCAATGGAGCTTTTGATGAAAGTGACGCCGTCGTCGCTTGATAAGCTCCACACCAACCAATCCACTCTGTCCTGTCTTTTGGAAGACGGAACTGGTGGTATTGTTGATGACTGCGTTATTACCCGCCAGGGCGAAGACAGTTTCTACTTTGTCACCAACGCCGGCCGTCGCCAGGAGGATCTCGCCTTCTTGCAGACAGAGATCGAAGCCTATCGCGGCGCCAACGGTGCAGACAGCATCAAGTGGGAGATCATTGACAACGCACTGGTCGCTCTTCAGGGCCCCTTGGCTGCCTCCGTGCTCCAGCCCCTCATCCACGGCTCCGGCGCTGAAGCCGACCTCACCACCCTGGGTTTCGGCAACTCCCGCACCCTCTACCTCACTCTCCCCGACGGTTCGCGCACCGCAGAACCCCTCCTCATCTCCCGCACAGGCTACACCGGTGAGGACGGTTTCGAGATCTCCATCCCCACTACCACCCCTACGCTTCCTCAACAGGTCGTCGACCTTTTCCTCGCCAACCCAGACCAAGTCCGCCTCGCCGGCCTAGCAGCCCGCGACTCCCTCCGCCTCGAAGCCGGAATGTGCCTCTACGGATCGGACATCACCACCGCACAAACACCCCCCGGCGCCTCCCTCAGCTGGGTCGTCAGCAAAGACCGCCGCGACCCCTCCACCGGCAACACCAACTTCAACGGCTCCTCGGTGATCCTGTCACAGATTGCATCGCCCGCGAAGACCCTCTCCCAGCGCCGTGTCGGGTTCACCGTGGAAAAGGGCTCCCCGGCGCGTGAGGGGGCGATTATTGTTGATTTGAACGATGAGTCGCGCACGCAGATTGGTGTCATTACGTCTGGTTTGCCGAGCCCGTCGCTTGGCGGGTTGAACATCGCCATGGGGTATGTGAAGCAGGGGATGAACAAGAAGGGGACGGAGGTTGGTGTGTTGGTTAGGAATAAGGTGCGCAAGGCTAGTGTCGTGGGGATGCCGTGGGTTGAGACGAAGTTCTATCGGCCGTAGCTGTTGGTACCTGGCTTAGGGCTTAGTCCCTTTTTGTTATGATGTATATAATGTTTGGCGTGTTTCAACTCTTTCGTTTGTAAAAGCGTTGTCTTTATAGTCTAGGTTTGACATTCAACATAACCTTGATATGAATAAACCGTTCACAACTAACAGCCCTAACACCAACCCCTAATAACCCAATGAAGGCGGCAAATCCCCTTCCCCAGTCCCCCACTCACTCTCCCTCTCCCCAAGAACAAGCACCAACTCCCGTCCCCGCGTAAAAAAATCATGCCCTACCCAATTCCTGCCATACCGCTCCCCATCTAAAAACGCCTCCTGCACAAACACCCTCTTATATCCGGCATCAAAACCTACACACTTCACTCTAGCCACATTCCCAGTGACCGAAGAAGTAACCTCCACCACCTCGAAAAACGGCGCAGTTATTAAATAAACATCCTGTCCCGGATTCGGAAAAAGACCCATCATCGCCATCGCCACAAACGATCCCATTGCACCACTATCATCATTACCCGGTAGACCATTGATCGTGGGGGCGAATGACGAGGGGATGTAAGTGTGCGCGCGGAGGGTTGATTTCGCGGGCCGGCCGGCGTAGTGGTATTGGAAAACTGTTAGGAAGGAGGGTTCGTTGCCTATAGTTGTTATGTGTTTGTTGTGCAGATAGTCGAGACGGGTTGTGAAGGGGGTGGGGCCGCCGAGGTGGGTTATTAGGGTGTGCATTTGGTGGGGGACGAAGAATTGGTATTCCCAGATACTGTCCTCGAAGGTCTCTGCAGCGTTGTTCTGCAGGGAGCATGCGCGGCCGCTGATGTCAATGCTTGAGCAGGTGATCGGGTCCTGTCATATTAGAACCTCTCCCCTTAGACTTTGGATAAGAAGGCTCACCTGATACCCCCAACTCCCATTCAAAAACTTCGGCTGAAAAAACCCCCTAAACCCTGTGTCTTCCCCATTGATAGACGACCCCTGATCCTCCCGGAACAGATTCCTCCAATACCCAGCTCTCTCTTCAAACCTCTCCGCATCCGCGATCTCTCCGACTCCTCGCGCAATCTGCGCAACTGCAAAATCATTATACGCATACTCCAACGTCCGCGAGACACTCCTCGTCATCGGCCCGAAACCAACATAATCAAAGTCTTCGACGGGGATGTAGTGTAGGGATTTCCAGCTGTCGAGCCCGCCGCGGCCTTGCGCAGACCAGTCGAAGGGTTCTACCTCGGCGTTCTTTTTGACGGCGGCATAGCCAGCGGACCAGTCTATATTTTCAGTTAGGTTTTTTATGTAGGCATCTGCGAGGACGATGTCGGCATTGGAGCCCCCTTGGGTGTAGCCTGGTTTGTTAGTTGGGAGTATACAAGAGGAAGGGGGTGGATGTACCTTTGCAAAGGGACATGCGGCAGTCTGGGAGCCAACCTAGGTGTTTTTGGGTGTCGATTAATGAGCGTATCATCCGAGTCACAGATTTAGGGTCAAAGATGGTTAAGAAGGGTAGTTGGGAGCGGAATGAGTCCCACAAACTGTAGATGTCAGTATCATAACACGCAGATACAAAAGGACAGCGTACCAATAGAACGAATCAAAATATGGCTCCGAACTCTCCCACAATGGATTCTCACCGGTATAATCTTGCGGATTAATCATAGTACGGTAGATCCCACTATAAAAATTAGTCAAAAGGGACGAGTTCACCCCCTTCCTCGATACCCTAATAGGAGCCATCTTCTCCGTCCAAATGCCCAACGCGACGGAATGTGTTCCCGGGAAGTTGAAATCTGGAACTTCAGATTCTGCACTCCTGCATGCTTGTTCGCTGCTGATGAAGCTGATGCCGACACGGGCTTGGATCGTTTGGTCGGTTGTGTAATTGAATCTGACAAACGCGCCGCCCTGGTGGAGTTAGACGAGATACGTTGGCATGAGGAGATGGCATACCGGGAGAGGATATCCGTTTATACTGCGGGAGATACTAAGCTCTTTGGCATCCGTGCTAGCGCGCGAATTGACGAAAATCCCACTATCTCGTAATCCTGCCTCGCTTTGAAAGTCCGCGCAGAAGTAAGGAATATAGGAGCCACTTCCAAAACTTGGTAAGAAGCGTGCATGGCCTGTCATCCGGCCTGTGGATTGATCAACAGATATAGTTCCATTATCCTGCCTACTATCCGACAAGTCCGTCAAGTCCAGCAAAATCAACGGACTCGCATCACTCTCGCTCGGGAAACGGAAGCGGAAGAGCGATGTATGATGGGAGACTGTCATGTCCACCATAATCCCCGAATTCATCGTTAATCCAAAATATCCAGGACTTGCGGTTACAGAGTTTGCATCGTAGCCGATCTTGCGGTCTTTTTTGGGATAGGCGCAGCCATTGACATCGTCGTCGTCGCACTTGACGTATGGGAATAGAGGAAAATTGCCAAGCGATGGGGATCCGCCGGTGCCCGAATCATGTAGACCCGAGAAGCCGGTGATATTGCTGCCATCGTACGCAAATCCTCCTTGGTTAGTCGGTGAGTCCGTGTCGGCAACGGCTTTGGCCATGCCGTACGGTATCGACGCGCCGGCGAAGACATTGCCTGGGTGAGAATAGTTTATGAGCTGGATATCATGATATATAGGAAGAACACAGTACCTCCTCCGGCACTTCCAATAAGCGGGTTTATATACTCCAGCACATCATAATCCAGCGTATCTTCACCATTGGCACCAGCTGCCAACAATCCAACGATGCCCACAGAAAAACACGACAAAAACGAATGAGGCGCCATCATCACAAGCAACTTCAAAGGCCTTCCTATTCACAAGCAGGGTGGGAGGGGTAAAGAAACCTGAAGAGTACTATCGAGTAGCCACATACCAATGAGCGCATCCCTTCCTTGCCGCGAGTACTTGTAATCTAGGGATAGGATATTTAATGACACCCCCCATGTGTGTAGCCTTGTTAGCTCTGTAATGTGGGCATCCGGCACATGTTTCTTGATGAGTCTCTGTCGATCGCTGCAGGGGAATTCTTTGTTCCGTAGGTTGATAGGTACTTGTACGACTTGGTGTATGCACCTTTCCGTAGCACGGTCACGCATTATTTGATATGGCGGCGAGATCCATGGTCGTTTTGCTTTTGTCTTGTTGAGGCAATTTTTTGGAAGGTTGTCTAATGAATACCGTTTGCCGTGGTGCAGGATATGAGGTCGTCTCTCCTTCCTCCACTAAGCTGATGGGAAGAAGTCAATGTCAGTATAGCATCATGAGAGGTGCTAATCTCACCAAGAAGCTGACATGGATTTCACTAAGAGTGCAGTCGAAGCCTGGAGTGAAGTCGAAGGAAGCACCAAAACGTGTCTGTGGATAGTATCATGTGGTTTCTATGTTAGAAACGACCATGAAGCGGATGCATTATGTTCAAGAAGCTAGATACATACAAAAAAAAAAAAAAAAAAAAAATGAAATAGAAAACAGCTGATGATTGGTGCATCACTTATTGAATACACCCCGAGGCAGGCTTCAACTGCCGAGCGTGAATACAACTCCAGTCTCCAACGAAACTGCTGAGTCTTCCAATATGCCCATCTCTTGTCCTTCTGCTAGATATGATAATAATACGAGATTACCACTCAGCAGGGTTCTCCAACAATATGCTCTCCAAAGACCTACTACCAACCTCCACTCCATCGTTCCTGTCGAATCTGTGAATCATGACCAAGTTCGAGTACGGGCTATTAACCGACTCTATTCCTCTCAAAGTGCACTAGTCGTCTAATTCAGAAAAGAGCGCACTGGTTTCAGTAGGCAGCGTGATATTCAATTGTTGGGCGGTATTGTAAATCGAGCAAAGCATTGTCTTTCCGAGCGCCCAGCGCCGGGAAATGGCCTTTGAGGCAATACAGAGGCTGATAAATGCTTCGTGGTTGTCTTTGTCATCTAGATGTTCCAGAAGCGTAAAGAGAGCGACAGTTATCCATTGAACGTTACCGGCTGGGGCCCGGTCAATGCCCCATGATGCGCGGCAGGTTCTCTCTAACTGCGCGGTCTTGCGGGCTGAGGTAAGTCTTAAGTTGAGAGCGTCTTGGTATTTTCCAAGGGGCAGTTCATATTCTCTGGCTTTCTTTTCGACGAATCCGAATATGGTGGTGACGATCGCACAATAATACATACTGAAAACCTTGTTAGAACCCATTCCTATTATTGTCAAACCGAGTTGCTGGGAGTGGTTGCAAAACTTACTGTAGAGCCAAAGCGTGAGGGACACCGCTGTTCTCTTCTCTTAAGTAGGGTATTAGATTCTTGTTCCAATCCTGTAATCGAACATGCAAGGTTTGGACATGCTGCAGCGTCTCCAGGAATGGCATGTTTTTCAATCCAGATTGAGGGTCAAAGAATATTGTAGAAGCGTCATGTATGATTCTACTCAGGTCAGACAAAGCGTTCACGAGATGCACCGTGTGAGATGGTACACTATAAGATTGTGTTGGATATGGGTACCACACGTCCAAGCTCTCTCTACTGAAGTCTGGGGCGCGGGGATACGGTCTCTTGGGCGTCTTGATCAAAGGAAACTTTTGGCAGCTTATAGAACTCGCGCTGGTCAAGTAAGCATACTGCACGCAAGAATTTTAAAACCAAGTACTCTTACATTGTGATGCTGTAAATTCCCCATACAGCATTGTCCACGACATGCGGTTCGTACCCCAGCCCATGCTCCTTTTCGATACTCTTCATCAGGTCCTGTAGCGCGTATGCAAGTTGGCCTTGATAAACCCAGCCGCGCCCATCTCTGCTTTGAGATGCTGCACTGAAATAAAGTAAGCCTTTCTGTCTAACGACTTGAGATAACCATACACACCAAGCCCAGAGCACACATAACCCTTGAACAGTCGGTAATGTTATCCGCCCCTCCTCTTCTTCATATAAGCGTTTGGCTTCCTCGTAAAAGTGGACACCTTTTGAAGATCGATCATTCGCATCTGAATAAGCTTCCGGATAATCTGAGTAGGCCTGACAGGGTCGTTAGAAGGCGGTGGTGACAAATTAAATGGAGGCCGTCATACACAAGCATCAGCTAGGATTATATTCACAAGAAATGGGGAACAGTATTTGGCGGTTTGTGCATTTCCGGAATGCATGTCTCGGATGAACATATCACGGTCGACCCAGTTGAAGTACGGGTGGTACCAGGTAAACCACAAGGAAATCAAATGGGAAACGAAATCATCATCCTCCGTGATTTTGGTCCATGGTTTAGCCTGTACCTTCCAAGTAGGAATGTCTATGAGCCTTCTCACATCTAGAATTCTTCGCTGCGACCGGTATTCGGATTCACTCAATGGGCGCAGCTGGTCAGCAAGACCAACCAGCTCAGGTGGCTTCTCCGTCTCAGTATAGAGGCGATCATTAATGTAAACCCTGATTTCTTCCAACGAGGAATTACTGCGGATGAGGTTGAGGATTTGCGTGACACGGCAATTGTCAGTCTCTCGAAGAGTTGTAACCAGTCGAATCAGCAAGTCACGGTCAGCTTCAAGTTGTTGAATTTTCTGGTTGATAATAGTACGTCGGCGTTTATCATTATTCTCGTCATAAACACATTGGGTGTTTTTCTTATCGCATGCTCCGCACGGCTTTCCCCCATTGCACTATCGAACGCAGATATTAAAATCCTTCCATGGCGAGGAGTTACATATCGACGCACCTTGGATCTGCGCACTTTGCATTCTTTGCAAGCAGATGTTATCTTTTCTCGACGAGGAACCTCAACCGCCCTCTTCGTATGACCTTTTGTGGCTGGCGGAGATTTAGCTGGAGCTGGAGCAAGTAATCGGGAGCGTTGCTTTTCCATCTGGGTCAAATATCACTGCTGACGCTTGCCAGTAAGTTACGTTGGACATGCCCATAGAGAACAGATGAGTGGATTGAACAAAAATTACATGGTTGGAGATGTCGAGCTCTGAGCGGAAGAATCTGCTAGATAAGACGGCATTTGACTGGCCGGAAAAAGCCATCACCATGACGTAAATCCACATTGCAAACCTGGGAATCGGATGGTCTCCTCCTGTTTGCGAAGTGCCTGATGATATTCTAACTATGATATATCATGACTATCACATTTTTACACTTCGTATAGGGCCATTGTGCTCGGGACATTACGTACGAACTCTTCAACTCGAGGTGCCCGTGCATGACCGCCTATGGAACTTTTCTGCAGGACATAACACTATCTGTAGCCACTGGTATCGTTGTATATGCAGGCGGTGAGGAAAGTGATAATGCAACTGTCTGACATACAACTCAACTATGTGCAAGTTGGTACAGATATTCTGCTCTGTAGTCGAGGTTCCTGCTTTGTCTACATAAAACGATGGGAATCGGTCACAGAACATGTTGTCGACGGCGTCTCATCGGGGATAGGCTTAACAATTGGATCTTTGACCAGTCTCCGCCCAAGCGAAACACCAATGCACGGAACAGCAGTACGCAGCGCTGTAACTATATTTGGTTCTGCCAATTGCCACCATGTCATCTACCATGCTCCGGTATTCTTAAAATCTTGTAGATGCCCCCACCTGTGCAGAGTCGAAAATTATGTTGATGCTATGTACAAGTACTCTCAAACTACATAAATAGGTTAGTAATCACCGATCAACCGAGGTTATTTTTCTGCTGCGGATATATTAACCAATGAAATGCCGTGACAGTCACTCACCGCTATCCTGCCCTAACCTCTCTTTCATCCTCACCAATTAATTTCACGGGAATCGACGGGGGATCCCGAGGCATCTTTCAGTCTTTTTTAACGTGTCCCATTTATTCGTCTCTTTTTTGCGTTCTCAGCCCACGGATCCACCATATTCTTCCAAAAATATCTGACGGTCCAGCGGCCATGCGGTATTTCCCATCGTCCGTCACGCTTCGGGAGTTCCCCACTACTGCCACCAGGCTCACGGCACGCCCTCGTCTACATCTTCCTCGTTCTGTATACCTGCGAGGGTCGAGATCTCGTTATTCCACTGGTATGTGGTGGCCGGATTACTCATTGTGTTGAAAACTCTTTCCATGGTTTATAAAGAGTCAATGAGGTTCTAACTCTCCTTTATAAAGAAACAGTTCCCGTCCCGCCGCATCCTCAACAACCCCAACAACCTCGTTCTCGCTTACGCCGTTTTGTCGGATTCACTTCCATCGCATTTTTCGCTTTTACTGCCGGCTTGTTTTACCAGACTATACAAACCACTTCTCGAATCATGGCCGCCCCTATGCCTTCGGATGAGGAGACTCTCACCAGCTTCACCCCTCCCGATGCTCTCTCGCAGGAGATTGAAGATTTCATCCACAACCACCCCCTTTCCGTCTCTCTGCGCGAGAACCCTGAGTTTACAGAATCGCGCCCGCATTTGAAGATTCCCGAATACATGCGCGCGCGCAACCTCACTGCCGGGACCCTCGCGGGACCGAACAAGATCGTTGTGCCGCCGGTTGTCTTCAGCGAAGAAGGTGGTAAGAGCATGATTTCGCTCCTCTATCTCGGTTCCGATCTCTCAGGACACCCCGGTATTGTCCACGGTGGTCTCTTAGCGACTTTGTTGGATGAAGGTCTTGCGCGGTGCTGTTTCCCCGCACTCCCGAACAAGGTTGGCGTGACCGCGAACCTGAACATTGATTATCGACTACCCGCAATGGCCGATTCCTACGTTATCATGAAGGCGGAGACGGTCAAAGTGGAAGGTCGTAAAGCCTGGGTGGAGGGCCGCCTTGAGACCCTGCCCAAGGATGGACAGGAGCCGGCGGTTTTGGTGGAGGCCAAGGCGCTCTTCATTGAGCCCAGGCAAGCTGCTGTATGTTATTCTCAAGTTTCGTGTGCAAAAAATTCCCACTGACTCTATTTTGCAGGCCATGTCCAGTCTCTACAAGGTGACATAGAGCCATTCATCTTTGTCGCATCTTCACTCGATCCTGTGATACCCCATAGACGTACGGAATCGAGAACGAATATGAATAAAACTGAACTATATAGCTAGGCGTATAGAAGGCGGGTTGCATTGTTTTCGGTTCTTGTATTTTTTTTTTTTTTTTAGAACTATGTTTTAGAGGCCATCTGCCATTTATAATAGAGTGCACATTGCCACTGTTCCTGAATTCGCCTGTAAAAGCCATTTAAAGAAAAAATTATATCAACAAACAAGCACAAATTTGTTCATTTTTTCATAGTTCTTTAGCAACTGTGAAGCTGTTTTGTATGGATCGACGTCGCCGACCGCCTCCACCCGCACCGCCCAGCTCTCCGTATGCAGACAACAAGACGACTACCTCCGTCACCACCGCCAACACCGTTCTCATCTGCTGCTTTATGCCCGCCTTCCTGCGCGTGGCCCTGTGAATTACTTCTGATTGTTCAATTTATCCCTCTCCTAGATCGCCATCATGTCCAAGACCAAGTACCTCCTCGTCTCGCTCCCCACGTCCATTACAACCTCCAACCATCGCGACGATGCTCTCGACGCCATATCCACAACGGTATCGCCCGATAACGGCTCAGTATCTCCCTTCCCGATTCCCGAATTCAAAATCGGCACTCTAGATACTCTGGTGCAGCAGGCCGATGAGCTGTCGAAGCTCGAGTCGGCCTGCCAGGGTGTCGTGAGCAAAGTGGGGGATGCGTTGAAGAATATCTTGGACGATGAGGCGCAGATTGATAAGATGAAGGCTGTTAATGACAGTATGTGGGCATTTTGTTTTCGGTTTTGGGAGAGGATGTGGCTAACATTGCGAGTTAGAGCCGGTTGATCAGTATTTGCGGACGTTCTCGTGGAATAAAGTGAAATATCGCGCTGATAAGCCTCTTGGGGAATTGATTGATTTGCTACAGAAGGTAGTTATACGGGACCTAATGCGTTGCTAGTGTAATATGTACGGAAGATATTAACGCATTCCAGGAAGCTGCCAGTATCGATAACGATATCCGCTCGAAATACTCCCAATACAACCAGGTCAAGAACAACCTGGCCACACTTCAACGAAAACAGACGTACGTCTCTTTGTCATTTCACTTCCGGTACCTGACCACTAACGTCTTCGGCCCAACAGAGGTAACCTTTCCACCAAGTCCCTCGCATCCGTAGTCGACCCTCGCAGCGTCATTCAGGATTCCGAATTTATCGAAACACATCTCATCGCGGTTCCCGCAACGCAAGTCAAAGACTTTCTGAGATCATACGAGACTGTGTCATCCATGGTCGTTCCCCGCTCCGCAAACCTGGTGGCATCCGATGACGAGTTTACGCTGTATGCGGTCACTACGTTCAAGAAACACAGCACCGAATTCATCCACAAGTGCAGAGAGAACAAGTGGATCCCACGAGACTTCAAGTACGTGGAGGGCGGAAGGGAGCAAGAGCAGAAGGAAGTTGAGCGTGTTGGCGGCGATGAGCGGAAACTCTGGAATGAGACCCTCCGTCTGGGACGGACAGCATGGAGCGAGGCTGTGATGGTCTGGATCCATGTACTTGTTCTCCGGGTGTTTGTCGAGACTGTACTCCGTTATGGTCTTCCTCTTGATTACGTTTCCACGATCATTCGGGTACGTACGCCAATGCAATTGCAATTAATTCATGTTGCTAACGATGAAACAGGCACCAACCCCGAAGCAAGCAGATAAGGCAAAACGGAACATGGATGACAAGTACTCGTACCTGGCCGGCAATGCCTTTGGGCGAGACAAAAAAGGGCGGGTCAAGAGGGACGACCCGAGCGAGGCAGCCGGCGAAGCCGGCGGGGCAGAGTACACGGCATATGTGTATTACGACTTTGAGTTCAATTAAAGCGTTTGCGTTGGTAAATGGTTGGCGAGCGATGTCTGGTCATCTGTTGTTCTGGTTCATTTTTTCTTCACTACCCTGCTCGGTACCTTTGATACCTTCTTCCTGATGTTTGATATGGTAGCATACATATATACATTCTGCTTAGTTTTTGAATTGGCGATGTTCGTGCTGTGTTGAAGTAGACTCGGCGTTATCATGAAACCTAACTAGCGCAGTCCACTGCGATTGATCACCAGCAGAGACACGGCGTTCGCAAGGCATTTATACTGAATTATCCTTGGGATTCTCATTCCATATAGAACACCTTCATAAATTCCACATATACTTCGTGTTGTTCCTCGCTCAAAACCCCCTCTGGCGGTGACGCGTGACGCCAAGCCGTTTTTGTCCGCGTCACCAGCGATAAGTGCTATCAAGGACTTTTTACATCTACCAGTACAAACTAGCAATTCCAAATATATTTACGTTGCAGTTTTTATCGTCGCTTCTTTATAGAACAAGAATGCATACACTTTGTTAAACGCGTTCATGGCCTCGCGTGAATCCCCCGTTGTTCTCGAATCCGTCAATTCACTCGCCGGTGCGCATGCGCTTCCACCGCTGAAGAAGCGCAAGACATGGCATCCTCCTGCTAAGGATCTGGGGGCTTCGTCGATCGTCATTCGGGTATGTCATACAAAGACTCGCTTGTTTCGTCTAAACCCACCATTGACAATACTCCCTTCCACAGGCCCCCGCGACATCACTATCCGACGACCGCTACGTCCTCGACCCAATCACCCTCCTCCCCCGTTCCAGGGTCCCATTCTCCTGGCTCGACCCTTCATCATCTACAATATGGCCTGTTCCATCGGGTAGTCTGTTTGTGGCGGACATCCCCATCCTCGAGAATGATTTGCGCGAACGAGTCGAGCCTAGCGTTCTCGCAGTGCGATCAACGGCTGATGGAGGTCTATACGTTGTTGAGAGAGTGAAGAGGGGGATATATGCGGTTTCGCGATTAGGGCCTTGGGTTCAGGAGGTGGATATCTTTGTTGCGGTCAAGGGATGGAGTGCTGCTGCTGTCGTTGATGACCAGACGGTGCGATGCGAGTCACCTGTCCGGGATGGGGCCGTTGAGTGGTGGGAAGTGGCGCGGATCGAAGAGCCTATCGTGGATGCGAATGTGCTTCCTGAGAAGGGGGCAAACATTGATATTTGCGTCGCATTTTTCGACCAGGAGGAGGGGGATAGTGTGTTGCCTGTGGAATCCGTGGAGAGCCAAACTGCTTCGATGGTCGCTCTCAATCTCGAGAGGAGCTCGAGCACCGGTGCTCGTATGCCGAGTATCGCTAAAAATGATACCCAGGAGCAACTGGGCGCGATGGTATCCGCCGATGTTGATGACCTGCAAACACCACAAGAGCTACTAGATGGCTTACGGGACCAGTATCTGCAGGCTCTCTACATCTCCAAGACATCCCTGGCATACTTTGCCAAAGGTCCACAGGCACGTTGTCGCAATACGTTCCAATCTACAGAATCCGACTCTTCCAAGACGCCCGTTGACTTGGTCAACTTCTACCGAGAAGCTATACTCCCCGCGAAGAAGATGGATTTGAAATATAAAGAGACGATACCAGCTACAGTCCGCGACATCATGCTCAGTGTTTCTGACGACGAGACCCAGACTAAAAAGCGCAAAAGTCAAAAGAAGAAAAAGCTGGGGAAAAATGGGCTTTATCCTGACGAAGAGGATTTCATTCGGAAGTGGTGGAAGGATAGGAGCTTGTCGGAGAATAGTGTCGCGATTGAGACCTCGCGAGAAGCAGAGATGAAAAAGCACGTGGCTGATTTACGACTGCGCGAAACTCAATTGCAGATACTTCTTATACTGGAGACCATGGCTCTGGAGTCGGCTCTGCCTGACGATAAGAAGCAAGACAGTGCAAACGGCGACAATCCACCTGACGAAACTGCAAAGAGGTCCAAGAGCAAGAAATTGCAAGATCTGAACGTGGTGCTTGAACTACATCTTGATCGGCTGTGCATCTGGCATGCCGTCAGCTTCGACGACTTGGCAATCCCCGAGTCAATTAAGGATACGGAAAACAGCCACCTCTCTGGAAAAAAGGCTGAGAGTGACGCTGTGCGAGATTTTTGTACAGAAGTTATTGTCCCATTCTATGCGTCGCGCCTCCCGGACAAATGCAAGCTGGTCACGCGAAAATTCGGCGTCTCCAGCTCTACAACTCCTGCGAAACCCCAAGCAAAGAAAACACTACGGCGAGAATCCGAGTCCGCTGCAAAACGGCAGCTGCAGCATCTGAAACCCCGTCGCTCATTGCAGCGTGTATTAACCGACGAGAAATCAGCCGCCTCTCAAGGACGGCACCCACTCCAGCGGTCCAAGACAGCACCATCCAAACCAGACAGCAGACGGGAATCCATGGAACCGTTACTACCAATGGCAAGCGCCAACGTCCGGGGCGGTATACAAAAGGCCAAACGAGTGGAAAACCGCGAAGTGGACCTCAACGCACAAGCCAAACAGCACGAGACGAAGCTGAAAAAGGTTCAATTGCTGGCAGACCAGAAGAAAGAACTGGACGCGGCGATTCATGCCTTACGACGACCCAATCGAGAACTAGTCGCCAAAGATATTGCTGAAGATGCGGATAAGAGGACAACGCCTGGCGGCGGTGGCAGCTCGCGCAAACAGAAGAATCCCGTCCGAAATCCGTTAGGCCAAGGCGTGCAGGTCATGGCTACGCCTAAGGGGAGTCGGAAGAGGGATGCTATTTTCAACTTACCACCTCCCCCGCTCCCTATTAACATGGTGCGGTCGTTCCCTGGACATTCGATTGAGCGCTCACCCCCACCCGACGAGAGTGACGCGCAAATGGTCCCCGGCTCCACGGTCCGTCCGAGTTCGTTCTCGGGGACGTCTGGCAGAGACATGGGCGTTATTCAGGGAACTCCTACTCGCCGTCCGAATAAACCATTCGAATCCCCTTGTTTGTCCAAATCCAAGAGCGCGACTTATACATCTAACACCCTCTTCCGGGTCCCTAATCGTCCTTCTTCAACTCAGCCAACAGAAATGGCACCCTCGACACCCATCTCATCACGCCATATCCCTATCGCTCAGCCACAATTCAATTATTCCGTTACAGAAACGCCGCCTAGGAAACAGCAACAGCCCGCTGCACCCGTTCCAGACTCTCCTGCAGTTGCGTCTGAGCCTGCGGCAACTGCTGTTCTAAGTACACCGGTAAAGAAGAGTACTGCCCAGGAAACACCCGTTAAGAAGAATTTCCTTGCTCCTGGCGATTCGTCCGTGGTACCTGTTACACCAGAGAAATCGATATATGAGCATTTGGGGTGGAATGATGAGGATGATATTGGGTTTTAGTCTTTACACTTCATGGAGTTCTGCGATTATGGTATGCCACGGTTTTGGTTAACGGGATGGGTATTGTTACTATTATTAGCGGCTTGGGTTTTCATCTCTGTATGTATGCTACTATAAAACCCTATTTTCTGAAGAAACTGTCACTTGGTCCTTCGAGCCCTGTCATTCACAGTATGGGAGGGTCACGTTTCCCCCTTCACTTAGAAGACTATACAGTCTAACCTTCACCTATTCCCCTCGGCACAGAAACAAGTCTTCTTCCATCAGTTTTCCCACTATGTCCATCATTATCATCTCATCCTGGCTTCAGTATCAATACTTTCAAGTCCACAGTGTTAAAGCCGCTCTATTATACATTCTGTCAATATTATATGACCTAGTGGCTATAGACTCAACGCCTATCAAAGCATCGTCAATGACATGCCGCCAAACTCCACGAACGACTTGATTTACGATTCCTTCTGCGCTTTATCAGACCTTAAACAGAGCAATTACAGACCCAGCTTCCTTAAGATCGCATCAATCCTACAATGTTGCGTGTATTGGGAGTACTGGAAATTCCAAAGCTCTGGTTGAGTGTAAGAAGCGCTGTTGAGATAAGTTCTTTACAGATTGCAATGCAAGAGGTTGCGCAAATGGTTGCATGGTCATAAATTACTGGTAACAATGACCCCAAGTATGCATGTGCTTGATACTTCCTGATTATTACAGGCGAGCTATGATACCCCACGATGCAGACAAAATGCGACAGTGCGTGGATTAATTCGAGGGTCGCTCATGTGCTTGACCTGTCTTCTCGGATCAAGCGATGGTTTTTCTCGACATTCTACTGAGCGAATCAAGTGGACGGGTCTCTTGCTACCACATTTAGTTCTGCAGAGTTGGTCTCATCTTTTCAGTTAGAACCCTGCCATTCGACTAACCTCATCCGGTACGGGACAGCTAAATTCGTCATCACCAGTACTTCCCAAGGTGTATAGAGGGGTCCAGGAAGTCACGTCTCGTGGAGCAGCGTGAATGGCCTGCCCCAGTCTCCGCTACGGTCCTGGATGCCCCATCGCAATTAGTAACATCATGATCAACCCTTCAAGTCCAGAAGTTGCCATCATCCACCCAGATCCTCTGTAAAATGAGTCCTCTTGGTGTTCGCCACTTCACGTGAAGCCCGCGAGATGTGAAGCACCAGAGACAGCACCTTGACATTCAGTCTCTGGGGAAATCCGCCAATTCGGTTGTCTGGAAAGGTCTAGGGAAAGGATGAGACGTACACCCTGGAATCGATATATTGATTGATTCTACTCGTTGTCGGCATGATGGCGGCCACTCTTGCGATCCATATGCCAGAAGCCACTATCCTTGCGCCCTCTCCTCCGTCCATACACATGGACATAAGGGACGAAAGATAACTGCCGAAAATGGTGATAGTATCTTCGCTCCAGTTTATTCGGAATTTTCCATTTATATCAGCGAAGTTGAGGATGAGGCATTTTCAAAGCAATATACTCCATCGAGGCTATGAAAATATCCTACTTTTCAAGAACGCCCTTCTTAAAACTGCGTCTGATTCCAACACTATGAAAACCAATAGACATCACCACTGCAGCCATGTCTCTAAGGGTCTAGCAATCTGCAAAACGTCCAATGCTAGTCATTCTATTATGATTAAGACAGAGATAAAGGATAATGTCAACAATGTGGCGGAAAATGTTGCAGATACAGTCTGCAAAAACAACATTGAAGGTTTGATCTTTCTATTAGAATCCATTGAAGAGAGGATACTCTCTCGACTGTTGAAAAATCACGCTTTTCGCGCAATTAAGGGCAACAAGGGTCAACTACTTCACAAAAGCAAGCTTGCTTACCTTATTTTGGGCATAATGACCTGCAAGAACCTCATCGCAAGAAAGGAAATGCAAATTGGGATATACCTAAAGGCTGAATTTAAGGTAAACGAGCCAGGTGCTGAGAACGCGGTGGGAATAGAATGGAATTCAGGTAACACAATCACGGCTAAAGATGAGATCATTGTCGGATATAAGCCACTTGAACTCGACGGAGGACCTGGCGAGCCAAAGACAAGCAAATTTCGTCATGGTGCGAGTCATACAACTCTGAACAGCTGGGATGTTAGATACAATGCAGCTTATTTTCAGCCAGACATTAAGTGGATTCGGCATGCACATGAAGCAACTGCATGACCGCTTGCAGAGCTCAATAACAGCTATTGAATTTGCTACAAGAGCAAGATTTATTTATGGCGTCAGACCCGATCCGGCATACACCCTGCGGCCATCGCACCTACGACTTGGCCCCGACTTATGGAAAAAGACCAGTTCTCCCAGAATATTGGCAGAGCTAGAGATTTGCAAGATGCCCAGTCACTATCACGAAATGTTGTATCGTGGAGGGTATTAGTTCGAGTGAGACTGTTCGTCTCTGCCATCCTTCTCCATGATGCCGAAGGCCCTTTTTTTTTTTTTTTTTTTTTTTTTTTTTTTTCCCTTACCGTCTTATTTCGCCTGGGTCTCATTTCATCAGGTGTCTGATTGCTATTCCGGGAATGCTTCCCAGAGGCACAACATGTCGCTACCCCCTATGAAGTTAATAATGGCTCAGTCATCACACTTTCGACCTCCTAAAGATTTATGGCAATACCGCAAGCATCAGTGTCTCTTGCCTACATATTGGCCAAGTCAGTCTGGCGCTGTCATGGTACCTAATCGGTTATGAGAACCGTCGCAGAAGCCGACGTGGCACGTCGGAACCGTAAAGACGTTCGGGAAACATGCCAGTCAATTTCCCAGGGGGTCGCATGCAATGCAGACCTTGGGTCTAAGTCTATTTCAGGAACCAAGATTCGGATTTCCCGAAGACTAAAACTGATAGTGCAATGTGTCTACAGGATATTATACAATTGTTTGCATCTATGCAATAGACGCAAGTGGTGTGCCTCAAGAATTCAAGTTCGTATTCACCCAAGGATCTATTTTAGGGGCCAGTATCTGAAACTCTCAGAGAAGATACCCCATTTTTGAGGCCGAGGGGTCGTCTGAGAGAATATGATTTGTTGGCCATTTAAAAGCGTTAATACCGCGAATCGAAAGAAGTTGGCTGAGACTTCCTAAAGAATACCCACGCCATTTGAAAGTGATTTTCCTCATAAGTCGACCAAATATAATTCTGGACCTTGAGGTTACGAAATGATTGCAGATTACTACAATTCGGCACTTCAACATAACCACCACTACCAACCCGCTGACGTATACTACCCGCAACAGGATTAGGGCTAGAAGCCATCGGTATCAATCACGGTAAATGTCCGGCAATGGTCATGGCCTTTTTTTGCCGGCGTCTCCAGCGCCAAGATACTAGCAGTATCGTTGGTGGACTCAAGATGGTCAGAGCTGACAAATTAGACTCGGTGCAATAATATCCGACGTCTGGGGCATCCGCATTCTCCACTCCGATTCTGGGGTCGGGGAATCCCCCGGTCAGCCAAAAGCACAACCTGTGGCGAAGCCTCCCCGGTTAACAAGAATCCCAGATTACTAACTTTTTTTTCCGGGGGAATTAATCGCATGTCTCTCAGAAATTGACTTTTGTAACTTTGTCCAAACGTTTGTATTGTTATTGTACATTTTTTTTTTTTTTTTTTTTCTTCTTCACCTTGACGGCGTGACTAGTCTTCGGAGATGACTACGTCGATGGAGATGCAGGGCCGTCGACAAGACAATGTTCAGCGACCTCCGGATCCTGTTAAGAGCCATGAAGTCTTTGTAGAGAGCACGGATACTGGAATTCCCACCACATATGCAGATGTAGTATCCTCGCGCATCTCCAAAGCACATCGGGACTATCTCATGGAACGCCATGGGACATTGGAACTCGATCCGATTCCTAGTATGGACGCCGCTGATCCGTACAATTGGCCTGGGTGGAAGGTGTGAGCCCCGTGAAAGGGATGTTTCTGTGCAGACAGCTAGCTGACCGGAGTCTACTTCAATTATAGAAATTCGCAAACCTGATATTGGTGGCATTCCATGCTTTAATGGGGACATTTGCTGCGGCGGGTATCATCCCTGCATATAAAATGTATGGACTTCTCCACTGAATCGTACGATGTATGTATATGCGCTAATCAGTGACCGCGAACAGCATCTCCGAAGAATATGGGGTTACCGTGCAAAAAGCCAGTTACCTGACCTCCCTCCAGATCGCCATTCTCGGAGGTGCGCCATTGTTCTGGAAGCCTTTGTCGAATCGATATGGTCGTCGCCCCATTTTCCTCATATCTTTGATATGCAGTCTTGTTTGTAACGTGGGTTGTGCGGAAAGTACCGATTATGCCTCCACGGCTGCTTGCAGGGCTCTCCAGGCGTTTTTTATCTCTCCTGCATCCGGTAAGACCAGGACTACGAGGGCGCGTTGCAGCAGAGATAGCTGACACATTCATATAGCGATCGGAAGCGCAGTTGTGATGGAAACGTATTTCAAGAACGAGCGTGCGAAATATATGGGTGTCTGGACGTTGCTGGTAACCTTGGGTATCCCAAGCGGTCCGTTCATTTTCGGGTTTGTCACACAACGGGCAGGCTATGTGTGGATCTACTGGATTTTAGCAATGGTCAGCGCTTCCTCGTTAATTGATGATCATTAGCTAACAAGATTCTGATTAGATCAACGGTGGCCAATTCATTTTGTACCTCTTCTTCGGACCCGAAACTCGATACATCGGCAGCTTCGACGAACCCAACGAACCAAGCTGGAAGCGCGAGTACCTGTACATCCGACGGATCGACCCGACTCCGTTCACATGGTTCGAGTTCGTGAAACCCCTCGCTATGGTCACATACCCCTGCGTAATTATTCCGGCCGCTGCATACGCCATGATCTTCTGTCTCAGCAATGTGCTAGCAACTGTTGAGGTGCCCCAGCTCCTGCAGGAGAAATTCGAGCTCGATTCGGAACAATTAGGCCTTCAATTCCTGGGCCCAATTATCGGTTCCTTCATTGGTGAGCAGATAGGCGGCACTATGTCGGACTTGTGGATGAATATGCGCCAGAAGAAGATCCAGCGCAAGCCTGAACCTGAGTTCCGGCTTTGGCTCAGTTACCTTGGATATACTCTGTCCATTGTTGGTATTATCATTTTCCTCGTGTTCACAGAAAAAGCCAAACAGGGCCATTGGAATGTCGTACCTATTATTGGCATTGCCCTTGGCGCTGCTGGCAACCAGATTATTACCACTGTCCTGATCACGTACGCCGTGGATTGTTATTCCAATGAAGCCGCTAGTATAGGTGTCTTTATCACGTTCGTTCGTCAGATCTGGGGGTTTCTTGGTCCGTTTTGGTAAGTCGTTGGTGAAGTCGTCGATGAAAAAAAGGTTTCTGCTCGTAGCTTGCTAATAAACGCTGGTCTAGGTTCCCGCCAATGTTCGAGACTGTCGGTGTGGCTGCGAGCTCTGGCGTTGGTGTTGCTTTGATGGTTGGAGTTAGCGTGATTCCTACCCTCTTCTTGCAGTACTTGGGACGGTCATGGCGCCCGCCTATTGAGGAGTGAGATGGCTTGGCTTGTCAGAGAATTTAGACAACAGGAAAACAGAGGATATATAGAAGGACCATAGAACAGATAGACCAGGATGTTTGGCAGGACGCTGATGGATTTGGATATAGACATGTCAGTATCAAGCAAACATTATTCATAGTAGGTGACTGTTCTTTATACCCATCTCAATCTGCGTTAGTGGTATTGGCCGATCTTGTAATCGGCCGAGAATTATGCTGGCGTCAGGGATATAAAATCATGGCTAATCGAGGAGGAAAGGACAAACTCCGAGGCGCAAAAAAAAAAAGAAAAACGCTCAATAATGGTTTTTAGTGGGTTGTTATTGATATATGTGTAAAACCCATTGTACACTATTCCAATGATACCTAGCTTATTATAGGTGATTTATGAACGGCACTGATACTGTTTCTTTATTCAATAAAAGAAAGGGATGCTGGATTCTGTGTGATCAAGTTAACAAAAAATCTCACCAGTGCACTGATTCAACTAAGCATAGCTCTAAAAAACAGAGATCTGATTTGTCTGTGTATGTTTTATATGTTATGTGTGGGAAAGTTCTGACATCCGGTATGTCAGATACTCTCTCATGGTGCTGGCAGAGGGGTGATGAGCAAAGTATTGGATTTTGCAAATTCCTGTTGATGTTACAACTGTAAGTGAACTCTCAATCAAATCTCTCAGACAAGGGAAGAGAGAGGTATCATGACGGTGATATCACGAAAGGACTTTATCGAGCTGCTGGATGGAAGCGCTGTAGCCGATGTATGTATATTTGGAATTCTTGTACAGGATGTGCTCCTTGCGCCCTTTCACTTCAATATAGATTAATTGGTATGCAAATACCACATTGTTGGATTCGAATAACTTATGTTCCCCCATTTTCCTTTTTGCAAGAAGCGTAGCTTGAGGTAGCTCTGTCGAGGTTCCTGTCTTTGGACCTAAGCTCGTTCTCTCTTGCTCGAACAAGAACCCGAGCGACCATCACTCCAATGGTGATTTAGACTGGGCTTTACTGGCCTGGAAACCTTTCGGGCCGCATAACAGCTTATAGTCAGGAATTTCTCACAATGCTGTGGGATTAGGCAACATCGACAGCCAAGATGTCAACATCAGCTACGCTGCAAGAAACAGGTATGTCATCAATGTCAGTCCATCCTTCCAAAATGTGACTCAAAAAAATGATCTTGCCGCCATAATCAAACTTGTTTATCCCGGGAAGATGACTGAAGATATGGATGGCCAGACGTACGCTGAACTGCTTCTTCGAGAATAATTGTGGCAAACAGACAAGGAAATTTATTAGCATAGAAACGAGAAACAAGTTTTGCTAGAATCTTATTCGGTCAATTCCTCATTCTTAACCTGCATGCGTACTGCTCTTATGCGACGAACAAAAAGAATAAGGAAATAAAGTATGCTCTTTTTTGCTCCAACAATCAAGTGTAATCACATATAATGGGGAAAAAAAAACCCAACAAGCAAAAGCAAATTTAGCGGTACGATGATTCTAGAGGGTCTGGATGATCTGCTCAATTTCCCTTGTCCATCTATTGGTACTTTCCACCTCTGTAGATTGTATGGCAAGTTCATTCTCTTTAGTGTGTATACCATCATTCCCAGGCGACGAGAAGACTTCGGGTTCGGTAAATGTTTCTCTTCTCGCTTTCAACCCTTTGGTCTCCAACTTCGGCAATTGGTAGGCAAAGAAAGCATCTTTTTCACGCTTGATCCGAAAACTGATGCTTTCATTTTCGACGTTCAGTGCCAGGCCCTTAGCAAGTATCAAACCAGTAATTATATACACCGATTCCGGGTGGCGGAAGCTGGGGAAGCCAGTGGCTTTCATTTTCAACGTTTGCTCGGGTTTTTGGATAATCCCACTGCTGCTATGACCCGAACTATTAATGCGAGGGTCTTTCTTCAGCGTATTGGAATTGATAGTGAAAAGGACCTTCTTGAGGTTCAGAGGGTCGGCAATGAGGCTGCCAGTTTTCTTATCGCGACGGTCAGTAACTGATGTGGTCAAGTACATGGCTTGCTTGAGTCGCCTGTCTGGGTAAAGATAAAGAGAATAAGAGGTTAAAAATAGAAATCTCTAGCTCAGATAACAAGGTGCTCTGAGAATGAGAGTAAGGATGCCGGAAGCAAGAAAGTCGTTTCACACGTTCTTCAAGGGAAGAAGAGTTAGGAAGAGTATGATGAGTATTTGAGGCACATTCAACAGGCATCATAGGTGATTACGTTTTGATATGTGTGTACCTAAATCGTCGGACTTCCGTATAGGTCGGCTTATTATGTCAATCTTCAGTATTTTTTATATAAATAGCTAAATAAATGTCATGTATTCCGTTCTCCGTCGACTATATCAATACAGACAAGCTTCAATTGAATACCACAACATCCCGTTCATCGTTACTATAGGATATCAGCTCAAATGTTCAGGAACTTATCTCCAACGATAAACCTACCGTCATTTTATTGTTTCTTGCGTGTCCGGGAGTAATCTTTAATGTAGCGAGGAATAGTGCCGTCCCACAATTCATTTTTCACCAGATATTCGTACTCCTTGCAGAGCGTTTCAGCAAACAACGGCATAATTTGACCAATGTGTCCCATAACCACCGGTAACAGATTGTCCTTGAAGCAGGAACCAAAATGTTTCAGGGTGGCCGGATCCTGACACAAGTGTTTCCTTTTCGGTTTGCTTGCGCACTCGGTTTTGGTGATATCCACAACATCGTTGGCCAATGCTAAGAGGCTGCCCTGATGTTGTGTAATACCAATATCCTTGGTGGCCTTCTTGACGAGTGGCTCAAATAGATGATGTTTTGCGAACCTATCGAAGTCTTCGATGGTGGGCTAGCAGCCCTTCTTGCAAATTTCATTGTCGAATTGCTTGAATATTCCATCGGGTCCGTTTCTAAGGTCGTCCTTAATTCTTTGGCAGGTAGGGCCAGTGAAGGCATAGCTGAAGGTGGCAAAGAAGGAGAGGAGAGATAAGGTGAGGAAGGGGGGGTTAAACGCATTTTGGCGAATTGATATCGATACGATCAATGTGAAGGGTTGATGTTCTTCACTTGGGACAATAGCATTGTTCCTTCTTAGATATTTTGGATTCTCCTAAGGGGATGGCAAATATCACGGTGATCCTCAATGTTGGTAGCTACGATGCTGATCATGCAATTGTTGATGAGTCGCGCTGCACTAGGGATTGCACATTATTATCCATCTCGAGATCGAATAAATCAAATGTGAAATCGATTGGATGGGTAATTTTTCCATTCATTCCCGTACCGGAATGATTGAGGTCTATCATGAACTTTTGTGCGGCTGATGCCAGTCATTCTCTAAACCATATTCTTCTTCAGCTCAGCTGCACGACCGAATAAAGGTCTTTGGGCACATGGATCGAGTCATAGCCAGTTCTTTTATGAACCAAAGCGGCTAATCAGAGAAAACTCTATCTTCCACAGTCTGTAAACGAAGACCACTTCCGGGCCTGCCTTTCAGATGCCGATTTCCTTCATACCGAACAGTCGGCATTACTTCCAGAGTCTGTCCCACTTGGGTCGCTGGTTGCAGGGTGGTCCGTAGCAGTCACGTTTCGCAAGGCCAGCGTCGAGCATAGATTCAGAATATCGCCAATATTATTATCGTCCAGCTCTCTTCCGCAACTCAGGCTTGTAAAAATCAGGATTCAGCGGGATTAGCGTCACGTCCGGACAGCTAGCGGTTTGCATCAGTCCGGCGAGGATGACCAACACTTTCTTTCACGATGCAGTAAGAACGACTGCCACGAGATATTTGCGTTGCTTGTGGACCATTCTGCCTTGAGCTCCCGGTAGCTTTTGTTAGGTTAAGAACTGAGCAAAAAAGCTTCGAAAGAAAGATAACCGTCAATATTTTTTATATCACTGGATAGACGTTAAGTATTCCTGTGATATGTCCGCGGTTCCTGTGGGTACTACTATCTGGTTAGCCATTCAACATCATTTATACTGGTTCTGGAAGCTCGTCTGTATTGAAGAAGCGACTCGTTAAGACATCTTTCAGGTAACCGATTTCTTCCGACGCATCCAGATGCTCCAAATCGATCACGATGTCGTCGAATGTAAGTCCCTGCGTATCAGGTCCTGATCAGGAGTCCAAACTCGTTGCCTGGGGTTTCCTTGGTGCAGTTGAAGTTTATAGCGCATCGTCGATGACAATTCTGTGGTAAAAGGCCAAAGCCTACAACCAGTAATCCATTGTATAGTTTGTTGGTCCGGTGATTGCTCTATTTAATGCTGTGTCGACATTTCTCAGCATAACCGGGCCCCCATAGCTTATAGCTTAAACCTGGCACAAGCATCTAGTAGATTGGATGCATCCATATCAAGCACAAAAGGCACTTCCTCAGTATCCCGATTCAGAAGCAGGGTCGGGTCAGGCTCGACTGAAAGAACAGGAACAGTTGTGTCTTGGACATGACGGAGGTCTTTCAATAATGTTGTAGGGGACTGGTTTGCTTGTGCGCGGTTGAATCATCTTATTTGGCCGATTCTTTTCTCCAGGTCAGCTTTTTGTCTCTTGTTCTGCCATTCGCCGCTCTTGTGCGGATAACTGTGCATCTCAGCAGCGATTTGACGCAGTTGCTCAAGCTCGTTAGATTCCATATCCAAGAGTGAAAACAGATAGGTGTCGGAGACTAAGCGAAGGGAAAATGCTTGCGTACTCGTACAGTAACGCACCGTATGATTACGCAAGATACTCTACCGGTAGTGATCCTGGTCATATGATTGAAGGATGCTGTAAGATCTGTATGTATGTGTTGGCTGTTGGCAGGATCATGTGAGCTAGTGATAATGTACCCCGTACTTGCACCTGCGTGTGCAAATACGACTGCAAGAGAGGCAACTGGTAGGGTGGTTATTAGATTTTTATTAGAATTTTGCTTGCTAAATATTGATCAAAGCAAATGCTATCAAACAGACTATAGGTACATGAGGCGACACAGTCCTGTTATTCAATCCTAATTCCATTCCATTCCGATGATCCAATTCAATTCAATCCAAGAAAAAAAAAAAAACACCGACCCATTCAACACCAAAGCTGAGAATGCGTATTCTTGGTGAGAGAAGAAAAAAAATTGATGAGATTCGTAATGGTCGTAAAATTCGTAATAAGTAGCAGTAGTAACGACGAAAGTCGAAGGCGGATTAGGAGATATACTGATAAAATCGTTTTCGTTTTTGTACCGATTTGCGCCTTTTGTCCCGTTTCCCAATATGCAATTTGATGCTCAAAAAAAAGACTGGTCGGAAGTAGCCAGTGTCGTGATGGACGTGAGAGGGGAAGTGAGAACAGCCGATCAATTGGCAATCCGGATTGGAATGCACTGTCCTGGATTTGACCAAAAGTGCTGTCGCGTCTTCTGGATGCAGCTGATGCCCTTCTCCAAGAGGCCGTCCTTTGCGTTCTCGGCCTCGGACGGCGATGAGGGAGAAGACGAGGTCGATGATTGCGACGGAGAAGAGGATTGTGACGGTGTGGTGGGGGTAGCCGAAGGCTTCACGGAGATCTGAAACCGAACATGCAATGGCTTCTTGTCCGAACCCTCCTCGTCTTCATCGTCCTTGCGGCTCTTGACCCTGTTCTTGTCCTCGTGGTCGGCTCCTAGCAACGGAAGTTCCTTGGTTTCCTTCTCTTCCTGCTGCTGCAGCAGCTCTTCCTCCTCATCCTCATCATCGTCCTCCATTTCGAATGAGTTGATGCGAGTAGTCATATCCTTCTGCGCCCATTCCATGGACGAGCAGTGGAGGCGAAAGTGGCCGAGACAACGACGGATGTCAGGATTCGGGGCAGTAGCCTCACGAGCGAGTTTTTGACGAGAGAGAGAGGTGAGTTTGTAAGGGAGAGAGGTCTTATCAGCCAGCGGAGGCCATCGCTTATTCATCGAAGGGTTGCTGGCGGAGAATTTTGGGTTCATGTCCAACGAGGTGATGGCCATGGCTGTATATTTTTTTTTTTTTTTTCCGGGAGAAAATTATTGTGAATGTGGGTTATTGTGATCGGACATGCACAGCGGCCACTTTTGTACACTGAATTGAGTGCAAGATGATGAAAAGGCTTATGTGGTTGATGTCATAAACCGGTGGCGATGGAAAACCGGATTACTGCAGCGGGGAGAAAGAAAGTAAACAGGTGTTGTTGAGTAGGGTTGAACGAGAGATGATATATCTAGATATTTAAATCAAGGATTTGAAGACAGAAACTGGGAGAGGAGGGAAAAGAGCAAGAAAGTGGGAGGCAGAGAATAGGCGGGTTAAAAAGAAAAAGTGGCCTAGGGGGGGTTACGCCAGCGGTGCCTGGAAGCGTCCAGGTGACCTTCTGATCGAACAGAATCTGCAAGCGGCGAGTCTAGACCGTGGATCCTGGTATTACCGTACGCACGCAGCGTAATTTCTTCCATACTACTAGTACACTTGTATTCCCAGACATCCTGTCTAATTTATTCTCATGGCTTTCTTTTACAGAGCACATTACACGTTTCTTCGATTTCCTCCACTCTGTACTCTGTCAGGTTGAAAACTCTTCTGTGACACTGTGACTCAGCTTTCTGCCGCGCCCCACCGACAAAACCGGACGGGCAGGTGACCTTGGGTGGATCCCGGCTGGTCGGCACTACTAGGTTATAGAATATTCGATGCGTTGTAGATTGGATCTTGTACTCGTAGAGATCCTACCTTGCCCTGGCATCGTAGCATATACCTCTATACCTATACGCTGTGCTCTGTACAGAGTAGCAATCCAAACCCAATCTCATAAGACCGAGCCATGAAAATTGTAATATCATGTAAAAAGAAGCGAAACGCCCTTTCCTCAATAGGCATACCGAAACCCCCATCCCATCTTATTGGTCCCAGTCTCCCCGCAGACCCTTACCTTACTTTTTAAGGTTAAGTCTGGGACGCTGGCTTTGATTGGCCTTTTAACTTAGAACACGTTAGTCATGGTGGCCCCACGCTGCATGGTCACAGGAACACCCTGAATGGCAATCTGGGGTTGTCACCTGACTGTTTCCAATAGTTAACAACTGCTACTGCCGACTAGTGACGACGGACGCTTGGACTATCCCCAGGATTGACATTCGAGAAACCAATCTATGCCGTGACGGGTAAATGTGCGGTTTCTTGGGGGTTCCCTTCATTAATCCGCCATGTTATCAGGAGACTTACGGGTCTTCTCTCCGTAGGCGCTTGCTCACTAATGATGATTCACCCTCTGTCTTCGCACACAGTACCTCGGGTATCCCTCCCGGCCACGTCGTCAACTGATATTAACTTTTCCGGTGCATTGTTCCGGATTCTCCGGACTCTGGGGATACTTCGGAACAATACAATACAATTGGTTCGCCTCATCTTCTGTGTCTTGTTCTGCTGTGCTTCTTGCTCCGTAATCCGGAGTTCTCCCATTCCTTTCTTATGTCCGGTTCCGCACTTTAATATGCGGGATGCGCGTCGGATCCCACGGAACGGGGTCTAGACTGTTTGCATGACAGGTGCATTTTCAAGGCGGGATTGGGACCATAGGATTGCTACTTTTGTGTCGTGGTCTGAAAGTCGTTGTTGTCGAGGAAGTAAGAATACTTCTTAATGGGTTGCTGCATAACTTGGTTGCACGGGCATGCATGTCCCTAGCAACCATGTAAGAGCTACGTCTTGCTAGTTAATATAACCCCAGTTCCGTCTATGTTTATTCTATGCCTTCTCTAGCCCCCCTCGATAATCGAATCGCGCGTTATCAACGCTACAACCCTAGAATGATCCCCAAAGTCACGTGCCCCGCATCACCAGCCACATTCACCCAAACGCCAATCATGACCACCCAATCAACCAACCAAACGGTTGCTCCCCAACACAACCGCACCATCGCACCGTCACGATGGCCTTCGCAGGCCCCGTCTCAAACGGCAAATTCTCCTTCGCTGTCGACAGTTTCTATGTCGAAACCTCCAACCACAACCTGCACCGCCGCGCGACCGTCCCCGAGCTGCAGTCCCTCTTCGACACCAGTACCGCAAGCAAGACACCAGACCCCGTGGGACACTGGTATGAAGCGCAGTTATTGCATTATGGACTCGCACCGTCGAAAAACAAGGCTGTTGCGAAGATGCGGTTGTTGGATGCGGTGAGGGGCGGGGGTTTGGCGGTGCCGAGGGATATTGTGAAGATTGAAGGGGATTTAAAGAGGGAGTGGAAGAGGAGGGATAAGGAGGCTAGGAGTGGTGGTTCTAGTGGTACTGGTGCTGCTGGGGGTGCTGGGGGTGCTGGGGCTAGTGCAAAGGCTGGCGGGAATAAGAGGAAGAGGGACGGGGAGGAGAGTGCACCGACTTCCAAGGCGACGGCGGCGAAAAAGACCAAGGCTGCGGATTTGACGCCTGCGAAAAAGACAGAGACTGGAGCTGGTGTGAAGAAGCCTGCTGCTAAGTCGTCAGCGAAGAAGAGCGAGCCTGAACCTCTTCCGATGGTAGATCCAGCTCGGCCCCGGACAAAGCTGACGGCGAAATGCTCTAGAGGCAGGGGAGGCGCGACAGTTGGTTCCAGGGGAGGCTCGACGGCCGGGTCTAGGAGCAGTCAGATTCCAGCAGCCTCGATTGACCCAGGACCAGCCCAGCCACCTCGAACAAAGCAAACAGCGAAATGCTCCAGGGGCAGGGGAGGCGCGACAGCTAGCTCCAGAGAAGGCATTTCTCAGACTCCTGCGGCTTCAATTGACAACCCAGAGCCCGCGCGGGGACCTCGAACCAAACAGACAGCACGTCGCTCTAACCCTTTCTTCGGTGACAGGCGTCCCACGGATCCACTCTACAAGCAGGAATACTCGACGCCTGTTAATCACTCATCTTTTGAATATGTAGGTCTCCTGTGTAACTTTTTAAGCTGTGCGTGCCTCTAACATCTACGACAGGATTATGGACCCAATCCCATGGACATTGATCCCCCTAGCGACTACTCGGAAAATAACGGCCCCGACGATGGCCCCGGCGATGACTCAAGTACTCCTCTGCCCCCGCTAGGTCTGGTCAACGGCGAATATCAAATATGGTCATCGGACTTAGATCAATGGCGCGATTACCCAGAAGAAGAATTCAATCTCATTCTCGGACTAGCGGGCAATACCTTGTGGGGATCATATGACTTCGGAATGTTTCACGGTATCATGCACCTCGAAGAACGACCCTGGTCATCCTCATTCAAGAAGATCCCGTTCAAATGGCGCGGCCGTGAAAGTAGCGAGAGAGAAATGTCCTTTGGACCGAACTGCACCGGCTGGATTCAATTTTACGGCGAGGGCAGAATCTGCGGCCAAATAAACTGTTACGGCAATGTGAGGTTCTCGGGCCAGAGGATCAGTGGCGAGGAAACACAGCCGCCGCGGAGTGTTCAGAGTATGCGTGAGGAGTGGAATGGGTACAACCAGGAGACATATGATAACGAGAATCGAGAGCGATGGCGGTAAACGTTTCTTGGCTTCTCTTGTTCGCGGCATGACCCCGTTGCGATGGCCGGTAATCCGGCAGCAAAATCAGAACACTGCACATAAAATGCAGTCCAAGCGGCAGTGGGCCAGTGCTGTGCAGGTTTTGGATCCTCGAAGGTACGTATAGCGCGACCATCCGAGGAGGGCTCTGGTATCCTCTAGTTTATTGGCCAAGTTACATCGTGGATTGGAAATCATCCAGGCCTAGCCGTCACAATTAATATCACCAGATCGCCATCCACTACTCCATTATCCAATAAAATAATCTTGATTCGCTAAAGTTAGCGTCCGGCTGCTTGCATTCTCGCCACTGGTCTGAACGATTCGCTTGCATTCATTGCCTTGTGTCCGCAGCACCGCAAGTTGAATGTGTCCATGTTCAAGTGACTTGACGTATGTGGTCACCTGCACTTGCCACAGTCAATATATATCCCTACCACGGAACATCCGGACTGTTTCAAGTGCGCAGTGGCAAGACTCAGTATCTCCTTCTTCTACGAGTACTCGTACACACTCGGGAATGCCATAGGGCAGATCCATCGCTCGACGATTGTCCCTAATGATTAAGCATAGGTTTTCACATCAATGTAACGCTACCCGCGCACTCTCCATATAACTACTGAATCAAAACATACCCCGAAAAGATTATCAAGGAAATACCTTCGAGTCATGCACCAGATTCCCCTCCCACCAATGAGGATGATGGGGTGTTGTCGATTGACTTCATACAAAAATGTTTTGAGATAGTCAGAAATATGCGGCCGGGGGCCTGAACTCAGTTTTGATGCAACAGGACCGGATGATCGATAATGGATATGCTGGTTTTGCCGTTTTTGGTATATTGTGTTGTGTTTACGCTGTACAGCACATAAGGCTTAGTCTTGTTTGATTTCCTGGTTCTCCTTTGAGCTATTGCTATCGGGGTAACACTGTAAAAAGAGAAGAGAACCGAGAAAAAAGGAATTTAGTCTATTCTTATACAGGACTAGTGAGAAACTATTATCGCATCTACCGCGATCGATCGATCGATTGGCCGGAGGTCGTTACATAGACTTTTTTAATTGTTTCTACTGAGTGTATTGGCAGGATGGTTGCCGCCGGGGCAGGCAGCGGAAGTACTTCTTCTAACCGGACGGCGATATCCGGGTATATTCACATAGACTCTCTGTGATTTCGGGATTTGTACGGGGGGGCTCTGTAAAGGATAAGAATAATATAGTGATATATCAACGAGTGCACGTCACAGGGTTTCAGGAATCCATGGTTCGTCTCGCTCATCTTCGCAATAAGAGAACCATATCATCTCTTCAAACGAGTTCATTCCGGGATCTTCACATGCGCCACGAGTATTATTACTCCTCTCAAAGCATTCTTCTGGATATCGGAGTAATCCCGGGTAGTTATCCACCATCTCCCCCACGATACATTATCCTTCTTTCTCTCCCTCGTCCTAACTTCTACATACGGCATACTATATGCCAGGATACTATGTTTAGCGAGACTATTGATCCTTATCTCCTGAACCCTGGACCTGCACCCGTCGTCTTCCGTCGGTTCAAACTTAGCCTCAGCCTCGATTGTGGCGGTGCGATCTCACAAAGGCACCAGCCACGCGTCTATCACTCACCGCTTGCCTGATCGGCAGTATCCGAGCTGATCGGTCGTCCACCTTTCATATCTTCGCATCCACATCCCCATCTCCATCCACTCCATATATTTCATCCATTTATCTGGCTTCCATCCTGTCCGGGTGTGTTCAGCCACTCATCTCTCATCCGTCGCATCGCAGCCTTCCATCCTGTCCATTCATCTGCTGCCATCCCCCCCCCGGTCATAGTGTCTGTCTATACAGAGTACACCTATAACACTACACTACTACTATCCGTGCTTCTTGCATAGCTGACTGCATATGTGACATTCGGCGGGTGTCGTGTCCTCTATCGCTCTCTCTCGTTTCTCATTCTCTTGCTATCTGACGACCGGCGAGGATCTTAACCTCACTTCCTTGGTTTTCCTTGTGTTGCTTACTCCATCCCTTCCCCTCCTTTACCCCTCCCCCTTCCGCCTGCAGCCTATACTACCTGTGTTAATTCCTTCAACACCCAATATTCCCTCCCCCCGGTCCAAGCATAAGCGTTTTGATTGACTCTATTCGCGTTCGCTAACGCGCGCCTTACCCTCCTTACCCTTTTCCCTTCCCCCTCGCTTCATCCACCGAGGCTTTGCGACGGCCCTCCTTGACTTGTGTTCGCGCCATCGTTTCCTTGGCCCGCCATGTATAGCACTTCCCACTCCGCTCCAATGAATGGAGTCGCCGGTGATCTTGTCGATGGATCGGGTACTATCAATCCCGCTGCTTTGAATAATGGTATGTTCTTTTTTCCTCTTCTCTATGTTAAATAATCAATGACATCGCTTTTCTTCCTTTTTCGTATTTTGTTGCATGTCATGTGCTGGCGCTGTCATCACTTTTTGCTGTCACATCTGTCGCGACCGCTTTTTGCTGCATCTTACGATGATTATATGTTTCGCTTTCTTCACCATGGCACCTTTTGAACTAATATTTTTTTTTTTTTTCACTTTTATTTTTTTAGTCCCTGTTAATCTTTACACGCCTGCAGATTCATCAAATATAGTCCCTCGTGGGATTAAGCGCAGTCGGAGCCCGGAATTCAATGCACTTACAGATGGAGACCATGATGATGGTATGTGCACCCTATACTCTTTATCGCCTATTTATCCTTTCTTTTCCCGAGTTGAATTGGGACTTGCGACTCGAAATCGCATCGGTTCAATCCACGTCTTTCTTGATAAGAAAAGGAAAAGTAGATATCGGAGTAGACTCGCGACATTGTTATTCCGTGGGCGCTGTTATTATTGTTGCCTTTTCCCGACGCGCTCATGTTAGCTGACACACACCCGGCATAGGAACCGATGAGCACGCTCGTCGGAAACGAGGGCGCCCTCCAAAGATTCAACAACGGCCATCTACCGCTGATCAAACTTCATCCTCTACACCAGCCGCCTCAGGTGCCCAACTTCAAACGCCGCGCATGCAGACGCAACCGCTTCCGCCGGCGGGCGCCGCCGTGTCACCACCGCAGGCTTCGCCTTCGGAGAAGACCACTCCATCTAAGGCCACTGTGATCAAAGCACTTCCGACCGTTCGCGACCACACCACGGACCAACTCGATGAGCAGGGAGACGAATACATCCCCAAGGAGTTTGACGATGCCGGTGAGAAAAAGGTGGATGCCATGGGTTATCCCCAGGGCGGTCGGGAATACAAATGCCGAACCTTCCGCGTCGCTCCTCGCGGTAAGAAACTTTTTATGCTTGCGACCGAATGTGCGCGTGTGTTGGGGTATCGCGACTCATATCTCCTGTTTAACAAAAATCGCTCGCTACACAAAATTATAGCGACGCAGGTGGAAAAGGATGATATGATCCACCAGGACATCCTACCTTACTCGTATCGATCCCGCCAAATCGCCATCGTTTCAGCCAGATCCATGTTCCGTCAATTTGGCAGCCGCGTCGTTGTCAACGGACGAAGGGTACGCGACGACTACTGGGAGAGCAAGGCCCGGAAACAAGGATTCACTGAGGAAGATTTAGCCGGAGAAAAGCGACCGGGTGCCGCTAGGCGTGACGCGGCTGCTGCGGCCGAGGCTGCGAATGCCAATCTATTACCAACCCTAACCCACGGCGACGTGATCTACAGCAACCCTCTCGATGGCATGCCGCTGCCCGGCGCGCCATCTGTCTCTCTTTCGCAGCTTCCGATCTTCAATATGACCACCACCGACGACCCTCGGCTGCGCGAGTACAACAGTATGCCTCGTGCACGCCAGGAGGTTACCGGCCAAGCATACCAGGACCGTACCCAGCCCAGCTCAGCGGCAGATATTCTGAACCAGGCGTCGCATACAGCAGATTTCAACAAGATCTTGACCTCGCAACGTGCATTTCGCCATAGGGTCACAGATGATTTCTATGCCAACCAGCGTGAGACAGCAGCGGAAGCAGCACAGTCGCAGCCCGGTCAACTCGAGGGGGCACAAGAGTCGACGTCAAATTCTCTGCAACCCACTCAGATTGCCAGGGGAGGAATGGTGAATTCGTCCGCGCCGCAGCCTGTAATGTCTCATCAAAGTGCCATGATGGGTGGCGGTCAGTCCGGTTTCCATCCGCCATCGCATCCACAAGCCGCCATCGCACCATCGCCTGCAGTACGAGCCATGCCACCAGGCATGCGACCAGACCTAATGCACCAGCGACCGGCTGCCCTGCCGACGCAAACGCCTCCATACGGATATCCGTCGCAGCCACAACAAATGTGGGGTCAACCGCCTCCCCAGCCACAGCCATCACCATTATCCAGCACACCAGTCGCTGGCATGCCCCAGTACGCGCACCTCCACGCCGCACCACAACACTCGCCATCTCCTCTGCCGCACAATGTTCAGCAACCGCACCCTTCGCAATCACCTCGCAACCAACCTCGTCCGTCCGTACCGTCGATGTCGCAACCATTTCCGATTCATCACCCTCAGGCAGCACAGCAGACACCTATGGCGGCATCCATGGGATTCCCCGGGGCTACGGCTGCCCCGTATCCCGCAATGGCTCGAACCATGTATCCTGCCACTCAAGGCGGGGGTCAACCCTTTATGGCTGGAACACCGCAGCCTGGACTTGCCATGGGCATGAGTGCGGGAGGTGGTATCCCCGGCTGGCCATCAGCTGCTGGTGGGACGCTACCATCCGGACCCCCTCAACCGGGTCAGTCCGGAAGTCCCATGGGATGGTCGGGTTACTAGGTTATATTGATAGCCGGCGTTGGTCCAGGTTGGCGTTTAGGAGGTATGGGACAGCAAGACTGGCGGGGAAAACAGCACGGTTCTGATATTGTCTGGTTTATCGCTTCTCTTTTTCTTCTTGCCACGAACACCCTTTCTTTCATTATCCTTGGCCAAAGGTACTAGCTAATGTTAATGGTGCATACTTCTGTTTTCCTTTCTTTCCTCTCTATACCCCTGTTATACCCAGTTGAATTTTTTGCCTGCTTCTTGTGATATCAGTCTTTTTTTTTGTTTTTGATATCCATGCCAATATATAACAACTTGGCCAAACACGACAGTGGATTTTTGCCAGTTTGTTATTTATCGTTCGTCTGGTTTAGCTGATATGCTCTGCTTTTTTGGTTTTGCATTTATCGTGATGATGTCGAATGACTCGAACCAATGTTTAAATTGCATAGTTGGTTGGTTACTTCTCTACTTTTTCTCAATTCGATAGCCTGATAGCGTCTCAATCGAACAATTTTGTTTATTTTCGATATAAAAAAAGCAAGTCATTGCAATCGAAATGTTTGTTTTGCGGTGCGAGAAAAAAAAAAGCAAAAATAAACGTCCCCGGGAAGGCTCGAACTTCCAACCTCCTGATTAACAGTCAGACGCGCTAGCCTATTGCGCCACGGAGACCGCTTATGTTTTTGGTTTTGCATGGGTACTTACATATTCCTGTATCATAACTGTACAATTGATCTAATCTAGCCTTTATTGTATCCAGCCGTTCTAAGCGCATCGCACGGCACTTCGACCAATGTTTTCATGAATTGTTTTGGATAGCGTTTTTAGGATGACTCATATGGAGGGCAGTAGTGGTTATTTGACTGGAAAGGATTATATTGTTCAAGTGTACTTGCCGAAAGTAGACATGTCCGTAAAGAGTCATTCAAAGATATATATCATGTTAATATCAATCATCTCAGTCTAAGGTAGTTTATATGGGGGATTTTTCTTTTTGGGTGTCACCCACTTCCATGAAAGGACCTCATTTTTACAGTATTTCAGCAAGGGCAGCCCGACGCACATGCCCTTTGATCCAAGGAAGACGTGCGACCTCCAACAACGCGTATCTAAGTTTCTAAATTGATTTTACCGGAGACAAAACAGCCCCAGCCCCAGCCGCAGCTAAAAGCCATGACCAATTCAGGACAGACTTCGTTCAACTGCATGTTCGATTCGTGAATCCATGAATTCGAAATCAATGACAACCTATCTACACAGTAGAGTTTTCTGACCATAAGCCGATATTAAACAGTGAATTGCACATACTTGTCAACTCCCACATCTCGGCCTTAAGGACCGCCGGAGTATCTTCATCCTCGAAACCCCCTGCTGCAACCGGCAACGGAAATGGCAGACATGGAACGATTGTCCGTTGCGTGCGCATCATTATACTCGGGATGCTTCATCAGTCTCGTCATGGCTCGTCGGAGTTGTGGTTTCGAGTTTTTGGTAAAGACATCCTCCACGACCTGCCGGAATTCCAGCGCCCACGACTCGAGAGGCGAATCCTGAGCGAAATTGTCCCTGAAGCGTAGCATCGGAGCCTATCGGTTTCGATACAGATTGTGGACTGCGCCTCCCGTTCCAATGAAAAGAAAATTCTCTTCGCACAGCTCGCGTAGCGTCGCACCAACTTTCATCACCACATAATCTCCAATAGTCTGCCTGAGGGTGACTTCTCACCCAACTTCATGGTTGAGCCGTGGGAGAAAAATTGCATCTGAGTTAATCCTGGCATGGTTAGTAATTCCATTGTGACCCGGGTATGATATGGGCGATTTACCCATTTCGCCAGGAAAAATATGAATAACTTCTTTCGCTAATCGGTATCCGTTAGTATCTCATCTCTTTCTATATCACCAAAGTGATTCCATGGATAAAAGCAGGACCAAGTCCTTGGTAGGTGGCGGGTTGTGGCCCACACTCCGACGGGTCTGTCCCAGAAACCGAAACTATCAACAAGGGCTATCTATGTATACATAGAAATAGATGTAAAAAAGAGCCAAAAAACATACAACAGCCGGGATTCGCTGGTGGTCACCCACCCAACTACTAACCGGCCGGCGTGTGGCTTAAATGCGGTCGATAGTAGGGTGACGGCACCTAAAAGGTGCGAGGTGGTGTGAAATCTTGGCGCTCGCGCGACTAGCGTGGGTGCTCTATAGAGGGGTGCGATATTCTACGGGCACTCGCACCCTGGTGCGAAAACCCCTTTCAGGGTGCTAGTTGGCCCACTTGACAACAGGAAACGGCCTAGTCATTGGTGGCTTGCCCCTCCTCATGAAACAGTCCGGCATGTTGGCGCATGCACTTCGCCACTGATACCGCGCATGATAGGCAGCAGGATATCTATGCTCGAGACAAGTAACAGGCCATGGACGACTTAGTTTGTTAGTACCCTTTTGGTGTGTGATGGATGGTTGATTGGTTGGTGGCCTATCGGCTAAGGCTAACTATTACTACCGGGCAGAAAGTGAGGGCGGTGAAGCACGTGGCCCGCTGGGTCCGCCCTCGTTTCGGTCCAAGAGGCTATTTAGGCCTGTTAGCCTCCCACCTCCTAATACACACACACATTCATTCTTAGATAGTTCTAGAGACACGTGATCTTACGTACATGTGAGTATATGGGAAAGAGTAGTTGATTGGGTGGTCGGTCGAGCCGTCCGACCAGCTACCTAATTTGGCCAAAAGAGGGCGGTGAAGAAGGCACGTGATTATCAGGTGCTAAGACATAACCTATGAAGCGGGGTCTCTCGGATCGTAGCTCAAAAGGGAAATCGGGGGTCGATTATTCCGGACTAAACGAGGTCTATATGTAGATAACTAGTTTAACGAAGAGCTGTATTGTCTAACGAATGTATGTGCGCATACGCAACTGATTGAGTGCTTAATCTACAATATGTGCGCACACATCGACTATAAGAATCTCCTGACCGCGCTACTCGGGTCAACCATTTATCCGATCAATCCTTATCAACCTAAACCACCCAATAAATCATGTTTATGGTTCAGCACGTTACTACAAGGCAGATGCAATTTCCATTCTGAGAATAACATGTGTTAGTCAAATGTCTCTATACAGTGCAAATAGTGCTTAGCGGTAGTGGTAGAACAGTAGCTGTGAAAGTGGTAATACATTCGTCCGAAGGGGTATATCTCCTTCAGAGGGTTTGACTAGTAGATTACAGTTGAGGTCACCTAACTGTAGAGCTCAACTGTATTTGATTGATGATTGACTCGTACACCGTCCCAGCAAATCTTAGTCCATGGCTGTGCGGGTGTCAAGTCTACCTTAGACCTATATGTGACTATATACACAACTTGAAGAAGTGATTCTGTGGTATTGGCAGTCCTACATTGATAGTTGAGGAGACCCAGTCACAAGTCTAGCAATCCTTCTATTTGAGACCGTGTGGGAAGTGAGGAAATCCTTGGATACAACATTCAAAGTCATATGTAGGAAGGCAGGGGAGAGGCTAGCTAGGAGGATCTCTCAGAGGGAAGACCTATCGTTTTATCCATAACTGTATAGAGGGGCCTCGTCGTAGCCAGGTGGCGTTGGAGAATCCGCACTGCTGTAGAAAACACGCCCGTTTCACCACTATTGTAAATGTTCTCTGCGGAAATCTCGACACTTGCCCTTTCCGTTTTCGGTCCGACTTCTCGCCGCTTTTGGCTCCCTGAGCCGCCCGGAGCGTACCCAGAGCAAGGTGATGCGTGACCGGAGCGCTCAGGGAACTGCGCCGGAGTGATCTTGGAGTGATCCCGGAGCAACTCGGGGTCGCTCAGGCTAGGATCACTGCACCCTGACAAGGGAGCCAAATAAAACGTGCAAAGCCAAGCCTGCAATCTTACCTCACAAGACCGACCGCTTTGATTTAGTGATGCCATAGAATAGCAAAATGTCTCTGTTTTACAACTGAGGCCCACTTTACAAGTAATAATTACTGCCTATCACTGCCCTGTGAGGTTAAGACCAGTGCAAATTGTACTATTCAGCCTCGTCATCATGAAACACTATAGCCTTGTGCCATGTATGTGCATATTGCTCAATAACAACTCCAAAATAAAGACTGATCACTGATGACAGTGTATTCAAGGAGCCCGTTGCTCCACAAGAGGCATTTAGGACTTCTCTGAGTTACAAAATGAGCTATACATGAATGCACGCATAATTCATTTTTGGGATAGGAGGAGCGGTACTGACTACAAAAGTTGAACCTGGTGCGTGTATCCAGGAGAATTGTACAAGGATAAAAATATGGGAAGGACCATAAGGAACAAGACAATGTCTAAGTCAGGATCAAGAGAGGTCTGAATTCTTTCCAAGCCGTGGCTGACATCTCATTTTCTGGTCCTCTCCGCCTCCTACCTATCTTCATAGCCTCATAGGCAAGGAGATATATCATGCTATGTCATAGATGGAAAGGGCACTGCCATAGTTTTCCATTTATCAAATTCTATTTAAAGTGTCACGACATGTTAATGATGTTAGTCTGTTTGATCCCTTTCTCTTTTGACATAGGGTTATGTAAAGGGCTAAGCCCGAAAGCTATTGTTTAGCTATATACAAAAAGGATTCGATGAAGAGAGAAAGAAGGAGAGAGGGAGAAGCTAGTATATAAAGGCTCGCGTAAATGTATGCCCGACGCGTCGGAGGCGTCCAACGGAGTTATCACGTGCTTGCGAGGACCTGTTCCGAGTACCACTTTAGGCGTAGCCTATAACAATTGTCAAGAGCATGAGCGCTCGTGCTCTGTGACAGTAGAAGGAAAGCCCTAGAACTCAAGTCATGTTGTGACGACTCATATGTGACAGCTTATATATGACGGCCTAACACTGCAGCAAGAGATGATACATCACGAATGCTGCTACTCAGACATGTCGTCAACAATCTCTATAAAAACCCCTTCATTATCCAGATAGATTTCCTCTTCTCTTTTCTTCTTCAGATTCGATATTCTCGTCGATGGCTACAATAGTCTAGATAGGAATTCAGTTCGTTATTATCTACTATTCCGAGCCCGTGACACTTTGTGCTACATATTGCTGAAAAACCTGGTTTGGGCCAAACTGAACCTGGGTGATCTATAATGGACACGAAGAAACATGGCAGCGTTGGTCCAGACTAGGCTGTGCTACTGCCGGGCACTTGAGGTACTATGGAAGTAGATCAACTGGTCAAAGGGAAGGTCGTGTAGTTCAAATTAGGTTGGGCAGCAATTTCGGTCGTTGTAGTCTGGAGGATGTTGACTTGCTACAGTTCAGGCCGACAAAAATCCCAACTCTCACAATCTGACAAGAAACACCAAGATTCATTTAGGCTTATTGAATTTTCTCGTAGATCGATGTTGGTAGAATATGTAACCAGCCTTCTGACAACACATGGCTCGAATAGCGGTGTGCGAATTCATGCATATTACTAGAAATCACCCCGCTTTTTGTCGGAGACGTACGTTGCCAGGTTCTGGCTGTTAGGCAATAAAATCTGAACTTAAGTAACCAAAGTACCTCTCTAGCTTTTCTCATCTTGTAGATAATAACTACCTCTTCACCTCTTCACCATCCCTAAAATGGATGAAAATAACTTTAGAACCTCTGATAGCACCGCGTTCGCGCACCTAATTTGGAGTGCCCAACTTCTACATTACCTGAGTTGTCAACAAAGCCAATCACCTCTATCCCCCTCAACAGTGAATCCCAGTGATGCCGAAAATAGTGACGAAGAATTTGCAAGTGATGTGAATACAGTTCTTGGTCCACCTGATACAGGCATAAAAGAAAAATTCTTGGATTGTCTGGCTGAAATACTATCGCATACCAGAGGATGGCACCATGTCACCGCGACAGGTCTGCGGGAGGGGTTTAATGATGTGGTAGTCGACGTGGTTAGGAATGCAGGTTTTGATACCAATGAGGCAGATCCCCATTCTGCGAAAGATTCGGCTTATTTCGTTAAGATTGAGAATTTCATGCGTACGCATGGTCACAATTATGGCCAAGGAATGCTGTATGAGGCGCTAACAGGCTCTTAGGGAACAGCAAACTCGCCCATCTTTCTATGTCTGACTTTGAAGAAGAAACCATAATCTACAATGCAGCGCGCCTAAAGAAAACATTGTCTGATCTACGCCATGTGCTTACTTCAAAGGCGAGAAAATCCAATTTGCTTCTGCGCTCTCAACCAACTTCTTCCATCATGAATCTTGTCCAACAGGCCTTAACCCAGGGGACGGATACAGAAGATTCCTTAGTGTACATCATACGCTTAGCGTATCACTCAGCACGAAGGCCTAGTGCACACAATTATCTGATTGAAACTTTTGGCAATACCATTGGTGATAGAGGCTGGCGACTTATTCATTTCCTTGCCAGACCAATTTCAGCATGTCGCCTACTTGAAGAAACAGCTCGCAGATTACCTGCATTTCGCAAACTGAAGATACAGGCCCATAGACCCCCATTTCCTGTCATTCTTGATAATAAACACCTAATACCAATCCACGAGGCTTGGGAACGTCTAGGTCTACCGGTAGCCACGCCTTCGACGCGGGAAACTCTGAATAAGTTCAACGACAAGTTCAAAAAGGCTTGTTCCAAGCCGTTCAGCACTCATGCGGAAATTCAGCTGGTACTAAAGTATTTAGACCATTCACACCCGCAGCCTTCACTATACTATCTAGGGTGCAGCAAGAAAGCTTGTCTACTTTGTGAAAATTTTATGCAAAAGTCACCATTACAGTTCAGGACCAGAGGAGGGCATGGAAAATGTTACCCGGCTTGGAGCATAGCTCATTCACATCTCAAAAGCCTGGAAGAGCTTCTGGCAGGGTTTGCCAAAACGCTGGTCCAGAGAATCGTGGAGAGCGATGATGCCTCCAGAAGACTGTTTGGTCAACCTTTAGCTGAATCATCTGTGATATCCTCTCTTGGACGCTCTGTTTTGCAAGATTTTGAACTTCGAAAGCACCTCCTCAACGATCAAAAGCAGAGGAGTGATACATTCCGCACTCAATTCTACCTTCAGTTCGTGTTTATCCCACAAATAACCGTCAACTTGATTTTTACTTACTAATTTTTTTTTCTAAAGAAATGATCCATCCTTAGTTATCCCAAAAAGATCGAAAACCGCTTCCTTTTGTTATGTAATTGAGTTAAGTGATTGCATCATGTGTGGCTCAAACGCCGGTCGCCTATGTACCCGCTGTCAGAGCTCCAGGTATTGCTCCAATGAATGCCAGGCGGCTGATTGGCCGAGCCATAAGCTTCTGTGCAGGAAATATGCTGAGAAGTCGCCACGTCCCTCAGACAACCACAAACTTGCCATAGAGTTTCCGCAAGACAAGTCATATCCATCGCTCATCTGGGTCTATTGTGAAAAACGATTGGACGATTGCAATCGCCCTTGGGAATATGCGAAGGCGGAATCTTTCCTTGGCAGAGATAATCCAATCCTGGAAAGAAAACTTATACAACGGAATCGGCGACGCGATCAACTTTTACCAAACACTATTGAGGCTGTGTTTCGAGACACCTTCCTCATAGATGGCTCAAAGCCCAATCGGAGCCTGTACAGATCACTTGGATCATCTGGAACCACTTCATGCGATTGGCGAGGGCCGGGGATCATCTTGCGGAAGAGAGGGATTGGCTCTGACCCCAGTTTTTATGGGGACATTTCGCTTGCTGATTACCGGCACGTCCTGGACTACTTTCTAAGTTACAGAGATGATGATGTAAAAGAGATTGAGAAGGGGTTCCAGATTGACAAAAGTCGTAACACTATTTCTGGCGTCAAAGTAACATGCTTCGGCACGCAGAAGCTTAATGGGGCTGGGCCTTTTGTTCATGTCTCAGTCGGTCCAACTCACGTTGCACGCGGAGCCTTGTCCTCTGAAGGTGAAATATCGCCAATTTCTTATCTAGTGGGGTTACCTGTGAGAGCGTGGAAAATTTCATCCAATGACGAGTGGCTCAATCGCCCGGATTGGGATTTTAACACGCATCCTGACAGCAATTCCACAGCGTGCAAACTGTTCATGGATCCGAATATTAACAGTCCTCGGTGGGGGTGGGCGCCTTTGCATTGGCAATGTGGGATTGGAGACGTTCTACTCATCAGGGCAGATGATAACGACCTTTCTGTGGATGATGCAGAGCTTCTTTGTCGGTTCTGCGAATGGAAATTACTACCGATGTTCGAAGATGCAATGGGGGCTGGATGGGTGAAGAGGAATAAACAAGAGGTTGTTGATTTCATCACAAGAGAAAACATGGAAAAGTTCAGAGAAGAACTGATGAGCAGGGGACAGGATAATGAAGTCATATAAAAGTGAAGGAGAAAGCCTGTAATGTACCACTTTATCCATCTTCCTCCATGGTATTTCAAAGTTTGATACCTAAGTACATCAAAGTAGTTCAGCAGTACGGCACATCTCCTAGTAACTTCGCAATTGGTTCCACATATCCTCCGATCAATGCCACTGTTCTATCGGCTCCATCACCTCAACCATCGGTGCCTACACCGCCTGTACTGGAGCTGTACACTCTATGTCCGACGATGCCGATTCAATCGTAGTTCGCGGGCTGATTGATGTAATCATGAAGGAATATACCGACTGGCTGCAGTTACAGGTTACCAATTAGAGAAACGAGCAAGACGTAATAAAAGACTGGTCAAGACCAATTCCTCTTTTGCCTTCATCAGGCAGGTTTTGCTGAATAAAGGAAAAGAAGAGGCTCAAGGACTTGTCTTTTTCAGGAACCTCAGTTTTTATAGGGCTAATAAGAGTGACTCGCTTATACTGTAGTCGATGTCAACTGTTTAAGATTCAAAGTGCAGGATGATCTCATCAAAAACTCGAATCGCGAGGTCACACTCTTTAGGCTTCAAGGGGTGTGACGAAAGAACGATAACCCATCTAATCGGGTCTGATATAAAATGAAAATATACATCACGTAAATTTGCGTTGCACTCTCTGGCTTTTTGCTTAGATGCTTTCTTTGACCAGCCCACGCATTTCAGCGCACGGCGAATGCTTCATGTTGTTAATAATACCCCAAACTCGTCCAATAGAAAAACTGCCATCTCATCAAGATACAAATGAGGCTTTTCAACTAAATGGTCACAAAGAACTTGGACCATAAGAGGGGTAAGGCTTCGTGGCCATCCACTTTTATTTGGGGGTGCTGTCACACTGCGAAACAATCGCATGTTGGAGCGATGCCTTTTGATTGTTCGTTTGTGACAGTCGGCAGCCTTAGCCATTTGTGATGCAGTGAGCTCGTTGCTCACTATCATACCGTAGGTCATCTCCCTAGTGGATGATGGAAGTCGGGGGGCCATCTTGACGATGGATATGATCGTTCGCGAGAATCATTTTTGGCGGGTTAGAGGAATGTTGCATTAAGAAACCGCTTGTATAGCTGAAACATGTAATAATCATACGATACGCTCTCCCAAAATAGAAGTTTTCGGGATTATGACAAAAGAGGTTAAGTGCATTCTTGGCATATGGTTTTGAGAACAAGAAAACAATTGTTAGGGGTGACACTGCTTTCGCATCCGAGTGTATACCTGAGCGTATGCGGGAATTCTCAAATAAGGCTGCAAGGCCACGCAGTTCAGTCCACATTGGAATTTCCTGGCGAGGCCCTTACCATGGGACTGCAAGTGAGAGATGCAGTTGGTCTGTCGCCAGGTTCACAAGCAAAATGTGAAGTGGTTTTGATTGTGTGTACTTGTTCATCTCTGCCTTGTAGCGTCACTAGCGTCCAGGGATGTTGAATACACCTGTAAACGGACTTTTTTGTAGTTCCCCTACCGGGTCTTTGCTATCCCGCTCTCACTCCAGTAAGCCAGCTATCAGTTCTATTTTTTCTTTTTGAGTCAAATGTGCAAGCTATCTTCAAGCGCAGACCAATTTCAGAGCTTGAGAACATAGGGTTCAGCTTGGATTCCTAAGAATCTAGGCCCTTTATATTGGCTTTTTTTTATTTCCTTTCTTATGGGCATCAACAGTAAAATGGTGCAACACTGATGTGTTTTAAGCATTAGGCGCTCAGAAGCTATGGGGCATTAGTGATGACCAACAGCGTTGAAATTCAGATGAGTTAACAAAAGACCCTCATGAACAACATGCGCGGTTGAGCCGTACAGTGGAACATTTGTGGGTCAAGTGCCAGCAATAAGCCAATAACATGGCCCCTACTGATGCGGAGAGCTGGAATTGGAATTTGCAGATCACTTGCTGTTCAACAAACGACAAACTGTTGAACAGCAATAAAATCTTCTGGGTCCAATAAACTATCCACTGCTCTACGATGCTCAGAATAGCATGGAATATCATCACTAATTCTGAGTAGTTTGCATTACTATATTTACACTTCAATTGCATTTAGAAAGAGTGCTGTTCACAACTTGTTACTAGACATTTGATAGATGGAATCGAACAGAGATCTGTGCGGATAGAAGGAATCGGGACTGCCAATCAGAATGTAATTTGTTTTTTGAGCACAGTGGTGCAGTGATACGATATTGCCTTACCAAAAGCACACAGATTATCTTTCAAATCAAATCGAATAATACGCTAAAGATATGATATTCCCAACAGAAAATCAATAGCTTTTAAATGACTGTTCTGTATCTACCAGATCACGGTATCTGACAGTGTATAATACCAGGATCTAGATCGGAACCTGGAAGATTCAACTCAAGCTCACCTCACTAAACATAGGGGCCCATTGAATTCGTATTCTGTCAACAGTCGCCTCTCCTCTCTTCTTCATCTCCGCACTGAGCTACTGCAGGGAGCCTGGTGCCTTCTGTAACTATCTAGCGTCAGTTTGACAGAGAAGGCGTCACAGTAGAGGTAATCCTTTGTCACGTCTACCCTTGCTTATCATTATGCTACAATCTTGTGCTACTAAAAGTCCTGTTCCACATCCAGCATTCCAGGCTGACCCGTTTCAAGATTTTTGAAGTGGGGAGACATACTAACTCTAGTATAAGATAGCTGGGTCATCTTTAGGCAATATAAAGATTTCTCTAAGCTTATTACCTCGAACCTTTCCTACTGATATTTCGTATTTTTATGCGGCTCAAAGCGATCCGGCCCCGATAATTTCATTCAATATTTGCTTTAATATTCGTTGCTCTGTCCTGGCCTATGAAAAGTGCTATCGAAAAAAATTCGTGGAGCGTAGAGCTCCAGGACCTTGCCACCCCGGGTCGATCTTTGGCCTGCTCCCCTGACTATCAGCTAGTGGCCTCACACTCTGGGAAGACTATCATACTCTTGGACTCCAAGACAGGAAGGAAGCTCCATGCACTCCAGGGCCATTCTGAACATATTAATTCTGTGAACATCTCCCCAGAGGGTCAGATTGTGGCCTCGGGTTCTGATGATAGAACTGTCAGACTCTGGAATGTTAATACAGGTGAAGAACTCAAGACTCTCCAGGGCCATTCTGATAATGTTGGATCTGTGATCTTCTTTCCAGATGGTCAGACAGTGGCCTCAGTCTCTGACGATGAGACTGTCAAGCTCTGGTGTGTCGCGACAGGCAAAGAGCTCCGGACCCTCCAGGGCGATTTTAGTTACTTGACAGAAATGGTCTTCTCCCCAGATGGTCAGACCCTAGCTTTCTTTGGCATTAGCAGAAACATTTACCTTTGGGATGTCAATTCAGGCCAGGATATTCGAACCCTCAAGGGCCATTCTGAGTATATTAATTCTATCGTCTTCTCCCCAGATAACCAGACGGTGACATCACGTTTTGATGATGGAAGTGTTATGGCCTGGAATGTCAAGACATGCGAGCAAGTACCTGCTTACAGGGATGATTTTGAAAGATATTTCAAGAAAGACCCATAACTCTATACCAATGGTGGTTTTTCTGGTGTTTCGCCGGTGGGTCAAATTTAGCTAGCCCAGTCTCGAATAACAAGACATGCTGCTATAACGCAATTCCAAAAATTTAACAGACCGTTACTAGTGACTATGTAAACACCAAACCCGAAATCTCTACTCGGTTTATCTATGAGACCGACTTCGCTTTCCTATGTAAAAGATGTCTCTTAACCAAGACATCGGCTGCCTGCTGCCATGAAAGCTAATACCAGCATATGTTTCGTAAACAAATACCCCATGTCTTCAATGAAATGCGCATAGGATCTTCCAGATTAGTTTTTTGTTACTTTCTCTATTCATTCTGTACTAAGTATTTCTTACGCTGGCTAGAAAAAGAGGACATGAGTATTTGTAATGCCAACTGATTTATCTACTCTATATGCTGGGAATATAGGGTCTGAGTTTAGATACTTCAACCGTGCCATACTGAGTGGAAGACGAACAAAATTCGCCTACTTCCGGAATACCCAACGACAACGTAAGGATATCAAATGCCATTTCAGCAAACCCAGGCATCCCAGATAAGGGGGCAAGAATTTCAGAACTATATCCCTAGCTACCAGGTAATTCAGGGATATACCAAAGCGTCCTTGCTACCGCACCTAAGCAACCAGTATGCCTTCTGGAGCATACACCTACTGCTGGATATGTGGCTGGGTCCAGAGCATTCCATTCATGGTATGCCGTGGATCGTAATCCGTTACAACGTTGGCAGCGTAAATGACGGTGTGATATGTGGTTGTGTGCAGGCAATTGGTACATTGCATTGCCATAATCGGTCGGTGGAAAGTTAGATGGAAATCGATGATTGATAGTATTCGGCGGTGAATATGTTTCCACCGAACTTTGCAGGGCGTTTGATTCGTCCATATTTCTTGTGACGCTAAGCATCAAGTGCTTGATCCTGCCGGGCACAACTTTCCAGATGAGCCACCTCTCTTGGAGCCGCATGGTTAACTCGGGAAAGTCCCACCGTACCTTTGACAAAAATCTAACCATACTCCACGAACGTGTTTCATAGCAGAGGCGTGGAAATCGCGATCTATGTGATTTTGAATAGAATTGGCAGGGCTGATACCAAGAGCGACTCGTTCTAGTAGAAAAATGTGCGTCTTTAAGAGTTGCTTGTCAATCTTTACAATCTCCACAACTGTGTTGAACAAATAAACGCAGCATGTGCAAACCAGCTGTACATGGGCCATGCACAGATGTTAAGATCTTTTCGTTTTATCACCCATTCAACAACAAGAACTACATTTTATATAAATCGGCGTGGTTCCAGCTGAGCATCGGAATTCAACCCAATTAATTTTTCCACTCTATCTATCTTTTCGAGCGTCCGAAATGGTGAAAATTGCCATTTTCACAGCCCTACTAGCAACCATAACAGTCGCCCAAACCACAACACCGGCACCAAGCACAACCATCCTCTCCATCTTCGAAGAAAACAACTCCCTCAACGCCCAGGTCTTTAGCAACATGGGCGGCAGCATCGTCAACGTCGATGCATCTAGTAACCAAACCATTATCGCCATAAACTGTGTTCAAAGTTTACTAGCATATTGTTCTTTTTCATCATACGTCCTGCCTATGACAATAACCAGCGGTCCGTCGACGTTTGCCTGGAGTATGAGTTCAACCGCACTGTCGGGCTCGGTTTATTCCATTGCCGGGCAGTCACAGAATTGTGCGGTAATTGGGTCCACGCAAAGTGCGAATTGTTTGATATATGATAATCACTGGCATTTGAATATATCTACTACGTCCTTGTCCAGTACATCTGCGACTGTGGAGTTGAGTGCCGCGCAGATCACGTATGATCTTCTCACCGTTACGGCTGGCATTGAGAAATTATCACCTGATTCTACGGCTTCTGTGTCGAGTATCACTGTTACAGGCACTGCCACTAGCTCGACTGACCCCGGGAAGAATAGCTCCAAAGCATGGATCGCAGGCCCTGATATAGGCGATGTGGTGGGGTGTACATAACTAGTCTCATCAAAGTTGTAGGCATCTTCATATGCAATCCCATGCTGGATCATAGTGATTTGTACGAGGTCAAACCATTACATCCTAAATTGACTCCCATACCCGCTTTCCTTTTTTGTACGATTATCTCGGTCTGTAAAGTAAGCTCGTAATGGACCCCAGATGACTTCATTATTAATGTTTCTCTCGTCAAGCAACTTGTAGTTTGATTATACATGTGTGCAGTTATTGCATATGAATTGTTTTCCTCTTCAAGCAGCTACACTTGTAATTATAGGATGGGACTTCATTATCTCCACTTGTGTTCCAAAATCTGACATCCTTGTTCCTAATCACTTCAACAGTTTAACTTGTACACCTTTCATTGCGTTCTGTATGTTACTCATAGTGATTGAAAATCACTAGCACGAATACTGGTAAGTCTCTCTTTAGGGAGATTGCTTAAGCCATAGTAAGTGTATTTTAGTGGGACCCGACTTAAATCGTAGGAAGTAGTTCAAAAATAAACTAGATCCTTATACTAGTCTGACCTGACTGAATATTGGTTGTCTGGTGCTGTTAGTATAGGAAGCATATCTAAGCTCTTAGTCTCACTAACAGTTAAGTAAAATACATTGATGACATATATGCGACTTTTATGATTTCTGCAGTTTAATGCTAGTACTGTTGATAAAGCTTAAGATGGCACAAGCTGTTTGGTATGACGGACAACGGAAGGAGGAACGAGATAGGAAGCCCATGAATGTTCCACAGTGCGGATGAATCTGGCGAAGCTGTAAGTCCTGGATATGAGTGACTTACAAATTCCACAATATCTGAGAGAACAACTGGAACACATTGCAAAAGGCCTTCGTATTCTTCGAGATTGCCAAGACCTAAAACTTGTTGGTTATGAACTGTTCCAATAAATTGCCTGGTGATGAGATGTTCACCCATAAGTTGTTAAACTTACATTTGAAATGGTCAAATTGCTATTGCTGGGAATCTTCCATTAGACCTATTTGTGGGAGGAACTAATTCTTTTCAGGTTGAGCAACTACCAACTTTTCCTCAAGAGGTACTCTTGATCTGCATAGAATACTTCTTAATTACAATGCAGTATCACTAGCGCTGATGTTGCAGTCCAACATATGTTGGTGCAATGTCATTTCTGACCGTATTAATGCTGGCAGAATAACGTGTTCAAGTCGACCAAGTCTGCCAGAACAAATGCTGTAACTATCTGACCAACATCAACAATTCTTTCGCATTGCGATAAGCTGCGCTGAAAGGCTACATCTCTGTTTACTATGTCATCTGTGTCTTTCAACAAGCCAATGCCTAAGGACATATGGACATGGCAGAGTGCATTGAAGATATATAGCTTTCTATCGCCACGTGGAGATTTGTTCTTGGACATAGCGTGATACAGCTAAAAAGACTGATAAATAACAGAGAGACCTGCAACCAGATTGGCATCCCATAGGAAATAATCATGGCCAAAGGATCTTCGACCCAAGATGTTCGGCAATATATGAGCAGGAGTGAAAGTATTGTTAAGAGGGGAAGTCCTTACGCAGAGACTGGTCGTGCCTATGTCGGATTAAAGTCATCAGGGAGTGGGATTTGTGCCATTGAAATGCGCAACGGAGTCCCAGTCTCATTCATCAGTCACTGTGCTGTTAAAGAGGAAGACCATGGGGTGAAGTACCTAAGGCAAGTAACTCATACGAATTTGTTGGGCTTAAAGGAAGTTTATCTGAAAGATGGCGTCGCCTTCTTCCTTTACGACGCATGGGGTATCACACTAGACGAACTCCAGCGACTGTCCCATGTGTTCCGACTCGGTGAAGTGGAAGTTGCAACTATTTGCAAAGGGGTATTCCTCTTGAGCTGAATCTGTGGGAGGGATGAGTTGTAAACAGGCTAACTGCAAGCAGATACTTCAAGGTTTGGAATATATCCATAATGACCTAGAAATCTGCCACGGAGACTTGTCCTGCTCCACTGTCTTGATCAATGACGGAGGTGACGTAAAAATTGGTCAGTATTCGATAAAACATCCTCCATATTAGTTAACTATAAAGCGGTATTGACGAATTCTTGCAGCTGGCATTGGTGAAAGCATGATTCGAAAGTCCTCACTTCAAGCAAAGTTTCAAGATATTAGGGCAGTCTGTAATATTGCCCACACTCTTCTAGGTCATGATAACATGACTGGGGTACGGGGCACCTTGGGTCTCCTTGCCGTAGACTTTATTGCCGCACCACCGGACGTGACGGTGGAAAATCTCCTTCAGGTACATCTAGGAACAAGCAAAGCATCAATCATAACGCTGAAAATAAGATTCTTAGCACTCGTTTCTTCAAATTGCTGTACCACACTGTGTACGTCCGGTTAATATTCTTTGTACTATTGCTGGGAAAGGTGATTTTTGATGAGACTTTGCATTACGTCTGCGGCCAGAACAAAGTTGGTGTGGACAAAGCAGTGCAGAAACTTTGCTTTCTGTCTCCATCCAACCCTTCTGGTTCCTGAGTCGTGTTAATTCAATAGCACCTATATTCAGAGATTGTCACGGGCTCGGAACAGTAGATAATGACGAATTGAATTCCTATCTAAACTATTGTAGCCATCGACGAGAATATCGGATCTGGAGAAGAAAGGAAAAAGGAGGAAATCTACCTAGATGATGAAGTGGTTTTAAACGCAACGTTGGCGACGTGATTGGGTAGTGTTTGTGATGTATCATCCATTGCCGTAGTGTTGAGCCGCCGTATATGAGCTATCATATGTGAGCCGTCACAGAGATTAATGCCAAATATTCTAATGCTACCATTGAATTTTTGGCTTCATGGACTAAAATTAGGGCAAATACGGCACATCAAAGTAGTAATAAGGAAATGCCACCTCGGCAGCTGCGCAGAGAACCAGATTAGATATGTTAACATTGTTTTTAACTAGTTAATTAACTGTCAGATACACCCACGAAGGACCCTGTGGACATCGAGGTTGGCCACATAGAGCATGTGGCAAGCCTGCACGGTGATGGCCGATATGGTTTCCCATATTATTTATATATGGAGTCTTTTTCGAGCCCTAGATCGCGAAGACATACTATCTGTATATGGTTACTCCAGTATCGCAGGTCTGTTTGGTCGTGGAGCGGTATAGCACCGAGCAAACATGGCCTGTAAGCTGCATGTGCCTGTATTATGAAAGTTTTATAAATATTTTCCCCGTCTATCATGAGGTTGTCTCAATTCACGGTATTCTTAACATCCAATCAACCTCGAAATAGCACGAAATTAAGAGTCCTGGCAGATTGCAATTATTGGTCATATGACACACAGCAAAATATCATCCACATCAGAAATGGCCAAGGTTGCAAGACATAGTGAGTGATCTATCACTAGTTCGGCAGTGCCAGATTGCCCCTATTCCTGATGGCTGGCCATCAAGCACCACCCCTCCAAGAGTCCCTCCAGTGCTTGAAGCATTTTTGTGATTACCTAATTGAAGAGCCTGGTCGTTACGTTGAAGAGATGGCTATCTTCCTATGTGACGAATTTAAAATACTGTCATGATCATCTAGTATTAAATGTGCCCTTTCCTGAGCAAGGTAGACGAAAAAGAAAGCCCAGCAGAAAGCAACAAGCAAAGTATCAACATCAGCTATCTGAGTTTTATATCAATTAGTTAGTTTTGTCCACAAATCTGGCTGTGACAAGCGAGCTGGATATAAATATGGACTGGATGGTCTCCACTTGGCGTGACGCCATTTCAAGTCTAATTTCCATTGAGACCAGCGGTGCCACATACTGCCAACATATGCGCTAGATGGTGTTATCTTGTCTCGCATTTTCAAAGGCTCGACTGATGGTATGTTTTTGAATCTTTCATCCAGCAGCTTCTCCAGCACTGTGGGAGATGGCCAGAACCCAAATCCGTCTTAATCATGGATAATGCGTCTTTTCATCACTCAGACTGAGTCAAGCAGCTGTGCACTGATGTGCAGGAGTTAAGCTTTTGTATTTGCCACCCTACTCACCGCACTTCAACCCTATTGAGAATTTTTCTACCGAGCTGGAGGGTTACGTCAAGAAAGCTTAATCAGAATATGAGGAAAATCCTGATCAAAGGTTTCATTCTTTCCCTCGGTGGTGCGTTGATGATGTTGGTGTGAGAGAGGAGAGCGGGAAGGTCACTTTTGACATGCAGACGTAACATTAAAGGAGATCTGAATAGGTTTTGCATTTGGCCATGACTAGTGACGGTGTTTTCCAGGCTAGACGTATTGATTATGGATTTTCACACTCTTTCTTTCTTTGGGTTCACGAAGGAACTCTATCCAATAGTATCTTTCTCGGTCGAATCTTGCGTCATTTCAGATCATCCAGAGAATTGGAGGCTTAAAATAAGAGGAAACCCCAGCCCCATTCTCAACCTTTCATTTTCATATCCCTTTTCCCGCTTCCATTATTCGATTTCTGTTTAAGCATCTTACTTGAACCAAGCTATGGAAGATCGCGCCCAGCTCGAAATAGAACTGGAAAGCCTTCTTGATTACCACTTTAGTGACCATAATTTGTTAGAAGAGCTCTTACAAGCAGCTGGATCTTCTGTTTCTGATCCTGCGGTGCATGGAGATCGACATGGTAACAAACGTCTTGCTCTCCTCGGCGACTCAGTCTTGTCAACGGTCCTTCTAGAGCAGTGGTATGAAAGTGGCCAAAGCACCGGGAAGTCGTCAAACAACCCGGTCCCCGGGATTGAGACTAACTCCCAATAGAGGATGGTAACCGCCTATTAAAAACACATGCAAGCAATAATGTGTTGAGCTCTAGAGCAGAAGAATTGAAGTTGGATAGGTACATTATAAAAAACCCCGTTCATCATGGCAGTGTTCCAGAAGGTACTCTTTCTTCTATGGTTGAAGCGATCCTCGGCGCTGTTTGGATTGATTCAAAGAGAAATCCAGACGAAGTCTTGCATGTCATGAAGGAAATGAAATTGTACTAGTTTCCTAGCATCATCAGGATGTAAAATTAAAATACCAGAGTAATTTACCTTTGTGGAAACACGCGCAGATTTTGATAATGGTGTAGTAGTAGTAATCAAGTTTATTGTCCTTACCGAGCCCTATGGGCTATGAATAATATGTCGCCTTCCATACCGATTCAGGACAATTTCTTCTTGTAAAGCTGATGTAGCGAAATTTACAATAGAAGAGGGATACCTTATGCCAGTCGCGAGCGGGAGTTTACTCCGCTTTAGGCCAAATGGGCGGCCCGTGGGCCAGGCCAGGCAGGTCTACTCCTATACCCCAGTAGGCCTTCGTAGCCAAGGTAATGGCATAGAGCCGAATAGTAACTGATGGTGCTGTAACAGGCGTTGTTCATCAACAGCCCGAGATCAAAACATTAAATATTTGTATTAGATATAAGATTATTGTACAATTCGCATTTACCAGACCGTGGCCGTTTTTGGCAACTCCCCCGTTCGGGTTTAGCGTCGGTGTCTCGCGCATCAGATGCGGTTTAGTGTGTATTATATTAGGTTTAGCCTAATACGCTATACTATGAAGGGAACTGCCGCCTGTCTCCGCCTTCACATCGTCCGCTGACTATATAAGACCGCTGGTGCGTCGCTTGACAACCACTTCTCATTTCCTTTACTTCCCTCACCAACGCCGCCTCCGGCTCCCCATTATGTGCACCGGATCAGACCGTTCCGGTTCCCACCATCTCCACTCATCAGAGATGACCGCACAACAACAAGGACCGCTCCGCCTCCATCTCCTCACCTTCAATATGCACGTGTGAAACCGTCAGGCAGCCATAAACCGCCTCCATGGTACGAATCACTGATATTACTGGATGACACAATATGATCCTGCGGTCATCACATTATGACCTGAAGGAACGCCATTCAAAGGAGTTCTGCTGGCCGGCCCATGATTGTGTCCAGCTAGGCGGCGGTGCTTGCTCTGAATCATCCAGCATCGGCAAGTGTTGCCTCTGCAAAGCAGCCGGATCTGAACACCAATGGCAAAAACGCTCCGTTTATGCCGCTCTTCCTGATAACGGGTCTTTGGGAATTCGTGTTGCATCACCCGGCCAGGGCCTGGAATTGTTGAGCCATTTGGCTCACTGACAAGTGTTATTTCCGCAGAGTCAGCTGAATTTGAACACCAATGGCAAAAATGCCGCGTTTTTGCGGCTCTTCCTGACAGCAGGCCTTTGGGAGTTCCTGTTGCATTACCCGGCCAAAGCCTAGAATTGATGGGCCGTTTGGCGCGTTTTCCGATTGCCTCAAGTGGGAAACTGATATGCCTGATTGGTTACATTCGGGATTCATCATGCTGAGATATTCTGTTGCAATCCTGTGATTTTTGGAACCGTTCATACTGCTAGCAGCCTGACTTGGGCTGACTCTCAAGAGGCAATTATGTGCGCAGTGGATCCTGCGTTGTTTGATTGCGTATCTCTACTGTTGGATTTTCCACTTATTGATAGGGGTATACGGAGGTGAACTTGTGATTATGGATGTAAATGGCTGGGTCACTGTTTTTATTTTCACTGATCAGCATGCGGGTCGACGGATTTTGTGGTCTCTGGGCTGTGTGCCATTGTGCCAGGTCTATTGCATGATATTTGTGCTTTGGGCTATAAAATCCTATCTTTCCGTCTGAGAGTATCAACTCTCCCCATACCATCATCGCCTCCCTTTTCATTTTCTGCCTCTCATTTTTGATTCTTTTAAAGTTTGTTTTAAACAATGAATATCAGCCTTGATAATATCAACTTCTGCTATCAACTTCTGCTATCAACCTTCTCCACCTAAACCGCGCTCACATGTCTTTCCTACTTCTCGTTGAAGCCGTACCAAGTCCCTTCAGTTCCAGCACGCCTGTCACCCCCGACTAGTCCCATTTCATTTAAATCATGTGCCCCCCACGATGGCGAACATTCCCGCCCAGAATGGTACACCAGGAACCTTCCAACAGTCTCAAGATCTGAGGGTGTCCTCCAGTGGGACTACAACGGCAGTTCGCAATGAATTTGATATCGAGTTTGAGGACACTTGTCCGGTAGAAAACAGCTCGATAGTGTCTGAGCAGGGTACAAAGACAAACAACGCCCGTGGCCACCAGGGTAAGAATGTCAAGGATATATTTTCGAGCCAGAACGCGCCCTCAACAATTGGTATGCTCGACCTACAGTGGACACGCCTCATAGCTTACCAATGTTGGACATGTAGATTCAGTGGCAGAGGCGACACAACTACAGACCAATGATGGTGATGGTCGTGAAATTGTGCATCATGGACCGGCTGTCGAAGTGGACGACGTCATGCAGGAGCAGTCGCATCAGCAGGTGTTTCCATCGATGGAGACCGCCAATTATTCAAACTTGGAACAGGTTGGAACTGAGCAAGAGTATCCAGGTACGCATGATTCACCAGTGGCTTTTTAAATTTTCCTAATACACAATAGACCCTCCAGTGGCCACTAGTCTGGGCTTGCCTGAAGATCACGTTGAGGCTTTTGGAATTGGCCGCCAGAGCAGTGCAAGAATGTCACCGCCAGTATGTAGCAACTCATACGCGCGGATCTCTCAGTCGCCTTCAATGGGCGTCTTGGATAACACACTGAACATCGGAGGTGAATCTCGAGCTGAGAATATTCAGTCTGAGGAAACGGCTGTCGAGGAATCTAAAGGCGAGGCCACCCCAAGCCATGAAGATGAAAATGCAATGGATGAGGTGAACATTACTGAAAGCCTCCGATACAGCAGCCTTGGGGTCGAAAATCCAAGTGCCGATACGGGTGGGAGAGATGAGAGACCCGATGACAATGATGGGGAAGGTGCCGCCTCCGGTTCCAAGCAAACCCATCCTAACATACCTTTGAAAATACCTGCAGGTCGCTTTCTCTCTCTGTGTCGTCATCCACAGGCAAGACCTGGAAGGGCAAAACAATTCCCATCCATTACCGAGATTACGCCGATCTGTCAGCCAGACAGTCAAGCGACAAGGACCACTAAGGAACCTGCACCCCGAATGGTCTGAGGTTGCCAAGATTCCAAGAATAACCACAATAGCGAGAGTAGTCCGGCAGCAGGTGGGCTAGTTGAAGATTCTTCAACGTCGGTATGCAGACCTAATGGTGAGCTAAAAGAATGCCCAGCGAAGACGCGCAGGCATCCACCGAGGGTGAAGACAACAGCTGGAAGCACTTCATCCATGGCCAATGATGCTACTAGAGAGCATTTGTGTCTGTCCCAGAGACCACAGGACAGCAGCATTGCATTCATTGATGGAGCACAGGAGGTCTTTGGCTGGGGAATTCTACGTATCCAGCCCCATGGCCCTCGGAATGCGTATATCATAACATTTCTCCCAGATGTCATTCCACCAGCGTCTACACCATCAACATCTGAGATGCCTTCTGAGAAGTCGTCCGATTTGAGTGACCATGGCCCGGAAATTTCCGCAAGGGCGCAAGTGGCTGGCAATATGCCAGGTATACAAAATGACATTCCCATTGACCCTCTAATTCTCACTGATAATGGGCCCTGGGAGGCAGGAGATCTGCGTCAACCGTCCCCGCAGAGTGATAGTCCTACAGTTTCGGAGATGATATGTCCATATCCAGACCCTCCACCCGTTTTCTGCAATGCACCGGACCAGCAAGACTCCATCTCAAAGGGGCAGGACGGTAATCCTAGGTCAATTAGCCCCCCTCACACCAGGGGTCATCAGCAGTCCCCTCACTCCTATCTCAGTACTGAAGCCGGCATTTATTCTTCTGAGAGCCCTCTTGATACCTCGCACGGCGACAAAAAGTCTAAATCTCGCAAGCGAAAGCCGCACCAATCACATGAACAATCATCCAAATGGGTCTGAGGTCTCTCTACATCTATTGCAGGGGAAGATTCATTTTCGGTGCTTCGTTCACACTTCCTGTCTTTACCGCTTGACGAACGTTTGCAATTTCTTCCTTGGTTGTTGGAAGGCGCGCTACCATGTCACATTCATAGATCTGATCCGATGAAATCCGGGAACAGATATGTGCGGTCAGCAAGTCGCTTGACTCACCCACCTGATTACAGTGAGCCCCATGGGAGCTCCAGGAAGGGTATGACATGGTCCCGTGAAGAGGTGGACCTTCTGCTGAAGCTAAGAAGGGATGAGAGACGGCCTTGGTCAGCGGTGACAAAGTTATTTTCGAACTGATTTCCAGGTCGAACTCAGGGCTCAATCCAAGTATACTGGAGCACGACCCTCAAAAATATGGCAGATTCACGTTCCACGGGGCCGCACTAGATAGATTATGTTTTTGCAACGGTCTCACAATTTCATGAAACTATTAAATATTCTAGCTTGGTCTATGAGATGCCCTGGCCTATCTTCCAACCAAGAGACTGTACTGGTTTCCGTATACATTATAAAAGTCCATCTAACGTTCTGGCTAATGGGATGAATGTAGATGAAAGCTGATCTAGACACCATGGCGGGCTGAGAGTAGAAGCTGAGCCAGATAGCTAACAGTTGGCAATTGCAAAGGCGGACCACGTTTATCCATATCTAGGGTCCATGCTGAGAGTGTCGATTCCTCTGTAGGTGATAGTTTTTGGCAATTAGAGATCTTTTGCATGCGTGAAGTGGTTCCTTGTAGTCGTCTTCGCAGAGTGGTTTCAGGCACATCAAAGGCTACAGAAGCTGCCTTTTTAGTTTTAAATTGACCATTCTTAAAAGCTCTCAATGCTAATTGCAGTCTTTCTTCCTTAGAAACAGAATTCATGATGTAGAAGTGGTAGAGAAGAGGAATAGGGGGTGTAATTCGGAGATTCGTAGATTTGGCGCCGCTCGGTCAGAAAGTAGTTGGGTTCGACACGCTAAAAGCTAACGCCACGCACTAGCGTGCCAAGGCCAGTCAGGCGTGTGGAATATGGCTCGTGCACGCAAGCGCCACACGTAACTTCATTGTGTAATATTCTTACCGTTATTTAAATTTCAGAGCTTTTACCATACCTATTGCCAACTACGATGCTGGCTAATATGAGTGCTTTAAAACAGACTTGAGATTACTGCTTAAGCATTGATTATAATTTAAATTAGTTAATAAATATTTGCAAAACAATTATTAATGCTATTCAGCAGTTTGACGGCTTACGTATGTGTATGTGTATGTGTAGGGAAAGCGTACTTATAGTATATATATCTCTCCGGTTCCCGTATATAGTGATTATCTGGAAGCTCAGTTACAACTACTTAAAAAACAGTTATTAAGTACATAAATATATGTATTAATGATTAATGCTGTCCTCCATTTTCTAACTCTAACTCACGTAGCTCACGTTCTCTTTTCTTGATTTCAATCTGCTTTGCAAGTAATTCGGCCTTTAGATTGTTTATCTTCAATTCCTCCTCCAGGTTCTGTAGCTCTGTATTTTGATATTGCTCATGTGAATTAGCTGTAGCAACTCGTTGGAGACTAACTTGGGATGAGCTAGAAAGATAAAGCAGTTAGTAAGTACTTTATAAGTAGCTGTCAAATAGTTAAGGACTATTTAAGATAGATCTTACCTTGATCTAGCTCGAGAGCTCCCTCGCCGGCTCATGCTCCCCCTTCGACTTGGAGTTCGTTGCAATGGTCTTCCGCTACTAGATGAGGGAAAGAAAATATGATCTTGATCTTGATCTTGTATATTCAACTCAGGTGAGTTAGATTCTGTTTGTCGAGCTGATTCTATAAGAGTTAATCAGTTTATATGTGCTTCTCAAGCACTTGCAATTGGGGTTTCAAGCTATAACAATAAATACATACCAGATCGTGCCATATGTCTTAGAAAGCTAGCCTCCAAAGTTTGAGTTGCATAGCGGTGTCGAAGACCATATGAATTATAGCTTCGATTCTGCTGCACGTCCTGTATATCTAGCTTCAATGATCTAGATGTATTTAATGAGTGGTTAGTAAGTGCTTTACAAGTGGTTATTAGGTACATACTCAAGAATTGCTTGAAGCAATGTCAATTGCTTTCCACGATGATTGGATTTATTATGAGTTTGTTCAACAGCATTAGTACTCTTTCGCACCATATCAAAGATATGATGTGGTATAAGAGAACAATACTTATTGAGACCTGCTGCAATTACCGCACTCTTTTTATGACGAGCCCAGTTCTGAATTGCAGGATGTTCATGTTCTATAAATAGTTAGTTATTAACTATTCAAAATTTGCATTTGAATTAGTTAGTAAGAAAGTACTTACTGATTAACAGATCACACCATTTATGATAGTCCTCTTCAGACTCACATTCTAAAAGCGCAGCCATGCGTGTCCCGATGTATGGATTAAGAGAATGAGTTTGAAGAGTTTCACGAATCCCTCGTAGGAAATGAACTCGACATAGAAGAAGAACATTCTTTAGAAGCCATATACGTGAATGGTGGTCTGGATCAATCTCCATTAGAAACTGAGCCAATCCTATTGCCAATTAGTTAGCCGCTGCTTGATGACTGATTGTGAAATGGCCAGGGAGTGCCTATTAGATACCTTCAATTTGCTTATTGTCCATATCCATTACCAGAGCATGAAGACCAGTACCATGTAGGGCACGAAAGGTAATCCTCTTGCCTGTCAACTTATACACAATATGATAGATCTTCTTGAATAAGATATAATAGCCCTCTGTAGTGTCTTCAGTTGTAAAGACACGACAAAGAGTCATAACTAATTAGCCAGCAGTTAGTAAGTGGTTAGTAAGTGGTTGAAAAGTACTCTTACTTACTCTTTTTCTGATCTGCTAAATATGTGGCAAATACCACCTCCTTCATCTCTTTTGATTGTACTCGTTTGAATGACATATCAATCTCTATAGAAGATAATGTATGAAGTAATTCAGCTTGCTCTTTCAGTATGCATATTATCATGATCTGATCATTTTGTTGATAAACTTCATGTATGTACTCCTAAATGTTAAAAATTGATAAGTTATTATGTAGTTATAGAGTACTGAACAAGCAGTTATGAAGTACTTACCTGAAGATCTTTGTTCTTTCCTAATTCGAACATTACACCATTGACATTCTGACCAGCTGGATAATGGAGAAGTCTTTGTTTTCGAATGACAGCTTGAATTGGGTCCATATTTGAGAAACTCTCATGAATTTGCTGAATTGTATGGCAATTATGCTCAGCACAGAATGATTGTAATGCTGGACTTTTAAGAAATGTACCTAAAGCCATTTATCAACACTCATTAAGTACTTATCAGGCACTTAGGAAGCACTTACCCAGTGTCAAGCTTGGGCTCCGAGCCTGATTTATCAATTGCAGAATTCCATTCATAATTTTTGCAGGTGCCTTTCGTGGAGGTGGAGGAACATGTGTATGAACACCATGAGACATAAAGACAAAATATGGATTTTGACTTAAATCAGTGGGAATTAACCAATGGAAAGTCACATTACATTTAGCATGTACTAATTTTCCAGGTCCCTGAGGATGATCATATGCTGGAGACAATAAGTACTTAGCAAGCAGTTTTTAAGTATTTTATAAGCACTTACCACAATACAGTGACTTTGACTTGATCGATTCAACAGCACCGCACTCTTCCATATCCATAATAATTTCATTATTCAACAATCCCTCAAGAAACTGAAGGTGCACTGAGCCATTCTTTGGAACTCTATAGGTATAATGACCTGCAGGGTCTGATGGTGCATTGATGCATCTAACATAGAAATCGAAACCACCTAGAGGATTCTATAATTGATTAGCAACTATAATAAGCAGTCCATAAGCACTTAGGATAAATAATTACCGGAATGGAGCTTTGGGTTAACTTAGGCTGGCAAGAATTCTGAAAGTGATAACAAGATAGTTGATTTTTAAAGAGATTTTTTGCTGATCGATAAAATCTATTGAATCATAAGTAGTTAATACTTGATAATGGAATGCTTGATAAGTACTTCTTACCTATATGCAGCATCTTTGGTTGTATCTCTTTCCATCTCATGAATGCGCTGTCGAATATCTTGCAAAATTGTCCATAAATCATCTGTAACATGAGTGTGATGCATATTTTTCAGTTGTATACCGGCATATTCACAGATCTTTATACCAGAACATCTATAAGAGGAGCTAGTATATGATGTTCCTAGGAATGAAGAATGGCTGGAAGGCCGGTTGCGATAATTTTGTCGAACACAGTACTGAATCTATAAAGTGCTTAGTATCTGCTTACCAAGTGCTTGTAAGGTACTTGTGAAATATTTACACTGTTAACCATGTCCTCTACAGTTTCCCTCTGTTGATTCGGCGGCACATTTATAACATACCCATATCCATTAGGATCAGTAGATGGATATTCCGGAAGATCACTTGTATATTCTAATTTAAGGACCTTCAATGGCTTCGTTGAGGCATCAGTTAGCTGAATAAGAATATTTTCTTCCTTCTATCTAGTTAGTGTCACGGGCTCGGAATAGTAGATAATAATGAATCGATATTCCTATCTAAACTATTGTAGCCATCGACGAAAATATCGAATCTAGAGAAGAAAAGAGAAGAGGAAATCTATCTAGGTAATGAAGGGGTTTTATAGAGGTTGTTGCCGACATGGTTGAGTAGCAGCATTTGCGATGTATCATTCATTGCTGCAGTGTTGAGCCGTCATATATGAGCCGTCATATATGAGTCGTCACATAACCCCCCTCCTTAGGCGGAGT